AAGGACACTCTAGTTTATCATTCGTTGGCGTCTCTGCCTCCATTTCTCACAGGGGTTACTTAGCTTCCTTTGCAGCAGGAGTCATGAGACTGTCCTTTGGAACAAAGCCATCAAAGGAAGACAGTTTGAAGGCCACTCTCGGGTCTCCTATCAGCAGCTTGAAAAGGCATCAGCCCTGATCTCATCTATCCTTCATCCAAAGACAGCAGCCACTAGTTTGGACCCCCGAGCAGCAGGAACAGCCTGGCTCAGATCCAGTGAGTTTCCAACTTTGAACAGAAGAGCTGGCCCGTGGGGACCATACCACAAAAGGAAAAAAAGCCCCTAGCATTTCCTAACTTCACATGACTGTAGATTCAAAGGTATCTTTCCCAGATCCGCAGACACTATTTCCCTGTGCCCTTGGTCATTGGAATTCCACCTTCATTTTGCCTCCTTCTCTCTTCCCCAGCCAGTGCTGGGTAGAGAGGTTTGCTTTCTTGTTAACATTTTGGCTAAGTGTAATCACTAGTAAATGAACAGCACATGATTCCTTCTAATTATTTTTTTAATGAAAAAGAATACCTGGGCTAGAAAGCTCTATCAGTAAGACACTCCTTACAAGCGTGAGGAACTGGTTCATGGCCCCAGAACCCACATAAAAAGCCAGGCATGGTGACACATGCTTGTAATCCCAGTGCTAGGGATGTGGAGACAAGCCATCCCTGGGGCTCACTGGCCAGTCGGCTTAGCCTGATGGCCAAGCTCCAGGCTAGTGAGAGTCTCCTACAAAATATGTGGGGCCTGGGGAGATTGCTCGGTGGATGGAGTGCCTGCTGCACAAGCTAAAGGACTGGAACTCAGATCCCTGGAACCCATGTAAATGCCTTGTGTTTGTGGTGGCTTGCCTCTAATTCCAGCCTCAGAAGGCAGAGTCAGGGGATCCCCAGAGCAGGCTAGGTAGTGAGAAGAGTCATATCAGTGAGCTCTGGGTGTGATTGAGAGACCCTGCCTTAAAGAATTAAATGGAAGAGTAATCAAGGAAGACTCCTAACCTCAACCTTCACATGTACACACACGCACATGCACCCCCACATACACATGCACCTGTTTACAGGTGAACACACACAGATATATGAAAAGAAAGAAAAAAAAAAGGACAACACCTGAAGAACAACACAGGAACACATACCTGCATCCACATGTGCACCTTCACACATACACAGAGACACACACAAAAAGAATATAAAGTGCATATGTCTGATTGTCATTTTCCAGTTCAACAACTAAGCCGCAGTTTCTACTCCCTCAGTGACATCTGTCATGCCTTCCTGGCAGGCTTCCCCTGGTGTGTCAGAGCTGGGGCTGGCTCATTCCTGCATCGTTACCTGTTGTCCCTCTCTGAGCTGGGGACAGTGAGACAAGTGGCCGTAGCTCTAGGAATGCAGGTGTTAACAGCTCTATCATGGGACTTCCAGGGTCATTTGGAGGGATCGACTATTCCATTGGCCCCTCAGGTACATGTATTTCTCATCTGTGGTCTCAGCCAGTCACTAACAGAAAATGTTTTGTTGCTAAGGTGTCCCGCAATGGTCAGGCCTCTGAATGTGTCTGTGCTGAACATGTTCAGGCTTGTTGTCATTAAAAAAGTACCATCTAGGGGCTAGAGAGATGGCTCAGCAGTTAAGAGCACAGACTGGTCTTACAGAATACCTGGGTTCAGTTCCCAGCACCCACTTGGCAGCTAACAATCATCTGTAATTCCAGTTCCAGGGGATCCAACATCTTCTGACCTTTGTGGGCATTGCACAACCCGAGTGTACTTACACACATGCAGGCAATACGCTCATATAAAATAAAAATAAAATATCTTTTAAAATACCATCTAATAACCACTCACAAAATGCTAAAACAATATTATATACTATAATAATTTAGATTAAGTCATATGAGGATATGCCTGGGTTATATATAAATACTATACTCTCTGTATAAAGGTCTTAAGCTCTATGGATTTTGGTATCCATCAAAGCGCAGAGGGTTGTGGGAGCAATCCTCCAGGAATATCGTAAACAACTGTAATTACTGTTAGGGCTGTGACAGGCAAGGTAGAAGGAGTTGGTTTGTAATTTTAAGTTCTTCAGACTGGACTAAGGAGTTGGGTCCATTAAAAATGTTACTCTTACTCGGAAGGCAGAGGCAGGCGGATCTCTTTGAGTTCAAGGCCAGCATGGTCTACATAGTGAGTTCCAGGACAGCTGGGGCTACAGGGAGAACCTGTCTCAAAAAGACCAAAAAAAAAAGTTACTGTTTATTAATTTTTCTTTTTAATTTCATGTGTCTTAGTTTGTTTTCCCATTGCCGAAACACCCTGACAAAACCAACTTAAGGAAGAGAGGGTTTGTTTCTGCTCACAGTTAAGGTGAGTCCATCACAACAAGGAAGTCAAGGCAGCAGGAGCTGGAAGCAGCTGCTCACATCATCCACACTCAGGAAGCAGAGGGAGGATGCAGCTGCTGGTCAGCTCTATTTCTGTATTTTTATATAGTCCAGGATCACCTGCCTAGGGAATGGTCCTGCCCATAAGTAAGGTGAATCTTCCCACATCAATTTATGTAATCAAGATGACGCCCCCACAGGCCTGCCTCCCAGGGGATTCTAGATCCTGTCAAGTGGACACGTGACATTAACTATAACAACATGCAGAGCATTTGACGACTTCTCCCCCAAGCACACCTTTGTGACTTGTAAGCAACAGCAGCATAACATTACAAGTCACAGTCAGGGTGATGCCTGTGCCCTCTGGCATCCTCTACTTTGTCAGGGCCCCACCCTGCAGATGGAGAGGTCTGTATTCTGTGTTCCAAACCACTCAGCTTCAATTCAGAATGAGTCCTTGAAATATTTTGCCTTGGTTCTTGGGTCACTTTAATTATGCATGGTCAGCATATTTTAGTGTAAAATGATCAAACCATAAACATTTATATTTCAGGCATGCTTTAATTGTTCCTCTATCAGTTTATTATGTGCAGTTATTATCTGTGGTGTTAATCTCTTCAGAGCATAAGGCTCACTTTAGTTGTGTTGAATTAACAGAACAGCATATAAGCTTTGTGGGAAGCACATGGGTGCCATTTCTTTGGCACAAGTCCAATTATTTGTTCCCTGTTAGCTTTGTGAACCTGTAACTCTTTTTATAGATTCGGCTTGTCCCAAATGACCATAACTGGTGTCTTTGTGATGCTGACAGTATCTCTGCTTGGCCTTTGGGAGGCTCCTTATTTAGGCATCTTTGTCTTTTTAACACTGTTCTGAACATAGCCGAAGCCTTACTCTTTGGCTAAATACCTCTCGCCTGCCTTCTAGAACTCTGACTTTTTCTTGTCCCTAAATCTAGTCACCACACCCCTTCTTCGAATCCCATTTTAGCACATCATGCATCACAGACTCAAATCTGGGGTACGCCGGCTGTGGGACCAGGTAAAGCCTTCTCAGAGCTTAAATGGAGAGCTGGGGGTTGCGGGGAGGGCTTCAAAGTCAAGAGCACAGACTGGTCTTCTGATCAGACTGCCTTTATCAGCTCTGTGGTTATCATGTCCTCACATGAAAACAGAAGTTTCCTCATCTGAATCAACAACTTATCTTTATAATTCTCTCATATGAAAGATCTGTTTATTAATTTGGCCTGTTTTCATCCCACTAAACTAAGTTATAATACCACCCAAAGCTTTAGAGAAACTATCAGCCAGCAAATTTTAAATTCCCAATCATGGGCTGGGGCTGTAGCTCAGCAGACAGAGTGCTTGCCTTGCAAGCAAGCCCTGGGTTCCATCCCCCGCATTGCTTAAAACCAACTGTGGTGTAGCAGGCCTGTAATCCCAGCATGGGGGAGATGAAGAATCAGATCAGGAGCTCAAGGTCACCCTCAGCTAACATAGCAAGTTCAGGGCCAGCCTGAACTATCTAAGACCCCATCTCAAAATAAATAACCAAATAACTAAATAACTAATTTTATGTTCAATCATGATAGAGACCCTGAACAATTCAACAACCAAGGATGCTGAGAAGTCACGCTCAGGAAACACTGGTCATCATGCCCAGCAAGGGGACAAAAGTAAGTTTCTATCAGAACATTGCTTACCCAGGCTTATGCATACATGTAAGAAAATACACACAAGGGCGCACACACATAAGAACACAACGTGAGGCCGGCATGGTGGTGCATGCCTTTAATCCCAGTACTCAGGAGGCAGAGGCAGGTGGATTTCTGTGAGTTCGAGGCCAGCCTGGTCTACATAGTGAATTCCAGGCCAGCTGGGGCTGCAGGGAATCCCCCCCCCCAAAAAAAAACAGAGCAAGGCCATAGGAAACTAGAATAATCTTCCAATATTTTCTCTCTCTTGGGAGTATGGTAGAAATTCCCTTCCATTTATATAATGATAATAAATAGCCTCCTCCTCACCCCTGTTGAACACACCAAAGACAGAGACCCAGCACAGCTCTGCAGATGACAGAGAGCATGTTGCCTGGCACATGGAAGTCTCTAAACTGTTAAACAGAACTGAACTCCCTCCTAAATTCCTGGCATCTCTTCTGTAGATGTTTACATTGGGATGAGTCAGGGACCACACTGTGTCCTCCAAGGAGCAGCTAAGTGGACAGTTGCTGATTTAGGGCCCATCTTCTTATTGTTTTTTAATTTTATTTATTACTTTTATTTTATGTGTATGCGTGTATTTCCTGCATGTAGGTAAGTGCCCCCCAAGCCATCCACAAGTTGCAGTGCCTTTAACAGCACAGATGTTCACGTGTACAGAGGCATTTTGTAAATATAACAGTGACTGTGGAAAACCAGAGGTGTGTTTTAACAGCCATGCTCAAATTCCATTAGATCTTCAAAATGATTTAAGGAACGAAATATCTGGTACCAGCTGCACCAGAAGATCTCGCAAAAATTATCAGTAGATCAAAGACAGCCAGGGCATTTCGGGAGTCAAAAGAGATAAGACAGAAAAAGCAAAGACGTTTCAGAAAACGCTTTAGACTGATATCAGTTTGGGGGCAGGCAAACATGTAGAAGGGTACAGGAAGGTGAGGGCTTCTGAGACTTTCCAGCGAGTCCCACTTTGTCTCCGCCACACAGCTTCTGGTTCAGTGTCCTTCTCAGATGCCCACAGATTTGCCCGTTTGGACCTGAAGGTAAATCGTGTTCTCTTTGGTCTTTGATTTCCTATAGAAGCAGAAACAAAAATTAAAGTTAATGAATAAATAATCAATACCTTGCTTCTTTGTTTATTTCTCAAGCCACAGTCTCGCAATACAACCTTTGCCAGCCTGTCATTCACTATGTAGACCAGGCTGGCTGCAGACTCACTGTGTAGATCAGGTTGCCTCAGCCTCTCAATGTATTGGGATTATAGGTGTGAGCCACCATGCCTGGCTAAACAATGGACACCTTGATTAAGATATATGTAAAGATGAGACTCAGGGAACACTGTAGAAATCAAGGGGCTATGGTGGCTTGAATGAGAATGCCCCCCCTATGCTCCAAGTATTTGAACATTTGGTCTCCAGTTGGTGGTGCTATTTTGGGCGGTCTTAGGAGGTGTGGCCTTGTTGGAGGAAGCATGTCACTGGGGGCGGGCTTAGAGATTTCTTAAGCCTTGCTGTATTTCCAGTCACTCTCTGCTTCCTGTGCCTGCTTGAAGATGTGAATGATCAGCTTCTGCTCCTCCTCCAGCCACCTCTACCACCATGCCTCCCGGCCATGATGGACTCTTGCCCCTTTGGAACAGTAAGCTAAATAAACTCTTCGTTTTATAAGTTCCCTTGGTCATGGTGTTTCTATCACAGCAACAGAAAAGTAACTAAGACGGGCACAAAGAAAGAAAGAACCAGAGGATTGGGGAGGAATGCTGTGAAATGCTGTCTGTGGGACATGACATGACCATTGTACCCATGAACTCACTGCAACTATGATTGCCTGCACAAGATCTAGCCAGTGAGACCAGTCAACATTCCAACAGGCAGCACTCTTAGACTCTTGAGTTAAAAAAAAAAAAAAGAAAATAGAGGCCATCATGAGGGGAAGGGAAGGGAATGCGTTGGGGAACCTAGGGGAAGTGGGATGGGGGCATTGGGGAAAAATATGATCAAGGTACATTGTGTGACTTGTATGAAATTGTGAAAGAGTAAATAAAAGGTATTGTGCTTAAGAAAAAAGAAACTTGGAAAGTTGTGTGCAGAAGGTCTCAAAACATGAAGAGAGAGTGAGAGAGCCAGCATCAGGGAAGCGTAACAGTGGGCACAGCTGGCTGTGAACTGTTTCTGTGTGGCCTGTAAGGTAAGGATTTTTTTACACATTATACTAGGTGGAAAAATCAAAATGAAAAGATTTTTGTGACAGTTGAAAGATGAATTGAAATTCAAGTTGCAGTATCCCTAAATACAATTGTACCAGAGCCCAGAGATACCCGTTTGTGCTGTTTCCTGCTGGGGGTGGGGGCAGGATTCAGCAGTGGCAACAGACACTGGGCTAGGGTCTGAAGCACTGACTTCAGTCCTGCCCAGAAGAGTTGCCAAACCCCAAGTGCAGTCCTGATGCCTTGCTAGTTGCTTCTAGCTCAGGTCCAGTCTAGATGCAGAGACCTGGATCGTGTCACTCTTGCTGTCATCTGTACAGTGGGAAAGGTGGCAAGAGCAGCTGCCCCCCGTGTTCTGAGAGGATAAGGCAGGATGCACAGACACTCACCGCAGCGCATGGCAAGCGCTCCATAAAGACTGGTGGGTGTCACCTCCACACCCCACTCCCTGCTCCTTCCCCAGAAAGCAGGGAAGGGAGGGTTATTGAATTCTCTCTGGCGAGTGATTGTTTACTCCTTCAGAGATCACTTCTTACCCATAGCAGAAAGCAGTCTAGATGGTGCAAGGGTGGCCCAGGATGGTCTCTCTGGGCGCCAGGAAAATTATATTTAGAGATTCTGAAACTTAAATTTCATTTCATTTTTCAGTTGACACAAAATATTTCATTTTGATTTTTTTCCACCTATTAGAAATATAGCGGCAGGGGGTCCTTACTTTACAGGAGTGGAGAAGGTAGACCATGAGACAATCAATTTTATATACCGTGAAGAGCACTGTGGGTAATGGAGGCTGCACGGGGGTGGGGTTCAGAGCAGGAATGCTCAGCCTCCCCTGCAGGGAAGGAAGGGCTACCGAGATAAAGTATTAAAGATCTAAGGATGACCGAGTGCCTATTAACAAATTATAAAGAAGCACGCTGAAATCAGATCACAGAACTATTAAGAAGGTCAACATGCGGGGCGTGGTGGCACATGCCTTTAATCCCAGCACTCAGGGAGGCAGAAGCAGGCAGATCTCTGTGAGTTCAAGGCCAGCATGGTCTATGTAGTGAGTTCCAGGCCAGCTGGGGCTACAGGGAGACCCTGTCTCAAAAAGACCAAAAAAAGAAAAAAGGGTCATCACGAATGAGAAACACTGCAAGTCTACACGTGCTTAAAATAAAGTGTCCCTAGTCAGTGCCGTGAGCCCCTCATGTCTCACAGCGAGGTTCAGAGAGCCTCTACCCAGGGGTCACAACAGATAGAACCCATTCACACCAATTCCTGGGCTCACTCTCTTCATCAAAAGCAAGGAATCCACACATTTGTGAGCTCCCTTTGTGATTCTTCCACATAGTAAGTTTCGAGGATTACTGAGGAGATCACAGTCTGCAGGAAGAAGGGAACTTTAAGGCTGGTTGGGCACCTGTGAGATGCCTAGGAGTGGATTCTTGCCAGTCACTCGGGTTCTCTGGGTTTCTGCTGCAGCCCTCAGAATTATCATTGTAACTGCCTCGCAGGGGAGGAAACCAAGGTGTTGAAGGGTTCACTGACAGTCCCTGAGCCACATGGCCACATCTGGGTTTATACCAGGTTCCTATGACTCCCATAGCCATTGTCTTGCTACTGTGCTGGGGGCTTGTGCTGGGGGCATGCAAACCCTTGCTCCCAGTCCCAGAACTGAGTCTTGAAAGGAGCCGGAAAGATCACCCCACAAGGCACTTTTTCTTTCCTTCCTTTTGTTTTTAAAAAACTGATTTAACAACAACAACAACAACAAAAAAAAAAAAACCTGACAACAATAGAATCAGAAGCCCCACTCTGGAGCACTCTGTTGTAAAGAATGAAGATTCGAAAGTGGCTAGATAGATGGTTCAGTGGTTAAAAGCACTGGCTGCTGTTGTAGAGGACTCCAGTTTGGTCCCTAGCACCAACATGGCAGTTAACAAGCGTCCATAACTCCAGTTCCAGGGGATCTGATGCCCTCTTCTGGTCTCCACAGGCATTGCATGCTAATGCTGCCCTTATATACACACAGGCAAAACACTCACACACATAAAAATAAATGTTTTAAAAAGAATGGAGGTTTGAAGTCATTCTTTGTAAAGAAAGTCACAAGGAATCTGAACTAGCCATTGCTAAGTACAGAAGACAGATTTAAAATGTTCCCAAGTCAGGGTGAGCCAGGGATCTTGGTACTCTAACAGTCTACGTGGCTGACAGATGCCAACAGTCTGTGAACGCAGTGTAGGACAGCTGTCCACTAAAGAAGCATGTCCTGCTCTCTGCTTCTGGGCACACGATTAGTGGCTGAGTTTTGTAGAAGTAATGCCAAGTCCACAGGTGTCTGTAAAACTCTCCAAAACCTTCAAGGTAGAGTGAGTGAGAGCCAGTGATGACAGGGTCAGACCGCGCCCGTCCCTCAACAGGGGCTGGGACCACGCCCTCCCACCCGCAGCACCACAGGCTTCACCTCTGGAGGTTCTCTGCATCTTCAACGGTCTCAGGCAAAGCCACACCTTTGGTCTCTGGAAGAAGCAGCGTCATTGCCCCAGCAGTCAGGCCCAAAACCCCTTCAAATGAAACAGAATCCGAGGAGGAGCATTAGAGGATAGCGGATACCATTTCCAGAAATGATCACCATGAGCCAGAGAGAAAGCGGGAGGAGAGGCACTGCTTATCAGTGCTATCGGGAATGTTAGGAAAAAAAGGGCGGTAGCAAATTTAGAGAAATGCTAGAGTAAGGAAATACAGTATCACCCCTGCTTTACCTCTAGTGACACATAAAATTCCAAAGCAGCTGTGCTTAAGTGTGAGGATTTGTGGGACTGGGTACCTCGAGACTCGTGTAAATCTCAATTTTAATTACTTATGATAAATAGATGATTGTTAGGTAGATAGTAGATAGATAATAAACAGACACACTGACACATAGATGGATGATAGATACATTGATACACACCTAAATGATACATAAATAATAGATACATAGATAGGTGATAGATACATAGATGACATGCATAGATGGATGATAGATACATCATAGATACATAGATGTTAGATACATAAGTGATAGATACATAAATGATACATAGATACATAGATGACAGATAGATAAGTACATAGATGATATATAGATACATAGTTATTTAGATAGATACATACATACAGATGTCTAGATAGATGACAGATGGAGACATAAAGCAAAGCTAACATACATGTGGGCAATACCCCTCATTACTCTCTCTCCTCCCTCCATCCATCTCTCACCCTCTCCTCTCCCTCCCTCTGGTCCTCCCTCCCTCCTTCCTTTCTTCCTTCCCTGTCACTTTCTTGCTGTCCTCCCTTCCCCCCTCTGAACTCTCTCGCCCATCCTTTCTCCATCTCCCCGTCTCTCCCCTGCCTTTCCCTTTCATTCACCTGTGCATGACAGTTGTCTGCGCACAATCAGCCACTTTGCCTTTACTGAGTGGGTGAACAGGTCTTGCAGGCCTCATGCCATAGGTGTGAGTGCAAAAGCAGCAGCCTCATCCTCTTTCACTAGTTCAGCTTTTTAACAATAAAGAGGACGCAGACTTGATTTCCATGTGTGCACCACTACACTCAGGAAGAGGTGATCATTCAAATATCACACCTCCAATAATGGCATGTTCAATGCATAATACTTAGAAGTTGAATGTATAAGGAAGCAGGAGACTATCAAAAAATTATCAGCCTATGGAATGCAGGATGCATCGATGCATTCTGGAGCCACACAATATAACCCTCCAACCACTTCTTATGAATTGAATCTTGTTACTATTTTCCGATGAGCATACAGAATGAGCCAGGAGACAACCGAAGCTCAGCAAGTAGCTGTTGAGCCCTCACACGAATCCCTCCGCCAGGCTGGAAAGAAGGAATCATGAACGCTCATGAAGCCTTACCAAACAAAATGAGGGGCAAGTTTTGCCAAACATCCATCAGCCTGAAGACCATGAAAGGGGTAAAGATCCCACCCAGGTCACACAGGGAAGAACACACCATCATCCCCAGGTTCCTGGAAAGATACAGAGAGGCAACAGGTTGCATTCAAGGATCTTATTTTCCAGCTGTTAACCTCATCCTAGAGCAAGCATGAGTGATGAGTCAGGGATGTATAGTGCTCAGTACTCGATAAGCAAGCCGCACGGCCCACAAGGAGCTGTGTGGGCCAACAGCCCTGGTATGGAGAGAAGACAGCAGCAGGAGGAGGGAAAACAGGTATATGCTGACCACTGCTCAGACAGCTGGAATAGACAGCCTACTGATGGACTTGCACTTCCAGATGCTTAGCCCTTAGCCTTAGCCTGAGCTTGTGATCCTTTGAGAACTGCTAGAGGCCTGATGGAAATAAGAAGTACACATGTTCCCTGATTTAAATTATGCCTACAATACAAAAATACAATCTTTTTTTTTCTTGGTCTTTTTGAGACAGGGTCTCTCCCTGTAGCCCCAGCTGTCCTGGAACTCACTGTGTAGACCAGGCTGGCCTTGAACTCACAGAGATCTGCCTGCCTCTGCCTCCCGAGTGCTGGGATTGAAGGTGTGTGCCACCACGCCCGGCTACAAAAATACAATCTTTATTGTGGAAATAATTCTAAACTATTTGCATTTTAAATATAAATTGAATGCAAAGATGACATATTTTGCAGTAAAGAATAGTCAACACATCAAAGTAGCTAAGGGAAGCTCACTATCTTAAATATGTATACTTAAAAATGAGTAACTGGCTGGGCATGATAGCACTGTTTGGCCTTGCTCCATAGAGGACCAGGAACTTGGTACCTACCATGCTTTCGATAAGTATTTAGATAAGCCTGTTTGTTAAGGAACTAGTCACTGGCCCATGCTGCTATGGGGAAATGGTGGAGCCTTAAGAGATGGGGTCCAGTGGCAAGAAGTTAGGTCATTGGGAGTATGCCTTGAAAGGGGAGATGGGGAAACCAGTCCTTCCTCTCCTCCCTCTCCTCCCCCCCTCCCGCCACGCGTGCACGTGCATGCATGTATGCATTTACTTCCTGACCACCCTGAGGTGAGGAGGCTCCTATGCCAAACAACCCAATGATGATGTATTTAGTGTGCTATCTCCGTCCCACAGCAATAGGGCCAAATGAGCATGGACCTCTGACAGCAGGAGTTAAAATAAACCTTTTCTTTTTCAGTTGATTATGTCAGGCATTTTGTTACAGTAACACAAAGCTGACTCACACAGTACCTGTGACAGTTCACACTTTGAATCAGTCCTTTGGATCTGGTGGCCATGACAATAGGATTGTTGGTCCCAGATATTTTAGACTCTGTATTTAGAAGTGCCAGCATAAAAGATTTTCTCTTTAATTTGCCTTCATCTTGTCCTCAACCCAAGCAACTTTTTTAAACAAGAGTCTAAGACATGGCCTTTTAATAAAAAATTGGCAGAAGAAAGAAAAAAAGTGGGCCAGAGTTATTTCTGTGTCTTTCTGGCTGTAGGCATTAGATGAGACTAGAGAATTAGAATAGTTCTTAGAAATTTTCACAATAACAAAGGGAAAAGAAATGGTTTATACAAAAAAAAAAAAGAAAGAATTTAAGGTAATAAACCAAATTCTAACAAAGGTCAGGTTAAGATAACAGGAATTGTTTTAAGTTTCAAATAAAGTAGTTCCTTCCCCCATTAAAATGTTCTTTACTTAAAAGTAAGCTCCTGGGACTTCAGAGATGGCTCAGCGGTTAAGATGGCTGCTCTTACAGAGGATCTAGGTGGCTGACAACTGTCCTTAAATCCAGTTCCAGGGGATCTGACACCCTCTTCTGGCCTCTGTGGACATTGTACAACACAGGTGCATTTACACACATGCAAGCAAAACACATATAAAGACAAACAAATCTCTTCGGCACCAAAGCACGAGCAGCAAAAGGGAGATGGTGGACGGAATCAAAATTAAGGCTTCTATTCATGGCAGGATACCGTCCACAGCGCAAGAAGGCCGCCTACAGCACGGAAGAGAGCATGTGCAAGATCGGAAATCTGATCAGGAGTTAACATCCAGAATCTGTAAGAAACTACAACCTGACAACAACAAAAAGCGACCCAATAACAGGAAGTGGCTTCACTGGTCATATCTCTAAAGAGGAGAAAGTGGGTCACTAGGGTGGGCCTTGATGGTGTAGTCTGGCCCCACTTCCTGTTCGCTTTCTACTTCTTAACTCTGATGCAATGTGACAAGCTGGCTTTCCACTTGGCACCAGACCTTCCCCACCATGACAGACTGTCCCCTTGAACTGTGAACCAGACTAGACCCTTCCTTCCTAGCTGCTTTGCCAGGTATTTTGTCCCCGAAGTGAACAAAGTAACTGATACAGTGAGACGATACACACACACACACACACACACACACATACACACACACACATATACACACACACACATACACACACACACATATACACACACACACATACACACACACACATATACACACACACACATACACACACACACATATACACACACACACATACACACACACACATATACACACACACACATACACACACACACATATACACACACACACATACACACACACACATATACACACACACACATACACACACACACATATACACACACACACATACACACACACACATATACACACACACACATACACACACACACATATACACACACACACATACACACACACACATATACACACACACACATACACACACACACATATACACACACACACATACACACACACACATATACACACACACATACACACATACACACACATACACACACACACACACAGGTGATGTTTTAGAAATGCTGGTCTTCCCCCAAGCCCAGCTATTATTCCAATGCTCTTCTCCCTCTGTTTCCTCACCTGATGAACGTAGGATACAGCTCAGCATTTACCAGGCAGATCATCTGTAACACAATGGTGGCTCCCATTCGGCCAAGACAAGCAAGGGTGATGTTCAACCAGTGCAGTTCTGGAAAGAAACATGAAGATGATGCAGAGACCACAGTGATGAGGGGGATGCTCCCTGAGTGAGCCAGGGGTATGCTCCCAAGGGAGCGAAAAGCCATCTCTTCTAGTTCTTTCTCTGTCGCTGTGATAAACACTGATCAAAAACAACATGGTAAGGAAAGAGTGTATTACATCTTGAAGTTCACAGTCCCCTGATGATAGACTCTGAGCTGTAAACCAAACAAACCCTTTCCTCTCCAAGTTGGTATTGGTCAGTATTTTATCACAGTAATAGTAATACAAAGTAACTAGGACACCAGGCGACTCTAGCTTGTGTCTAGTTGTGTCAAAAACTAACCAGCACACCACCATGGGCTGTGCTGGGACCATGAGCTGGAAGAGTCTATGAAATGGTCCTCTCCACCCCTTTCATTTTGGTATAAGTAAACTGAGTCCTGAGAGATTTAGGACTTGCTAACAACATATTCTGGAAGGCTCCATCATGCAGAGGAAAGACTGAGTAGTTTACATCTCAGCTCTGCCTCCACCAGCTGTGCCTTGGTTTGCTAAGCTCTCAGGTGCAATGATCACGCACAGCTTTCAGGGTGTTGGGAGACGTGGTGATGATACAAATGCCCGGTCTGATCATAGGACTGCACACCTGGCATTCTGGTTATTGCATTCAAAAGTACTTGAGGTACAACAGGTATGGGATAAACACAGCTTCTATCAGCAGCAGCCCTTGAACTAAGCCTCAATCTAATCCTTATTTCCAACCAAAGCATCTTCCTCCTTAGACTCCCTGTGAGCCCCAGCAGGCTGCTGAGGGTATTACTAGGGCCCAGAAGTCCTGTCCTCGTGGCGGGAGGACAGCAAGTATAAGCTTTACTGGGAGCATGGATTGTCACTAACCACCTACCTTTATGTGGCCTGCCTTGCTACTAGTGCTCAAATGCATGTGACTCTGAGACAGCCTTCCTCCCAGATGTGTCTTCTTGACCCTGTCCCCAGACACTGATGAGTAGGGAACACTTGATTGGTAACTTCCCCCAAAAGTGGAAGCTGTTTACCTGTGGGTGCAATCTCGTCTCTGCTCTCTGTTCACACTAAGCATCCAGTTAGAGCCACTGGGACGGGTCAACATCCCTGCCCTCAGAGGACAGATAAGTTCACTCTGTACCTCAGGATGGCAGGAGCCAAAGGTTCCATGAACACTGAGGTCTTGCTGAGTCACTCCTGCCCAAAGCCACCAACGGCTCTTAACCATACTTGGTCCAAGGCCACTGTCTCCAGCTAACTCAGAGCCTCTGGCTAACTGTTCCCATGACTGCTGGATGCTAGGGGCTTAGATGCAAACTCCTCTCTCCAGGCAGGACCCAGCTCTGCCCCCTGGGGTCCTAGCACTTGCTGGCCTGTCTACGCATCCCTTTCCTAGATTCCCACACAGCCCTCTCCATCCCATTCAGGTTTGCCAAGGCCTCCTGATCTCAATGTGCATTCCTCCTCACCCTCCTCCCCTCTGGAATGTCAACCCACCATGGCAGGGGCATTCTCCAAACTGCTAGATGCAGAGACTCTAGGACCCAGAGTCTCCCCAGAAGGCCTTAAAATACTTATGGAAGGCATTAGGAGATAGGGACTGCCACATAATGTGAGGACCAAGGAGGAGGCCGGTGGACAAGGACATGGGAGACTGTCGCAGAATGTGGAGAACCAAGTCAGGGCCAGTGGAGGTGCTGAGGCCGGGAGGGTCCTGGAAGCAGCAAAGGACCAAAGTCCCTGGCTCTGCCAGTCAGGGACCATGTGGCCTCGGTCCTCTGCACCCTTTTCCTGGCATCAATGCTGTGTAGTTTAAAAATCTTACTCAGGAGTCAAGAAACAGGGATATGGGGTGTGGAAAGTCTGCTTTGGGGGTACTCTACCTGGTCCCTACCACCACCGAGCTTCCTCCGCACATATAACCCCATATACCCTTTCGTGTGTCCTGTCTAGCATGGCTCTTGAGGAGGCAGATTTCTTGAGACCCTTTCCATCACACCCTGCACAAGAGCTTGCCAAAGTGACTCAGCAAGGCCTTAGTGCAGGGCCCAGCAGTAAAAACGGGAAAATAGCAGCACTGCCTCCATAGGAAGCTACCATTTCCAAAAGCAATGAACATGAAAGGCGGTTTATGTATTCAAATTGAAACTGCATAAAGTAACTCTGCCTGAACTCTCTGTGTGGTGGGTTTATCTTGGATTGTGTGGACTAGTGCCCATACCCAGCAAACAGCTACCATTGGAGACTCGCAGGACCGGGCACTGGGGGGGAGGCGAGACAACCAGAGTGCTCCAGTGTCTCTGGGGGAAACAGAAAGTGGCCCAACCATCTTTGGAAAGCCACCAGGTGTCTACTAAAGCTAAGCCTAGGCTTCCCTGTGTGCCCAGCCAGCCAGTGTGCTCATAAATGTGTCCCCAAGGGAATGAAGAACACGTGTCTACCAGGGAGACACGTGCGTAGTGTCTCAAACACAGCTTTACCTCTAATGAAAAACACTGCAAGAGACAATCAGTTTCGGGGGCCAAGCAGTATGATGTTCATAAGAGGGCGACAATAATAAAAGGTAAAGTCCAAGGCTAGGAATGTAGCTTCGTAATAGAGCACTTTACCTCTAATGAAAAACACTGCAAGAGACAATCAGTTTCGGGGGCCAAGCGGTATGATGTTCATAAGAGGGCGACAACAATAATAAAAGGTAAAGTCCAAGGCTGGGAATGTAGCTTCGTAATAGAGCAGTTGCCTAGCCTGTGCAAGGCCCTAGGTTCAAATCCCAGGAAAAAGAAGGGGGGGCAGTCATGTGACCACTTGACCAAGCCTCACAGGTGTGGTAGACAGGGCAGCTCCACTTACGTGTCTGAGCCGATCTGTGGCAACAGAGATAGAGGAGGTGGTTGCAGGACGGTGATATTGATCCTGAAGGACTGGGGGCAGGGAGGGGGGACACTGCCAGGCTCTCTGGTTCCTGCTACCCAAGTGTTGGTATATTTAACGAATTGAGTCATTCACTTAGAATTTGCTCATCATGTTTGCAATACCTCAATCTAAAAACGTTTCAAGTCTAGCCAAGGTAACGCTACCTCTTTGTTCTTGTTCTAGAAGCTTATCAGGGGGTTACGACACTAGCCCCATAATTCCATGGCTGAGAAACCATGAAAGCAGACATCTTACCATGTGGGATAAAGATCATGATGAGGCAGGCTGCCCCAGCCACAAGATTCGACAAAGCCATCGGGTAGATGCGGCCCACACGGTCAATGGTGCCGAGGATGATGAAGGCTGCAGGGAATTCCACCAGAGCCGAGTAAAGGAAGTCAAGGTAGAGGTTCCCGCCCGTGGCCCCTACATGCATGATGAGGCCTTGGTAGAGCACAGCACAGCTGAACCTGCAGGAGAAAAGACCCCAGGTCAAAGGCCAGCTCTGAGGACCCCAGCCTGCCTGACAGAAGGGCATGCTACTTGGTACGTGATATCCTGGAGTGGACAAAGAGTGTCTTACAAGGGTCCTTGATGGGAATTTATGTAACCCACAGATGTGACAGTGTGTCTCACACACATCCCCAAGACTTCTACTTTTTTAAAATTTTATTTTATGTGTATAAGGGTTATGAGTGCATGAAAGTGCACCCATGTCGTGCAGTGCCCTCTGAGGACAGAAGAGGGTGTCAGATCCCCTGGAACTGGAGTTACGGATGGTTGTTAGCCACCATGTGGGTGCTGGGATTCAAACCCAGGTCTTCTGCAAGAACAGCCAGTGCTTTTAACCACTAAGCTCGGACTCTCTATTTGTTAAAACTTCTCCCCAGAACTTCTGAAACAGGGAGATGGGGAAGAGGTAGCAACCAGATGCCCCTTGCTTGCTGCAAGCTTGGGCACCTGGCACTTCGCCAGCTCCACACAGGATGACCTGCTCACACAGCAGAGGCCCACAAGGTTGACCACAGGTGACCATAGGATCTGAGGGTCAGGCTGCTTTGTAATCTGTGTGATCACTGTAAAACTAACTGAACTCTCAGTACCTCAGTTCCCTCATCTCTAAGCAAGGTGATAGTGGCAGGTGTTGTGTTGGTTTGTTTGAATATTCACTGAGTTGACAGACAAAGGTCGGTGTTATAGCTCAGAACACATAGTAAAGGGAGCTTGTGTTACCATCAGCATCAGCATCGTCCTTCCAAGGTCCAAGCTCCACAGTACAGCTAGCCAAGGCCCTGGCTCCACAGTGGTGGTCCACCCTCCCACCAGCACTGTCTCTAATAGGTGTCACTCCTCTCCTTTCTTCACCCACTACATGGGCTCCTCCACCCATGGTAGGACAGCATGGTAGCTATACAGACCAAGGACACTTAAATCACTAGCTCAACTAAGTCTAAACTTAGAGGGTCCTCACAGTTGCATCCATGTTTATATTGTGTGGTGAGATTTGGGTCCATAAGAAGCTACTGTCTTATCCCAGCAAGCAAAATGCCTCTTCAGCCCTCCCTGAGATCATAGCTGATGGGTTAATGAATATGTCTCCTTGCTTTGTAGAAAGCCTCCATCAGAGAAGCCTCTAGTGCTTCTGTGTCTAGTCCCAAACTGTTGCTGATAGGACAAAGGTCAAGACAGCAAGAAGGATGGTGCTTGCCCGCAATCCAGCAAGTTTAGATAGGCCCAAATCCCACCATGTTGGTTAACCAGTTCATTGAAAACAAGTCACATAAGACTGATAAGCGATTCACTTAAGAGAAAACTACATTTAACTCTGGCACGTCTGTCAACCAGCCAGTGAACAAGTGCTGTCCTCTTGTGGCAGAACTCAGGAATTGCTTATACATATTCAAAGGGGGAAAACAGCAACTTGTGATGCTGAGCACTTCCTGTATCTGTGTTGGACATCATTCCAGGCCCTCCACACAGATCATTCCATTCACCCAGTTGCCTATGGCTAGATGTATTATTGCCCCCACTGCTAATGAGGCCCCTGTGTCCACAGACAGGTGTAGGTATTCTCTTAAGACCACACAGCCATGATGTGGTGGCAGGTCACTTGGGTTGCAGAAATGAAAAGAGACAGACGCGGGCTAGGGAGACGCGGGCTAGGGAGACGCGGGCTAGGGAGATGGCTCAGTCAGTAACATGCTCGCTGCACAAGCACAAGGACATAAATTCAGATCCCTAGCACCCATATAAAAAAGCCAGTGTGGTAGCACATGTCTGTAACCTCAGAGCTGGGGAGGCAGAAACAGGAGGATCCCTAGGGCTTGCTAGCCAGCAAGTCTAGGCAAATCAGTGAGCTCCAGGTTCAGTAGAGACTCTGTCTCAAAAGATAAGGTGGAGAGTGATAGAGGAGGACATCCAGTGTTGACCTTGGGCCTCCACGGGCACATGCTCTCTCTCTCTCTCTCTCTCTCTCTCTCTCTCTCTCTCTCTCTCTCTCACACACACACACACACACACACACACACACACACACAAAGAAAAAAAAAAAACCAAGCAGGTAGAGGGGTTGGGTGGGAATTTTCTCAGGTCCACATCACAGGAGGCTGTGCAGGCCCAGGAAAGAGCACTGCTTCATCATCACTGGATCCAGCAGCCAGTGGAGGGCACAGGAGCCAAAGCACAGCCTGTCTTGAGAAGCACAGCCCGGGGGAGGCAAGTGGACACAGGCTACTGTGGTGGCTCCAGTGAGAAAGACCAACCCTAACAGAGTACATTCAGTGAGCAACAGCAGAGCCGGATGCGTTTTCAAGGCAGAGTGGTTAGGATTTGATGAGGGGCTGGGCGATGAGGATAAGAGAATGGAGCTGTCAGGCACCTTCTTGAGAGGAGCGGTGTGCACGGGGGCAGAGGAGAGATCCGGGCAGAACTGGAGAGCAAGGCCTTGTTCCTATCTGCAGCGGGTGCAGGTGCTGCTGAACCAGGCACTGAGCGTCAGCAGACACCAGCAGCAACTACTCAGGTGGCTGTAACGCCCATGTGGCCAAGCCTAGGACCCCAGAGAAGGGACTGGATTGTAGGGAGGCCAGTGGGGAGGTTAGCCTGGTGCCTAAAGAATCTGGAGAAACTCTACACAGCAGTGATTATTCATTCAACTTTGGGCAATTATTTACAGAGGGCCTGCTATGTGCCAGGTACTGCCCTACTAGATATCTCTTGGTTCTACTAAAATCTTACATGAACAGCAAACAAGGCAGCTGGGTAGTAGAGCAGCTCATGGTCAAGAGGTAAGGCCAGGGCCGGGCTGCTCAGCCCTGGCTGCTGAAATAGTTGAAAACTCACTTTGCTTTGAGGAGACAGCCGTGTTGAGGGGCGACTGGTGTCCTGAGGGAAGAGCTGGAGCTTCCTCCCTATGAAAGCAAGTGGAGGGGCACAGGGCACTGGAAGGGCACAGAGTGGCTATATCCATGTGCCAGAGTGGCCTTACCACGGGTCACAGGTACACAGGCACTCGCACTGGGCCATAAGGTTTTTAGATATGAGAAAATACACTTCTTACTTGAAGGCACCAAGAACTACCGTGGCAGCCTCTTCCATCTTCTCACACCAAGTCAGGACCCAGCTGCCCCCAGAAGATGAGACACTTGCTAGACTGAGGTGGCCTCGAAAACCCTCCATCCTTTACCTTTCTCGTTGCTGACCTCTTACCTCAGGGGTAAAAAAAAGTCCTTCTTACTAAGACAAGCCTTTTCCCGATGGTCAAGGAAGAAATAAGGTCTTTTGAAGACTTTGAATCAACAATTGTGGTAAACTCCTCTTTATCCTTTCTCCACCGAAATGATCCTACAGTGTTTAGACAGCACGTGGATCAGCCCCTAGGGGTGCTAAGGAAGGGTGCTCACCACAGGTACATCAAGATAAGAGTGTGCTTCCTCAGGTTGGGTGTGCGGAACAGGTCTGCAAATGAAGGGTTCAGCTTTTCGGAGCCATCTTCCTCCACAGAGAGCATCTGGGAGAGAGATGGATCATCATACCTGGGCTGTGTGCCCTGGACAGTCCCCCCCTCCACCAGGGGCCCCAAGTGGACTAACAGGAAGCCCCAGGGGCATTTTCTGAATCACACACCTGGCCCCTAATCCATGAAGGGAGAAACCCTTCTGAGCTCCATTACCTTCAGATCAGCAGGGGGTAACTTCCCGTTCTTCTGGGCAATGTGTTCCATTGTCCTCACGGCTTGAGTGGCTCTCTTCTGGGACAACAGCCACCGAGGGGACTCTGGTACACACCTGTAGGCACAACTCATCACACAGGGTAGTTTTCCCAAAACTCACCTCACTTTAACCCCCGTCGGGAGTGGTGCAGTGATGTGGCTCGGGGCAGCCCACCCTCTTCAGGTGGAGCAGTGAGTCCTCAAGCCACTAGTGGAGGAAGGCCAGGGTCACAGTGTGCTGGGTGGCTGCAGCCCATGCTGTGTGACCCAAGCACAAGCTCTGAGGGACACCTGCTAAGATTCCCAGAGTGGAAAGGAAACATGGCTTCCCTTGGAGCCTTGTTTCTGTAGAGTCCCATCTCTCCCAGTGGCTGGGAACTCTGTGCTAAAGAAATACACAAAATACACACTGAGTAGGTGCCTCACACAGCCTGCCCTGCACACATCAGGACATTCCTGTAAATACTAGGTGTACTGAACAACTACCACAGTATTTCTTAACAAATAGTGTTCATTTTCCTGTACAGATGGTCAAACAACATGCTATTTCTACCTTCATTTCCGTTTCTTTCTTTTTCTTTCTTTCTGAAACAGAGTCTTATCCTTTTCAGTCTTTTGGCTAAGATCACATAGAGACAGGGTCTTGTTACACAGCCCAGGCTGGTCCCGAACCCATGACAATCCTCCTTTCTCAGCCTCCTGAGTGCTCAGATTACATGCATGCATCAATGAGCAAGGCCAGATCATGCTTTCTATTTCAAATGGAGTCAAGAAGTAGCGGTTCAGAAATTGGGACTCTAGTGCTATCATTCTGAAAACTCAGGTCTGGTCTCACCCTGGTCAAACAGACACACTTAGCCCAGGGTCTTTTCCTGCAGAAAGCCCCTTGTTTCACTCTGGCAGGGAGGGGACAGGCTCCTCCCAAACCCATTCAACAGTCTTCAGCTTCTGTATAGAAGCTGGGCCTAGTCCAGTCTCCCCCACAGTGAGATTTATCCCCAGCAAAACTGGTAATGAGTGAAATACGTCTTTCTCTGGGTCTTTCTCCCCTCTCCATAGTGAAGCCTGGCTTCAGATCGTGCAAAGTGCACATGGCTAACGCTTGACACCCATTTGGAGACTTCTGTTTTAGGAAAACTCAGTGGGCACTTTCTCCAAGAAGGCTACTCTGAGAAGCCCATTCATTCATTCATTCATAAATTCTTTCAACCAAGACCAAGTGCCTACTGCATAGCTGGTTGAGAGGCAGGGAAGAGCCTTAATGATGTGAAAAATGAAGTGGGAAGGGAGGCGGGAAAGAGCATGAGGACAGAGGGGGAGGATGAAGTAGGCACCAAAGTCAGAATATCTAACGTAAGGCAGGGTCCCTAGGGGTCTCTGGGGACTGCAGGACATAGTGAGTGGCCACAGTAGTAATAGAATCTCTGTGCTAGACACTCTACGTAGATTATCTCCAAGGCTTCCCAAGGCCTCAGGGCAACACACCCAGATCCAAGGCTGAGGCAGGTGTCCCCTTCGCCTTGTGCTTCTGGAAGGTGTGCGTTCTTTGGCCCTGAGCTGGAAGCCAGCCCTTGTGTGCCACTTGTAGCTCCTTCATTCCTGTCTGCCTGGGTGAGATGCTCTTTCTGAGGATGGCAACCCACATCACGAGAACCCCTAGCAAAACTACAAGAATGGCATGCTGGTGTGTAAGCACCAAGCCCCTGGGCAGCTCTATATGCCTTTAGGTTTGTGGTTCTCAGAAGGTGACCCATGTGGTAGCAGAGATCAGCACCCACCCTCTGTCTCCCTGAGCCCAGCCCTGTGAGCAGACGTGGCATGGAGCAGGAAGGCCGTGCAGAGCCACTATCTCACCAGTAATACAGCAAGAACAGGAAGATGGGCAGAGACACCGCCAGCTGGAGCCAGCGCCAGTCCCTAATGGCGTAGGCCACCCCGGAGAGCCCCACTAGTCCCACCGTGAAGGCCATCTGGTACAAGATCGCAGCAGTCCTTCTGTAGCCAGAGCCGACAAACTCTGTGACTGAAAGAGAAACAGTGGTCAGAGGAAGTTTCCAGGGAAGGGGCCTGGAAAGAGGTGTGCTCCTGAAACCTGCTTCTCACCAGCCACAGGCCGAATGTATGTGGCCTGAGCAGCTGGTAGGAGACCAATGTGTATGACAGAGGGAGGAACCGTTTTGGGGGCATAGGAGGACAATGTCATGCTGTTCTGCCATATTAAGAAATAGTCAAGAAAGGAGACTGAGGGTCTGGAGTGAACAAGAGGGGCACAGGAGGGAGCGTCCTGAGGCTAACAGATGCATCAAGGGGCCAAAGTCTTCTGAGGCTCGTACTGCATCCAGTTCAATCCATTACAGCACCTGTCCGTAGGCCCTTCTCTAGCCTTCACCAAGGAGAACAGAATCGCGTCTCATCTACCTTGTCTCCCAGCTCCTCCCACAGTGCCTGCGAACAGCAGCAGGGCTCATAGGGATGACCACGTGCTGGGCACTGCTCTGGGCCTATCAGATACCCACTACCTTGACTGCTTCTCACAGCAACCACAGGACGAAGGCAACACTGTTACCCTCATGTCCAGGCTACTGAGGCTGCACAGAGATTATGTAACTTGCCCAAGATGATACAATGCACAGTCCTGGAACACTGACTCATCATCAGCAAGAAGGGTGTCGTAGACTACCCTGCCCTTCGTCAGCATCGCCAGTGCAATCATTCTTTCTCAAGGCTGCTCTGCCCTCCTGTCTAGCCAGCTCATGTCTATCTAGGTTTTCATTCAAGTTGAGTCTGACACCTTGATTTTAGAGAGCTGCTGGGTGTTTTGTTCCTACCCACAATGTTAACATATTCTCTACTGCCCCCCACTTTACCGACCCTCACCGATATGGCTACAGAGAGAAAAGGAGGCCACACCCATGCCACGCCAGTCCCAGTCACACAATCAACTAGCTGCCTCCATTTCCCAGGCCCTGTGGACATTCCCTGCCCCCAAAGTCCCATGTGCACAGTTGACTCATTTTGCTCTTCCCTGTGACCTCACCCTCATTGACCACACCCCCCTCCCCATCCATGTATAGTTACTCAGGGTATAGCCGGACACCCAGCTGCCCTTGCTGACCGTGCCCTGCAGCAAGCGGAAGAGCAGCATGGATGTGTAGTCGGGGGCCACGGCTGTCAGCACGCCTGACAGGGCTGTGATCAGGGTGGTCACTAGGAGGCACAGCTTTCGTCCAAATCTGCAGGGGCAAAGGGGTGGAGGGCATGAAGGATCTGGTGTCAGATATGCACATACCCACCTGCCTACCTGACGTTCCTCCTGTGTCTTGAAGGCCACTCTAATACATCTACAAACTCTGTACCTCTGAGCAGGGATACCTGCCTTCAGCAGGAGCCCAAACCCACAAACAGCTGAGATCTGTCTGCTTCTAACTCTCTCATGTCAAAATGACCTGGTGACCACCTGCTTGCTTGGGCACCCTTTCCGTCAGCCCCTTCCCACTGTCCAATCCACATGCCTCTTCCATGACTGTCCACCTTCTCCATCAGCAGCCCTAGAAGCCTAAAGCCCCAGTCACACTACCTCTTGCCTCCACTGCCCTCGGTGATGGATCCCAGCCAGCCACACTCCCCACCCTTGCCACCCAGGGAACCCATTCTCTGGGAAGCCTCAACGGGTAGGCTGGACTAGGCTGCCTTTCACATACCTGTCCGCGATGTAGCCCACGCCCAGGGAGCCGAGGAAGAAGCCTAGGTTCACGCAGGACTGAAAGAGGTCCACCTTCCAAGCCTCACCACACACCAGGTCAAACTGTATCCACATGGAGAGAAGGCCCAAAACTCACAATGGTGGGAAAACCAGCACCTAACTCCATCCTCCCTCCAAACAAAGCAAACTTGAAGATAAAGTTGATCTCCCCAGATTGGTTCATAGTTTTTTCATTAAGACACAATTCAAGGTTCCAGTGAGTCAGTAAATATCAGCATATTCCTAGCACTACCCTGTCTGGCTTCTTCGTGACCCCTTGCATCCCCCTCGTCATGTTCATTAAAACAACTGCTGTGGGTTGCTTTGGTCATTGGACAAAATGCTACCACTGGACAAAATGTCTTTCTAAAAAGAGCAAGAACAGATGAACATCCCCAGAGGAGACATGGCTGCCAGGTAAGCTGTCAGTAAAGGAATACAACTGAGGGCTAGGGAGATGGCTCCATGGATAAAGTGCTTACTGTGTAAGCAAGGGGACCTGAGTTCAAATCCCCAGTGCCCAAGTAAAAAACTGGGCACAACAGTACATGCCTGTAACCATAGTGCTGTGGGTTGAGCTGAACAGATCCCAGGGGCTTGCTGAGTCACGAGTGTAGCTCCAAGTTCAGAAACCCCACCCCAGACAGATGGAGAGTAATAGAGGTAGACAGGAAAACACTCGATGTCAACCTCTGGCCTTCATGGAGGAGCCCCTGCACACACACACACATTCTCACTCTCTCTCACACACACACACACACACACACACACACACACACACACACTCACTCACTCACTCACACAACCTAAAAAGCAAACACATGTAACAAAAGAAATGGAAAGCCAGGCATGGTGGTGGCCAGGCCTGTGATCCCCTCACAAGGGGATTGCTGCACATTTAAGGACAGCCTGGGCACTATAGAAAGACTCTGTCTCAAAAAACAAATGAAAAAGAAAACAGCAAAGATGCCAGACACAGTAGCACAGGCCTATGATTCCAGCACTCAGACAGCACAGAAGCAGGAGGATCAGGAGTTCAAGGTCATCCTCAGCTATGTATTAAGTTCGAAGCCAGCCTAGACTATATAAGACCCTGTCTTTAAGGGGAAAAACAGAACTATAACATGTTTTTCAGAGCTGGTTACATGTAGATATCATGTATTTTACCAAATTCTGTTCCTCATCATGACATCTTACCATGACTAGGAAGCTATGGTGGGCAACAGCAGATAGGGGCCCAGAGACAAAGGCAAGACAGTGGGGAGATTTGGGGGACAGCTAGCAGCTAACGTCCAGGGGTAGGGTCTGAGAGGTTGCTCATATGCCAAGAGTCAGAAGGAGGAGTCAAGGAGGAGACCGGGGAAAGGGACAGCCCCAGGTGTACACTCGTGTTTAGAGACCTGGAGGAAGAAAGGCCCAAAGCACAGGGTGACGGCATATGCCCAGGCAGGGCACAAGGCCTGTGTCTGGCATGTCATTTTCTCTTTAGAACTGGATAAGGCAGACAGGGCAGGCTCCAGGAGGCCAGACATAGGAGCTGAGCCAGACCCTTTGCCCCTTCCCAGTGCTGGCCCAGCCCTTCCACCCTACTGTCTCTCTGCAGAGTCATGGCTCCACCTGCCTACACGCTATGGAATGTGACAGTAACAAATCACGTAGCAACTTGGGGCCTCAGTTTCCCAGCCTAAAAAAATTCTCACTGAATCACTCCAGGGCTTCTGTGAGCATTAGAGGTGAGAAATCATAGTAGTTGGGTTTGGTAAATGATAAACCACGTTCATTTAAATTCTGACTTTCTCTTCGCTTACCCCATGACTCTAAATTTGGCCTATAAGCTATACCCTTTGTCTTCTCATGGGGGCAAACACTCGGAACCCTGAGACAATGCACTCAGCTGACTGCAGTCTGACTGCCTGATGGCTCCTTAATAGGAGCACCTTATTCTTCTATGTGAGCCCATGCGTTGCCACCAGACTTCAGGAGGGAGTGGGAACCTGCCAACTTGTGCCCATACACTTGGTATGTCCCTCTGAGGCCCTGGTTTTCCAGGTTTCCTGCCTGCCCTGTGTTCTAACAGAACTCACTGGGACAGATTGGTCCTGGGTGTTAACTGGATATCCAAGGCTCTGTATCTCCATCTGCCCAACTGTCCTTTGTTGCCTCTACCCCATCTCCCAGGACAACAGTCTATGTCTCACTAAATTTGCAGTGTAGAGGAGGCCCCTGGACCTCAATTCATTACCCTCTTGTCTGTGGTTATTTTTATTCTGATTTTTGCAAGTAAGTGTTGCTGTAGGACAGAGTGTTGCTGTAGGACAGAGTGTTGCTGTAGGACAGAGTGTTGCTGTAGGGTGCTCTGACCCTTTTCTCAAAGGTGGGGATGGCTTCCCTGCCCTGGGACTATGTGTGGAGCCAGACAGCTGCCAGAGCCAGAGGCCTTTCTGGTATCAGCCTTACCATTCAATGCCACTTCGTCCTAAGAACCAACTCTGTCCCCAGTGTCTAGAGCCCTCTGCAAGACTTGCAACGCTGTATGTTTCCTCCACTGCAAACGTGTAGAGAAGTTGGGCCTACATAAAGGCAGGGATGGAGGGGGAGGGGATTCCTGGGCCTATTTCCTCTCCTGCTGAAGGAGCGCTAGGGCTATAATCTTCCCAATATATAAAACAATATTCACCAACTTGCTCATCTGAGGCCCCTGAGTCCTTGTGAAAATACCCATCCTCTATGAGTTTCCCCTCAGTGCGTTCCAGATGAGATGGAAACACAGGTAAGCTTGGGAAGCACTGGTGTGGCCACCTTAGCTCACCTCTGCCCAAGGCTGTTCCCTCTTGTTCAATGCCCAGAGCTGGTGGGCCAGTGGCTCTGTAGCCTGGTGTGGGGACTGTGGTAAAGATGGGACTCATGGAGAAGACAGGGGAGGCAAGAGTCACCAACTATCCCCACTCCTTCTCCAGGGGCCTTGTGGCTCTAATCCCTTAGCCTTTGGGTGGGTGTTAAACAAAAGTTCATCTTCGTCCCAAAAGCCAGTTATAATGTCCAAGGCCATGCTGTGTTAAAAATTAGTTCAACAGAAATGAGTAACTACAGTTAGGTCCCAGTCTGTGGTTCAGGATAAAGAATGAGGCAATTGATTTGAAATCAGCCAGAAGGAGAAATAAGTGGGAGACAGCACCTGGCCAGGCACCAACCTCCACTGCCTCCTACCCTACCCCATCCCTGCTTCTTCCACATGTTCACACATATGTGTTGTATGCATGCATATGTGTTTGTGTGAGTGCACATGTGGGCACATTTTTGGGTACATGCACATGGAGGCCAGAAGTCAACAGTGGGTATCTGCCTCTAGCACACGCCACCTAATTTTTTAAAATCCGTGTGTGTGTGTGTGTGTGTGTGTGTGTGTGTGTGTATGTGTGTGTGTGTATGATGTGTGCACATGCAGTGTGAGTGCAGGTGTGTTCATGTCACGGTGCACATGTAGAGGTCAGAGGACAACCTCGGGTATCAGTCCTTGCCTTCTACTTTGTTTGAGATTCTCTCTCTCTCTCTCTCTCTCTCTCTCTCTCTCTCTCTCTCTCTCTCTTCTTTTTTTCTATTTAGTGGGGGGGGTGTGTGTACATGTGTGGAAGTCAAAGGACCCTTTGCAGGAGTCAGTCCTCTTCATCTACCATGTGGGTTCCAGGGACTGAACTCAGCTTGTCAATCAGGCTTGGTGGCAAGGGCCTTTACCTACCCACTGAGCCATCTTGTCTTCAGTCCTCTGTGTCACTTTGCTGCTGTCTACACCAGGTTAGCCGGCCCACCAGGTTTGGAGGATTCTTTTTCCACTGGGATTATAGACGTGTGCTACCACACCCAGCTTTTTATAGGAATGCTGGGGATCTGAACTCCGGTCCTCTTGCTTGCACAGTAGGCACTTTACGGAATGAGCCATCTCCTCCAGCCCTCACATCTGGGCTTCTTATTACCTTCGAATGTCTCCAAGTAAATGCCACCAGCTTTCAAACTCAACCCAGCACAGTGCACTTTCTTCTAAAATCCAGCCCTCTTACTGCTTCCCCCAAACACAACTCAGAATCTTCACCAAGCTCTACTTTGTGGCTTCTGAAACTTCCTTCAGTGTGTAGACCATCAATTCTTTCTCTACCTTCCCAGGCTGCTCCTTCCACTGGGTTCCAGCCTGGTGCTCCATGGCTCTCTTCCCCCACTGCCCCCAAGCCAGAACCCTCAGACAAACTGGATTCCACTCATGCAGCCTCTATATCTGCCATTCTCCCACAGCATCCATGTGGGCTGACATTTTTCAAATCACTTTTTTTTTAAAGATAGGGTCTCATGTAGCCCAGACTAGTCTCCAACTTCCTATGTAGTCAAGAATGATCTTGAACTCCTAATCCTCCTGCCTCTACCTCCTGAGCGCAGTGATTGTAAGGCACTCCTGCACCACAGTTTATGCAGTCCGTCCCAGGAACTGAACCCAGGGCCTCAGGCATGCTAAGCAAATACTACCAACTCGGCTACATCCCCCAGCCCTCCCAGACCTCTTTTCTTGGCCCCCTGTACATCTCCTACCTCTTCTGAAGCCTTCAACCCCAACACCCATCTGATTCTGAGTCACTCACCAGATCCATCTAAATAAGATCAAACTCTTTCATTTAGTAAGGGTGTGTGTGTGTGTGTGTGTGTGTGTTTAGCAAGTTAAAAAATGGAGCATGCTCAGTTAACTTTGAATAAACTATAATTATTTGCTTGTTTGAGACAGGGTCTTACTCTGTAGCCCAGGCTGGCCTGGAACTCACAGTAGAGAACAAGCCAGCTTCAAACTTGTGGTGATCCTCTTGCCTCACCTGCTCAAGCTCTGGGACACAGGTGTGAATCACAACTAGCTCACTCTTTTTTTAGTAGACATATTATCTATGAAATGTTTATGTTTATAACCCCAGTTATCAGAAGAAAATATCATGTAATATCTACAACCTCCTTGTCCTTTAGAAAATTTGTCTACGGGCTGGGGATGCGGTGCAGTTGATACCCTGTTTGCTCGGCATGCACAAAGCCCTCATCATTGAGTAAAACAGGGTACGGTCCTGCAAGCCTAAAATGCCTGCACGAGGGAGGCTGAGGGAAGAAGATCACCAAGAGTGATCCCTGGCTGCAAAGCTACATGGTGAGTTAAAGGGCAGGTTGGGCTACTGAGACACTGCTTCAAAAACAACTACTTGGGGGCTGAGGGCTTTATCCAGCCAGGCACAGTGACTCATGCCTGTAGTAATAGCCACTCAAGGGCCGAGGTGACAGTCATGTGAGCTCAGAAATTTGAGTCCAGCTTGAACAACACAGCAAAACCCTTCTTCCCTTGCCCAGTTGTGTTTAACTGGGCAGGGTATACTTCATCTGGCAGCTATAAGGACTCCATATTCTAACCCTCAAGGTGAGAGGCCATTACATCCTTCCAGGTGACTCCTCTACATCTGCACAGGCTGCCTCTCCCTCTCTCTCTCTCTCTCTCTCTCTAGGAAGAGAAAGGGAAGGAGCCCTAGTAAGAGCTGATATTGCCCAGCTAAGCGGAGCCATTGAAGACTGACTGGTCAGCTGAAAACCTCTGATACACACACACACACACACACACACACACACACACACACACACACACACACACACACATCTGCTCCCACTCCTGGCTGGTCAGAATACACCCAAGGCTCCATTTAAATGCACCCCTTCTAGGATAAGGCTGAAGATCAACTCCACATCATCACATGGCCACCGGCCCCTCTCACCTGCTCACAGAAGCTGTACAAATGACGCTATTAAGTGGATACTGGCTTCATTCTCAATATGCCTCCCCCTCCTCTCTGTGCCGACTGCAGACTCCCAGGGTGGACCTCAAGGCTAGGTGGTCCCCTCACAGTAGCTGTGCTTACTGAACAAATGAGTGGTGAGCAGATAGGCGGGCAATGACATTGACCCTGGTCAAGCAGAGTTTTTCTCAGGAACATGTTAGTCAGCTCCTAGATTTCCATGTGGCATGTCCCTGCAAAGTGAGCCATCTGCCACTCCAGATGCCTGATGGCCAGATGTCCAAGTTCCAGCACATAAGGCAAGGTGACCCAGCAGAGTGCTGCACAGCTCAGGGGGAGGGAACACTGGGCTTCCCTCCGGGAGCAGCCCTTACTGAACTGATGTTAAAACCGCTACGGAAAGGGGAAAAAGAAGAAAGGAGCCCCAAGAAGAGCTGTGTGCATATTGGAGGGTGGGGGCTAGGGAGGAGGAGGGGAGGGGAGGGGCCTAGGCCTCTCATTCAAGGTAAACTGTGCCTGGCCACAGTGAAGCTATCATTAAAACACCCTCCAGTCTGGGCTTAGGACCTCGCCACTGGACAAAAGTGCTCATAGCATCAGAAGAGTTCACGGAGGCCGAAAAAAAAAAAAAAAAAAAAAAAAAAACCTAATGGCATTTTTCACTAAAAGACTCTCAAAGTCAAGTGCTCAAATAGCCAATTTGGGCTATAAATAATCTAGTCAAGCCTCCTTGGAAACTTTTGCACTACCTCCTAGACCATAAACTGTGTAACTTTATGTTTGGTCAGTACCTTCCCAGTTCTCAGCTGAACCTTCTCACACAGTAAGTCAAGTTACTGCAATCCCTGTTTACCCACAAGGAAATGAAGGCTCAGAGAAGCTGAGCAACTTACCCAGTGATGCTCAGCTAATAAGAGGTACGGCTTGAGTCAGATAAGTAATCTGACCCCAAGTCAAGGTGATTTCCATACTACCCCGACCGCCATTGTTTGGGTCACTTTCGATCGCCTGGGGAGAAGGGCAAGGTTCCACAATACCAGGTCCAGGAAAACAGGACCCAAAGTGAAGACTGTAGGTTCTGAGAGCAGACAGCAGGGTAAGGGAAAAAAGTCCAGGCTGGGCCAGCAAGACAGCTTATAGGGTAAAGGTGCTTAGCACCAACCTTGCTGTCTGGAGTTCGAGCCCCAGGATCCACATGGTAGAAGAAGAGAACTGATTCCTGCAAGTTGTCTTCTAATACGCACACAACATGCCATGGCATGCATACCAATACATACATGCACACAACACACACAAACAACAACACTGTTCCCACAGGACAGTGTTCAAATCTTCAGAGCACCTGCTTGTGTGGCTCTGAGCCTTGGCTTCTTCTCTGATACCCAGTGGTGGAAAGGACACAGGGGGCCTGGGCAGAGCCCGCCACCTGCCCAGTGCACAGGAAGGTGGACCCCTCCCTCCTGCTTGATGAGAACAGAGCCAAGCAGGATTTGGTTCCAATGTCCTATCTGTTCTGGAGGCACCACATTACCCAAAATGAGGAGCCCGTTAGTACCTCTGTGACAATGGAGGAGCCGGGCATGTCATACACCCAGCCGTGTTGGCAGGGGCTCAGAGGCAGGTGGCTCCGGTTGGCAGCCAGGCTGGACAGAGGGTCCACGCAGTCAAGGCTGGTCTGGTTCCAGTCCACGTCATACTGCATGCACTGGTGGAGGAAGGTCTCGTCCGCAGCCCCCAGGCCTGGCACCGTGTAGTTCAGCTCCTCTGCCAGGCTCCAGCCACATCGCTGGCTCAACTGGGCCACCCCTGGACTCTGGCAGCGGTGGTCAGGGGTGAAGCCCAGGAAGACGATACCCACGTAGATGGGGGCTAAGGCGATCGAGATCAGACATAGCAGCAGGAAGGCTTGCTTCTGGAACCAGCCGAACTCCCCAATCTGCTCCAGAACATCGTCTACGGTGGGCATGGCTGGGCAATGCCCTCACCAATGTGGCTAGATCTGCTTGGGGCTGCCACCAGAGCTGCCTGCGACGTCTCATTTAAAGATCTTTGAAATGGGGTGGTTTTCAACGAAGTTGCTGCCCAAGCACGAAACATCTGGAAGGCACCCAACCAGAAATAACCTTTTGCCCCATGATGCCGGTGTGAGGGCCAGGGGAGAACTTTTGCGCCAGGCTGATTGACCCTCGACCCTGTTTGCTTTGCTGGAAAGCAACTCACGGGCTCCGGCCTCGGAGAACTTGTCTGCAGGGCGGGAGGAGGGTGCAGGCAAGCAGGCCTGAGCACCTGCTTGCTCAGTGCCTCTGAACAGCTCTTCTGAACACAGCCTTTTGTGAACTGGGTGTGTCAGCTGGTAGATTGCTTTCCCAACATGTACAAAACACTGGGTTCTATCCCCAGCACCACATAAACCGCGTGTGCTGGCACACACTATAATCTTAGTACTCAGTAGATAGAGAAGAATCTTAATCTTAGTACTTAGTCTCAGTAGCAGGAGAAGCAGACATTCAAGCTGGCTACAGAGCTAAACTTGAGGTCAACCTGGGTTCATGAACTCCTATCTCAGAAATTAATTAGTTAATTAAGACACTCAGGACCACTGTTTTACAGGATGGCAGGCTACTGTCAAGTGGCCTTGTGTAGAGCAGTTGTGATTTGCTTATAACAGATGAAATGGTAAATGCCAAGGGTGACATCTCATGATTTCATCATATAAGACTGGTCTGCCCAAGTTCTGGGAGTCTCCCTCCCTTGTTACTTTGATGAAGCAAGTGCCTTCTTTGGAAGCTGGTGTGACAAGGACCTGAGAACCAGTAAGAAATTAAGACCCTCAGCCCTCAACCACAGGGACGGAGTCCTACCAGCAGCCATTTGGGCTCAGAGGTTCATCTCTCCCCAGACGAGCCATGTCATGACCATGGTGACATGACCTCCTGGTGGTAGAGTGTCCACTGAGGCACAGCTACCCTCTCAATCCACAAAAACCAGTAGTCAAGCATCTGTGTGGTTTAACCCCTAGCACATGAGCAGCAGGATTGCTATACAGCAACAGATAGCCCACCCCAGCGGCCGGCTTCTCAGAGCACATTGGCAGTCTGTTGCTGTGGACTCTTGTAAAGGACCTCACAGCAGGGCATCTAGAGGCTGTGGTGGGTGAGCCCTCCCTCTGCCCTTAGGTCTGCTAGAGTGTGACTGTGGAGGAACACACAACACAGCCCAACACTGTTGCCAGCAACCTAAGGAGTTTCCTGTCCCCTTAGCGACAGACATTCTTGAGGATGACAGAAAAGAACTTCAGGATGAGTTGACAGTGAAGCACTTTATGAAGACAAGGGAGAGCACCTGCTTTAGCTGTGAGCGTGCGCATCAGAGAGTGGGGATGCTTAGGAAAGGAATGTACTACCTAAAACATGGGTGTGGGCTTCTCAAGACAGAGAGGCACATTGGTGTTTTCACAATGGCTACACTGTGAGACTGTAGCTTTATAAGTTATACTGCTCAAGGGAAGTAGTTTACAACAAGATTTAAAGATTAAACAAACCTTGGGACTGGGGATGTAGTTCAGTTGGTCAAGTGCTTACCTGGAGGCCTAAATTCAAGCCCCAGCATCACTTAAAAGTGGGTGTGGTGATAATGCCTGTAATCCCAGCACAGAGGAAGTGGGGGCGGAGGCAGAAGGGTCAGAAGAGCTACCAAGACCGGCTGAGACCAGCCTGGGCTACATGAGACCCTATTTCAGAAAAAAAAAAACTAAGGAAAGCTTAGAATATAAGTGTTATATTTTAAGATGAGTGTTATCTCATCTCAAAGGATTTTTTTTTTTTTGTCTTTTTTGAGGCAGTGTCTCCCTGTAGTCCCAGGATTTCCTTTTGCAAGTGAAATTGTGCCATGTTTTTTACAGTGAAGTTCAAGATCATAAAACACTCCTTTGTTGTTTTAACTTTTTATTGCTGTAGGAAGTGCAGTTACGTTGAAGTTTCTTGACTCTCAGGCAGCAGGATCCCAGGACGAGGGCCTTCTTTCTTTTCCCTTTAATTTTCCTTGTTTTTCTGTCCTGCCTCAAGGGGGGTGAAGATAGCCTGTACTGGGTGTCTCTAGTCCCAGGGAAATCCTGAGCCTGGTTCTGCTCACCATGGGACAGAGAACAGAGTCAGGAGGCCAGAAACATACTGTTAAGGTTCAGATAGCCCCACCCCCGACACCAACAGTATCCCAAGGACTTCTCAAGCTCCTGAGAAAAGGGAACCTAGCTGATAAGCACCTTGGTCTTTGAAGTCAAGAGAAGCAGACTTTTCTCCACTGTTTGGCCAACACAGCAGGCTTCCCCTTTGATCTCTAAAGGGAACAGGTTTTAACAGTTCTGCTCTCCCACTTCCCGCCCCACCCAACTTTAAAAAAAAAAAATACATCTTCCCACCTTCTGCAGGAAGCAGAAGCCTCCTTTTTAAAAAGACCCCAGCTCAAGACCCAGGCAGACATTTTCCCTGCCTGGAAGAGAATCTGTCCCATGTGTTCCTTTGCTAATAAACCCTATTTGGATGGAGTTTTATCTGTGCCTCGGTGCCTCATCCTCCATTCGCTCGTTCTCTGCCAACTTTTTACCTATCACATACCATCCAGGTTAACCAGTTGTGAACAAAAACGCCAAGAAAAAAAACTGCATCTTAAAACTGAACCCTCAGGGGCTGGAGAGATGGCTCAGCAGTTAAGAACACTGGTTGTTCTTGCAGAAAACTCAGGTTCAAAACCCAGCACCCACGTGGCAGCTAACAACTGTCCATAACTCCAGTTCCAGGGGATCCGACAGCCTCTTCTGTCCTCCACAAGCATTGTACGACACAGGTGCACTTACCTACATGCAAGCAATTACATGCATACACATAAAATAAAAATAATGAATAAAACATTGAAAAAAAAAACAAAAACAAAAACTGAACCTTCAGTAAATGGTGATCAACTGAATAGAACTTAAGAGATGGTGGAGAGTTTGGAACGATGCAGGTCCAGAGCCCAGTTACCATTTATCTTGGATCATCTTTAGCCTCCTAATAGCCACTCCTTGCCCACCTTTGTTTCTGATTTAATATTCTGTGACTAACAGATAAAAGCCTTTTGGAATGTATTAGTGGACCACCAGCTTCTACCAATCAAAAGACTGAGTGTCTGACTAGATTCATCAGAAGGGCAAGTAGTGGGGGATGGCTGGGGGTGCCGACAACACAGCAGACAGTAGCAAGGATAGCAGAGTGTATGAGGGGGCTCTAGTCGGGGGAGGGAGGCTATGGGAGGGTGCCATCTGGGAAGTGGGTGTAAAAATAAATAATAAAATTTACATTAAAAAAAAGACTGTCATCAGAGAGCATCTGAAGCCTGTAGCTGAGGTTTCTCTTCTGCTGTATTGGCCTACTTAAAGTTTCTACCAATGTATTTGAAAAGTGTTTTATGACTGTTGTTTTGTTACTATAAGAATTTCATGAAACTGCCTCCATGCTGGAACATGGAATTTGAGGTAACCTGAATCTGTGTTCCCAGAGTATAGTCACTCATATTTGGTTCCAGAATAGACGAATTCTTATCCCCTTTGAGGTGAGAGTTGCACTTTTGCAAGGACACGGTGGTCTCTGTCTCAGGTGTGTGCCCAGCTGACTGGCTCTGCACTGAGAACCCTGGTACTCTCTAGCAGACTGTCACTTTGCAGAATCTACACTGGACTCCCACAAACTTCACCTCTCCCTTGCAGGCTCCTAGCTGCCTGCCTGTGAAACAGACTGAGCTCCTGGGAAACTGGGTCACCTCAGCACTGGAGTTAAGATGCGCCGGTAAGAGGTATCAAAACACAGCCTGCATGAAACAGCTTCAGAGCCTCCTTTGGGCTCTAGGAGGGCATGTGACAGTTTGGGTGAGTCCTTCCATGTGCACACAGGCGCAGCAGGTAAACAGCACACAGATTGCTGGGTGAGCGCTTTGCTTCTGAGGCTCTATGCACCAAGGCTGGGAGCTGGCTTAGTCATGACATTCCTTATTTGGGGGCCGAGCTGAAGCTGCCTCTCCTTTCTTCTTTAGAAGGGTTCATCCAGGGGCTGCTGCTGGAAGGGCTGAGTACATCCTGGGAGAAGGGAGGAGGGCAGGAAGCAGGAAGAAGGCTGTGAGGCAGAGGGCAGGAAGGTAGAGAGGAAAAAGTGGGGGTGGGAGGCCACAAGCAAGCCCCTATCCAAAGAAAGGTCACAGAGTTCACTCAGAACTGGAGTGCCCTTTCTGAATCCCCAAGATGTTCACTTCCCTGAGCAGCACCCTGCATATGCCTGGGGACTGGCCAGGGTAGAAAGGTCCATTTTCAACACATTCCACAGAGAAGCCAGGTCCCCTCTCTATTCCTATGGTTCCTGCCACCAGGCTGAGCGCTATGCTCACTGCTCACTTATTCATGAAGAATAGCAGCTGCCCTGGCTCTGGACGGGAGCTGGGCTTCCTGCCTAGACAGCTGGCTCAGGCCTTTCCTGGGTGGGAACTGGGAGCGGTGGGCTCTTTCCTGCACTGTGTGGCCCCCTTTGTCTCTGTCCAGTTGTATGCTTCCAGTCCACAAATGGATGTCCTATATCCCAGGCAAACGGCAAAAGAGGAACAGGTTGAGGGCCATGCACGAGAGAACCCAGCCTCTAGGATGGAGGCACAGGCTCCCTCCCTGCTGAGATGTCATCCATGTTCTAACACATTCCCAAGTTAACCACACATAGATAAGAAACCAAAGCCAGAAAGACAGACACTATAGTTTGGATGTGGTTTCTCTCTGCCAAAAATCAGGTTGAAACTTAACTGCCAGTGTAAGGGTACGGAGATATGGCAAGACTTTCAAGAGGCATTTGGATCACAGAGCTCCTCCCTCACGAAGGATTAATGTAGTACCCATGAGATTGGCTTAGTTACTACAAGAGCAGGCTGTTTCACAGCCCTCTTTTTTCCCTCTCTTCCACATGTACACAATCACCCTTTCAATTTCTCCTATGAGTGAACATCAGGGTGCCACACCAGCACCATGCTCTGGATTTTCCAGCCTCCAGAACTATGAGCCCAAATTACCCAGCTTTCAGTATTTTGTTCTACACAAACAGACTGAGATCACAGGTCAGAGAGAAGCCAGGTTCAAGGACAAACCCAGGCACCTATGAGGACTGGCCTCCTAGGGTGTTCTAGATAGAGCCTAGAGCGTCCAAGTGGCCATTGGCAGAATGGGGCTGACTAGTCCTGCCTAAAGGAGCAGGGTTGTGGGGACACCAAAATGCCTGCAAGGCGGACCAGCTGCTGGGAACAGGGCCTCCTTCCCACCCAGCGATGTCCAAGGTTCGGAGCAGCTCCCTGGAGCAGAGCTTCCCTTTGTCCTGTCATGTCTCTCCATGGTTTTTTTTATTTTTTCTATTGTTCTGAGACAATCTAATGTAGCCTATGCTAATAGCTGAGGCTAGCCTTGAACTGCCAAGCCTCTGTCCTCAGTCTCCTGAGTGCTGGGATTACAGACATGCACCACCATACCTAGTTTCCACAATTTGTGTTTATGTGGTATGAGTTGTACCTGTGTGTGTGCTCCCATGTACACACATGGGGAGGCCAGCGGTAAACGTAGGATGTCCTCCTCTATCAGCCTCCATCTTATTCTTCGGAGACAGGGTCTTTCTGCCTCTGATTGGCTAGACAGGATGACCAGCAAGCCCCTAGGATCCTCATCTCTGCCTACCCAGCAATGGGCCTACAGGTGGGCACCAACACAGTTTTTTATATGGATGTTGGGTCCTTATTGTACAGCACGTGTGTCCTGAGGTAGAGGGAGGCCGAACAGGGTGAACAGGGCAACTTATGGGTCAAGGTCATAAAAGCTGAAGAACTTTCCAGACTGAAAGCAACTGAAGAAACAAGCGGGCTGACTGCAATGGTGAGTGCGATCACAGCTCCCTCACTGGGACAAAGGCCAGACACACCCCCCCCCCAAGCAGGGCCTTAGGCTTAAGGCTGACAGTGCAATGTGTCCACTCACAGTCCGGTTTGGGCGACAGTATTGTGGTCGTGGAGAACTGGTCCTTGCCTGTAGGAGTGACAGGCTCAGATGCCTGGTGATGGCATAATGTCAGGGAGGCAACCTCATCTGAAGTGACTCAGAGGACTCCATCCTACGGGCTCAGAGTGCCTATACGCTGATGATCTCACGACTTGAAAAAGAATCTGATGCCAAGTACAAGGGCTCGGGCCTGTTTGGAGAGCAACCTTTCTGCTGTGTGCAGCTCCTCCATCCTTCCTTTCTTCCCTTCCTTGGCAGGCAGCTCCTGAGGCTACTCCACTGAGACTGGGCTGTGAGCAAAGGCAGCCTGGACCTGGTAACATGACCACAGTTCTATCTATGGCTCATAGATACCACTACACTCGGTCTCACTTTATCTGACCCAGTCCAGCTCCCTCTTGCCACATGACTACGTGATCCTGACTCCATAGAACCACGTCTACAGGGTGAGGGCAAAGTGGTCGGCACAGTGGAGCCCTGACCAGAAAACCAAACCGGTGTAAGCAGCCTCTTTATGAGCTGGGAGCTCCACTGATACAGGGCCAGGATACCCTGGCCCTAGAGTCCTTATTCCCAAGAGGGGGATGGGGTGGGTCAGTGAGCCCATGAGTTCTTTTTTTCTATTATTTTTATGTGTATTACCTGCATGTGTGTAAGTGCGCCCGTGTCATGCAATGCCTGGGGAGGTCAGAATAAGGCATCAGTCAGATCCCCTGGAACTGGAGCTACAGATGGTTGTTAACCACCATGTGGGTACTGGGAATCGAACCCATGTCCTCTGCAAGAGCAGCCAGTGCTCTTAACTGCTAAGCCATTTCCCCAACCCTGAGCTTGTGAGTTCTTCACCTTATCCCCAAGTATTCTAAGAAGGCAGCAGCAATGCTTCCAAAAAGAACTTAGCTACGTAATGTTAGTCTTGGTGATACTGGGGTTTCAACTGCTTTTACAAGGTCCCAGATAGCCTAGTTTCCTCTCTTCCATGGATTTTCTTGCAATGGGGTTAACCAGGGTCTTTAGGTCCACACTCATTCTGTCTCAGCATTCAACAGACTCACAAAAGAGGCACAGGAAAAAAAAAGGAGGCACAGAAAATCTGGTTATAAGCAAACTAAAATATGAGGGCTGTGCTCCTCATTGGTTAGAACCCTTTCTCTGAAGAGTAGAACTATTTGCCATCAGGGAATGTTTTGCTGTAAGTACCTGTACCAACAGCTGACAGGAAGAGCAAACACACTCCCACTCCTCACGGCCCACATGCTGAGGTGTGGCTGTCACTGCAGGAGCCAACACAGCCAGCACCTTGCCCTACCACTGAGCTGACCGGGGGCAGCAGGCCTCTGCCAATGCCCTTCTGTATGGAGGACTCCTGTAGTCTGACCAGAAGTGGTTAAGGCTGGAAGAACAGCGCCCTAGAATGCCTGAGGAATGGGCTAGGGTAGTAGCTCAGTAGTGGAGTGCTTGCCTTGCATGAACAAAGTCCTGGGTTGAGCTCCAGCACCACATAAACAGGGCTTGGTGGTGCTCACCTGTAAACCCTGCTCTCCAAGAGTGGAGGTATCAGTTAGGTATCCTTGGCTACCTAACAAGTTCTAGGCCAGGCTGGACTGTAAGTCTTTCTTTAAAAAAAGGTGGGGGGACAGGGGACAGAAGACACCGGTTTGTATGCAAGCGCTATGTTATTAAAGGGATGATCTGGTAACCAATCCGCTTCACAGGGACAATTCTCATCCTGGACAGGCAGAGTAGGACACACACGCTTTCTTCTACTCAGAACAGTGTTAGTTAAAACATACAAATTATTTCTGGAATTTTCCACTTAATACTTCTGGACCACAGTTGACCACAGGTTAACAGGAATTTCAGACAGCAGAACTGTGGCTAAGAAGGGACTACTTAGAACTTTCTCCTTTGGTGGTAGCTCTCAATGACTAATAATGTAATAAAGGCTCATAAATTTATTCAGGAACAAACACTCCCATGTTACACTGTGTCCCAAAGACGCTTTACTGATGACTGGAATTCAATTCCACAGTTGTTGCTTTGGTAGACAAATATCCTGAGTGTTAGCTGGAAAGAGTGGAGCCCGCAGACCCAGACAACACTGATGGAATCCGAGTTGGCACATACATACAAGCTGGCAGTCACCATGGAAAGTGAAAAGCTTCCTAAGGACACCAGAGCTAAAACCCAAATGCAAACACTTTAAGTTTAGTAGAAGGAAAAAATCAGGCATGTCAATGCCCACCAACTCAGCAAGTTATCACAATCAAGGAAAGTGGGGGAATCAATGAGACCCAATTAATAATTTATCTTTTATTGAAATCGAATACTTTATATTACAGTAAAATTGATTGAAAAAAAGAAAAGAAAAATCAATTTTAAAAAATACACTCATGTTGAAATCAAATAAGCCAGCCAAATCGGGCATAAACCAAGAAATTCTGCAGGGTGGTTTGCTTTTCGGTATGCGAACACCACCTATATACAATTCTACAGCGCGAGAAAAGTCATTGAATGTGTCGAGAAAGGAGTCCACAGCCAGTGGAAGGACACCAGGCCTGTCCTTCTATCCCAGGACGCCAGCCAGGAGCCTCGCCCCAGGCACAAGTCCATGCACAGCACTGGACTACACACTGGCCCACCGTGTTTCACACGATGTCCGTTAAGTCACCCTGTGCAAATTAAGGCTTCTTATAGATCGAATGGATAAACATTTTTTTCTTTAAAAAAAGAAAGCACAGTAAAGGTGGTAACACGAGAACCTGAAGAGACAAGACCTGCAGCTCAGCCCGAGAGCAGCTATTCTGTCGCCTCAACTCCACTCACGAGCACAAAATCTGTATTGGGGTGGGCCGCAGGAACGCTGGTAAGTGTGCTCTGCATACCTGGGACAATGCATGCAAGAGCTGCAGCCGCTATGGCAAGGCATGGAGCGGGTGAGCCCTCCCAGACCCAGGCACTCAGGACCCTGTGCATGCACATGCGCCCCCAGGAATCAGGAAACAGAACTGCAACTCACCCATGTGTGCATCAATGATCAATTCAAGCGCCACATGCACTGGCCCTGGCACACCGCCAGCTTTGCCTTCTCCTGAGACACCCTGTGCGTTATGCCCCTGCCCTGCCCACATGAAGAAATTGGCTGTTTTTTCTCTCTTTTCTTTTTTCGCAAACCTGAGTAATTGTCAAAGTCAATAAATAGGGAGAGAGAATTACAATGCTAAAAATATAAATGGTCAAACACCCTATGGGGTCTAAAGCAGCAAGGGTTTGTTTCCAAACACAGTCCTCTGTTCTGAGATGTGTGTGGCCTGGGCACCACTTGGAAGCTCACAGCAGCTATGCTTGTAAGTGAGGACTTGGGGCAAAACCCTGGGCACGAGGTATCGCCCTTTGGCTGATTCGAGCAATGCCTTGTTCCATTGACTGTAAACGATCACGAAGGAGCGGTGCTCACCTCCTTCACCCTCTCCCCCACCGCAAAAACTCTTCCCTTTTGAAGCAGTTTTTGTTAAAGGCAAAATGACAGAAGCATCGAGTCTTATTTGGTTGGAGGTGCTTGGCTGTCCCATGGCTCCACGTCCTCCTGTAGGCACCGTGGAGTTAGATGTGTAAGAGGTCCTCATCACTGTCATCGTGGAAGGACACCAGCTTGGTAGAGGTTGATGACTTGTGCTGTCCAGGCCTGGGATTCCCTTTCCTGGCCTTCTCACCTTGGACCAGGCCCACTCTATCGTCCTCCCTCTCCCTAAGGCCCTTCTGATGTGGGTTTCTCACAGGCTGTGAGCTTTCTACCCCGGCTCCTCTGCCCGAGTGAACTTTCACCTCTGGGATGGTCAGGACCTCATCCTCACTGTCCTGGTCATCCCCATGCAGAGAAGTGAGGGCGTCTGCTTTCACAGACTTGGTGGTGATGTGGCCGTTCTCCTGGCCCTCCTTCCCGAGTCTAGGCGTTGGCAGTTGGATCTCTTCCATCAGCCACTCTGTCTCATTCTCGTCTGTCTCCTCTTCCTTGTTCACCTGTCAGGATCGACAGCAGAGACTACGTTGAGTCCCGGCAAAAACAACTCTGCTTCGTGGAAGCACTCTCAACACAGTTCATCCCAGGGCCTCTCTGCTGGCAAGAGCTGGGCAGGAGCCTGCACGCTGCCTACCTCCCTTCCTCCCTGGTTCCCAGGTCCCCAGCAAAACGGCAACAGGCGCCTGACTATGGTAAAGCTGTGGGTCAGTTACAAGTGGAGCCATTGGCAAGCACCTCACAGCCAAAGGAGATAAGGCAGACGGGACCTGCCTCAACCCAAGGCTGTTAAGCAGTGCTGGGGGAGATGGGCTCTTCTGGGTCGTGTGTCAAAGGAAGTGACATCTGGTGTGTAAGAGAAGGCAGAGGAAGAGCTCATGTTAGTCGTGTGTGCGCACGTGCATGTGTATGGAGTCCACAGGACAGTCTTGGGTGCCATCCCTGAAGAACCATCCACCTTGTTTTTTTGAGACAAGGTCTCTCACGGGCCTACTGCCCAACAAGTAGACAAGGCTGGCAGGTCAGTGAGCCCCAGAGGTCTACCACTCTCCAATTTCCCAGCACTGGGATTTTAGGTGTATCAACACTTTTTTTTTAACTTTATGTATGCATATATTGCCTACGTTTGTAAGTGTACCCGAGTGGTGCAATGCCCACAGAGGTCAGAAGAAGGTGTCAGATTCCCCCAGAAATAGAGTTAAGGACGGTTGTTAGCTGCCATGTGGGTGCTGGGAATCAAACCCGGGTCCTCTGTAAGAGCTGCCAGTGCTCTTAACTGCTGAGCCATCTCTCCAGCCCCTCTCCCCCCTTTTTTTGGACATGGCTTCAGGAGGATCAAACTCTGGTCCTAATGCTTACAAGGTACGCACTACCCACCAAACCATCTCTCCAGCCTCAGCTTAGTTTTAGAAATCTGGCAATTTTTTAAGGGCCACAAACATTATTTATGTCCTTTGAGCTAAGACTTGCCTTAAAAGTTTATCTGAAATCACCCAAATGTTAGATGAAAAGAAATTTCATTACCAAAGCTTTTAAGAGTTCCAAACCATGAGAATAACCTATTAGCTGCTTTTAAGGAAATCAGCTGTAACCATACTGAGAGGCTTGAAGGCAGGAACTCCACAAAAAATGGTATTAGGTAAGAGATTAAGCAACAGTTATCGATTCCCTCCAGGCTGCTGTGCTCTTCCCAGCATGAGGACAGGCACCATCACTGGCCAGCACTGCAGGAGGGCAACAGGCAGCACACAGTACCTTGGAGTACTTGTAGGTCACATTAGAGCTTCTTCGACAGCAGTTGGTTAGCTTACTTATCATGGTTTCCCTGTCAAAATGGAGACCAGTTAGTCCAGAGCAGAATGAGCAGGTAAGGTATCGCATCCTGGCCCACGGTCCAGTGTATGCACCCCTGCAGACTAGGTGGCAGTGACTCTGTCCCCAAACACATCCCTCCCAAGGTGCATTCTAATGATGGACTGTGACAGCACAGGTAGAAACATCTTCCACCTCTTGGACACACAAGGCCCCCAGGAGGTCACTTAACATTTTGCTTAGTTTTTTGTACGTGGCAGGAGCACACCTTCCTACTGCCCAAGGCTCAGTCAGCATGTGCCCAGTCTACTCAACGGCTTGTACAGACACAGACCCAAGGCTCTTCCTGGGCCTGAGCCCTTCTCTCCCAGGTCTTCATTTCTGGGCATGGTCAGCTCCAGCCAGAACTTCTCAGCCACTTCCCCAGGGCCTCGCTAATGTGATATGGTCCTGTGACAAGCCTTCACCCAGCAAAGGCAGGTCAACAGGGATAGCACCATATCTGAAACACAGCAGGTGCTTAGCAAATGCTCACTGGTATAATGTGGGGAAGGAGACAGGGTCAGCTGATTAATAGGAAATCTACTCATCAGTTTTTGAACTCATTACAAAGCCCACACCTTAGACCCATCAGTACCAGCTAGGGAGATCATGGTATGTGCACACAGTGTGAACTCATTTGTACCAATGGATGGCACTACAAATAGCTCTAGGCAATCTCACACACCATGTGAAGGAAACAAACATTTCTTAAAAATCAGTAGTATTCATAGAATTTTTCAACCAAGATGTCTGCTGCTGCTGGGTCCAAAACCCAAGCCTGTGCCCCAGATCTGATGCTGAGCTGCTGGCCTGGCCACCCCAGCCCCAACTGGACAGCTGTGTGTCTTACCTCCTTTCTTTCTTATGAAGCAGCAGGGCCAGCAGACAGCCAGTCAGCGCCACCAGGAGCAGGCTGAGGATTGCCCCAACAGCCTGACTCCGTTCTGAGAGTCCTTTATACTCCGGCCCATCAAGCCCAGCACCCTCACCATCAAAGCTCACCCTAGAGACACAAAGAGAGAAAGAAAGCTGTGTCAACATCTGTATACAGCAACACCCCTAGGACTCCCAGAGCCCAGGGACTGGGCTCCCCTGGACAAATGCCCCATGAGTTTGCCCCTGCCTGGGACATCTGATCCACAGTGATTCGGAGAATGTGTTTAAGGTAGGGGACAGAAAACGCTAGGTGCTGGAGACATGGACCAGCCTCAAGAAAATTGCCTCCTATGGGGTCTGCTCATATCCACAGGACTCTGTGGGCCCAGCAAAGGCAGGGATCACCTTCACCATCTATCTGCTAAACTGACTATAGGAAAAGACAGAGGGCACAGTCAGGGAGGGCTTCACAGACAGTCAGGGAGGGCTTCACAGACAGGGAGGGCTTCACGGGTGGTCAGGGAGGGCTTCACAGACAGGGAGGGCTTCACGGGCACAGTCAGGGAGGGCTTCACGGGCGGTCGGGGAGGGCTTCACCAGCATAGCCCCATCTCGGAATCTAGTCCAGGGCTTCCAGGAAAAAGGGATACCTGAGACAGGCTGGCTTGGGCAGATGCTATGGAGTCTGCTTGTCTCTTGTCTGGCTGGCCCCAAAACACTGCTGGAGAACACCAGGCCCAGTACACACTGACACCAGCTCTGAGCGGAGAGTAGCACCTCCAGGATGTACAACAGACTAAGGAAGCAGAAGCCGAGGAGGTAAAGACCAAGGCTGACTTCCCTTTATGCTCAGAGGACTTTTTTTGTTGTTGTTGTTTTTTTTGGGGGGGCGTAACATTTTTAAATTAATTATTTATGTGTATGACTGTTATGCTTTGTATGCACGTAAGTGTACCAGTGTCATGCAATACCCATGGAGGCCAGAAGAGGGCATCAGCTCCCCCAGGACTGGAGTTAGCTGCCATGTGGGTGCTAGAAACCAAACAGGGTCCTCTCCAAGAGCAGTCACTTCTCTTAACCATTGAGCCATCTCTCTAGTCCTAGAGAACAACTTCTTATAGACTTGACACTCCCAAGCTTCCTGTCCTGACAGGCCACCACAAGACAGAGTAACACAACAGGACCTTCTCTACCAGGGAAGGCTGGAAACCGTGACAAGACGCATCTAAACTCCTCAGAATACAAGAGGAGAAGCTGCCTCGCAGACTAAACACAGGCAAAGAAGCCAGATGAAGGAGCAGGCCATTCATGTACAAAAGCAATTTCAGCCAGGCATGGTGGCGCACGCCTTTAATTCCAGCACTCAGGAGGCAGAGGCAGGTGGATCTCTGTGAGTTCAAGGCCAGCCTGGTCTACATAGTGAGTTCCAGGACAGCTGGGGCTACAGGGAGACCCTGTCTCAAAAAGGCGAAAAAAAAAAAAAAAAAAGCAATTTCAGTCCAAGTTTGGCTCCAAAATAATTCAAATTAATTGGGTCAGAGGGCAATCAACCAATGGCTCCAAGTCACAGTGCAGCTTAAGACAAACCTTGTTCTAACACACCAGGGAGACAAGAAACACCACAAGAGCTCGGTGCCCATCCTGGCCCTGGCCTGCACCCCTTATTCTGTACTGGTGGGAATGAAACCAATGCGGCCAGAACTGGTATGAGCCACTCAGAACAAATCAGATACTCTGTGACATGGTCGCTCACTTCTTCAATTTCTACCTTTGATTTTTCTTTTAAACCATGGATTACTTTGTTACTGCTTGGTTTTGGTTTCCATCTGGTTTACACGACTCTGGTGCTCCACTAGCCGGAGAGCCCGGTTTCTACAGGTTCTGTAACTGTTCAGTGAGAGTTGGAGGAGCACAGTCTCGGTCTGCTGGGAACAGAGTTCTCAGCGACACAGCTCACTCAGTCCAGCGTCTGCATCACCCTCCCAATCTTCCAGCAGCCTCGCTCTCTGCCCATGTGACCCAGCAATATTGGGAGAGGGTGACTTGGCATTTGTCCCGGGCTGGTTCTGTTTATGGCTTTTATACACGAACTTATTGGATGGGCACCGAGTTCAGGGCTCTTATCTTCCTAGTGAACTGAGCCTTTTCAGCTTCCAACAGCCCTCTCCACCCAACATCGTTTCTGTAGCATCTCGGTCCATCCCGTTCACATACAAGTCATACAAGTGCAGCTTTCCTTCAGATGTAACTTTTCCAGCACATTTTCCCCAATGCTTCGAACTTTGCTCTTTCCTGTGTCCTTGTTTTAGACAAACTGCACTTGCACTAAATAAAGAGCAGTTTTTAAAAGCCAACTTTACAACTTATCTTTTACCTGCTCTTCTGTTCAATCGGATTTCTGTCATCTTAGGTCTCTATTTCATTTAAAGATATGCCTTTTCCTACATTTTTAATGCTACTAACACTGGACAGATCTCCATTTCATTTAAAAATATGCTGTTTCCTACATTTTTAATGCTACTAACACTTAGATGTTTGCACATGTGTCTTTAATCTCTATGTATCTGATTACTAGTCACAGTAATCTTACTCTTTTTTTAAATTTCTGATTTATTCATTTTCATTTTATTTTGTGTGTGCGTGTTATGCCTCCATGTATGTAAGTGAGCTCATCATGCAGTGCCCACCAAGGACAGAAGAGGGTGTCAGATCCCCTGGAACTGGAGTTACAGGTGGTTATAAGTCACCATGTGGGTGCTGGGAATTGAACCCAGGTCTTCTCAAAGGGCAGCCAGTGCTCTCAACCACTGAACCATCTCTCCAGCTCCATCTTTCTTATTCTTAATTCAGGAAGTCGGCTTCTCTTGAGGCACTGGCCGTCTCTACTACACTTGCTATTCTGAATTTAGCTGTGTGGGTCTTGTCACATGCAGCATAGAGGGCCTTTTACCTGAAGGGTTTCCTTTTAACTTTGTGGAAGGCTTATTGCTGTTTTTAAATTTTAGGAAAGCCCTGCTGTGTTGGATAGTGTGAGTTGTCAACCTGACATACCTGGGTGGAAGGAACCTCAAACAGGAACCCGCCTGTGGCTGTCTGTGAGGCATTTTTTTTGATTGTTGTGATATGGGAGGGCCCAGACCACTGTGGGCGGTGCCAGCTCCGGCAGGGGGTCCTAGGTTGTATAACAAAACAGGCCAGAGGAGCAGCTAGTAAGCTGCGCTCCTCCATGGTCTGTTTCAGGTTCCTGCCCTGATTTTCCTCAGGGATGAACTGTGACTTGGGAGGTACAAGGTAAATAAACCCTTTTCTCCCCAAGCTATTTTATCACAGCAACAGAAAGCAAACGAGGTCACCTGCTTTGCTCCTGAATTGTGAAACAGCCATTTTTAAAAAGCAGAACAGGAAGTCAGAGAGCTACATCTCTATCTAGCATTGCAAGGCATCAGGGAAATAGAAAATGCTCGCTAGAAACACCAGGGTAATTTAATACTGGACAAAACAATTTAAAATGCAATCTATTAATATTTAAAAGGGAGGGAATATGGAGGCAGCAGGCCTGAGGCCCTAGGTTCAAACCCCAGCACCACAGGGGAAAATAAATACTGATGTGAGCCATGTATGATGACTCATCCCGCAATCTCAGCACCTGGCAGTTAGGAGTAGGGAGCCCAGCTGTGAGTTTGAGGTCACTTGGGCTACAGTGTGAGGACCTGAGGAGGTACTTAGGTAAATTCTAAAAGAAATACCTGAAAGGTCTAAACGGAGACCATCTATTAGGGCAACTATTACTCATTTTTAAATTTACATTTGACTTAAAAACCACACAGTGAGCACTTCGATAAAGGAAACCTGCACAGGGAGTGCATCTGACCACGACATGGTGCTGTCCATTCAACTCAGCGCAGTGAATGCTGGTTTCAAGATCGCCCATTGAGTCTTTATCATCACTCAGCCCAGCGCACTAATGTCTGAGTCTGCTGCTGGTTTCAACTTCTCCCTTCAGGTCTTTGCTGCTTGACCTACGTCTGAATGGACTGAAGGCACTCCACTCCACTCCCGATACTGGCTGTGGTAAAAAGTGCTTTCCGCTGGAACCTTCCTCTCTGACTCTAAAGTGGAGTCCCTGGTCCCAAGAGCTGTGCCCTCAAGGTGCCTCCATGCTTCCCACCTGTACTGGCCTCCTCCAAGCCCACACAGGAGGCTGCTTTCAGCCTCAGTGACACAGAATGCAAGAGAAACTCACTTTTAAGTTTGATCTACTCTTCAAAATTTTACTTTGTTAGCCGGGCATGGTGGCAGAGGCAGGTGGATCTCTGTAAGTTCAAGGCCAACCTGGTCTACATAGGGCAGCTGGGGCTACAGGGAGACCCTGTCTCAAAAAAAGAAACGCCCCCCCAAAAAATTGTACTTTGTTTCTTTCACTGAGAACACCTCGTTTTAATCGTTTTAATCCTTTCATCGTGCAATAATCTCTCAGGAACACTACAGACAATCAGAAGGTGCAAAGTGCTATGATACAAAATCAACAACAGGGGAGAGGACGAGAGGAACCAGGGGCAGTGGAAGGGACCGAGTAAAGTACTGTAACAGATGTGAATGAAAATGTCATGCATGAGGGCTGGGTGTACAACTCACTGGGAGTCCTTGCCTAACATATGCTTAGAACTGGAGAAGGAAAAGAAAAGGCCATGATGAAACCCTTTACTTTATGCTAACTTAAAAAAAAAAAGAAAAATAATCAACACAAGCCTCTTCTTCCCCACGCCCTCCTTCCATGTCCCACTGGCCAGTGTACACAGCCAGCAAGCATGAAATGGACCAAGAACCATGGCTAGAGGCCCCGTCATCCTGCCACTGCTGCCTACGCACTCATGGTCCCTTTTCAGTCAACGGGGTGTGAAGAATCCCTTTTTCTCCCAATCCTAAAAAGTCCCTGGACAGGGATGAAGACCTTATGCAAAATGGTGGCCTAGATGAGATGGGAAAATAGCAAACGCATGTTGTAGTGGGTGGATCCGAACCAACGAGCACTCCAGAACAAGAGACCAGGCAGACTCCAGAGCGAGCAGCTCCTGGACAGAACACCGGGCAGATTCCAGAGTGAGCAGCTCCTGGACAGAACACCGGGCAGACTCCAGAGCGAGCAGCTCCTGGACAGAACACCGGGCAGACTCCAGAGTGAGCAGCTCCTAGACAGAACACCGGGCAGACTCCAGAGTGAGCAGCTCCTGGACAGAACACCGGGCAGACTCCTTCCCTGGCCTGGAGTGCTCAGAGTACATCGTGCTGCCCTGGTTGTGCACGAACATCCAGCCTACAAGAGCTCGCTCTAAAGGCCTGCAGAGTTGTTTTCCATTTATCCAAACAACGCTTTGCTCCAACTAAAGTGAGGTTCTGCCACGTAACCCTTACACCAGGACAGAGAACGCTAAGAACACAGAGGCCAGGCCTTGCTCCCCAGCAGCTGAGCAGAGGCGGGCAGCGGGCGGGGAAGGGGTGGAAGGTACCTGTGGAGAAACTTTGGCCAGGCCCTGTCCAGGACATAGTATGCAGGACATGGTGTTCAGGGCACAGTATGCATGAAAAACGCACAGCCAGTGCTACCTGGGGTCTCATGTGGTAGTGACATTGGCAAAGACTAGAGATAATAGCAAACTGACAATCTCTAGAGTAGGGTGTTAGCTATATGGGTCTGGCGACCATTTTCTGTTTTTATGTGCCTCTGAATACTTTCCAGTAAAACATTAGGGAAAGAGACATAGAGGCTGATCCTTCCACTATGGAGTGAGAGGGGGCATGGGAAACCAGGTAAGCAGCAGGACACTACTCACCCCAGAGGACACACAGCTGCCGTGTACCAGGAGAAGAGGTACTGGCAGTCAGCAGTCTCATGGCTGAATTCGGGGATCCCGTCCTTTACCAGAGGGTCGCAGTGGAAGAAGATGGTAGAAGAGACAGACTTGGTCTTATCTTTCCCACACTTGGAGGAAGAGGCAAATACCACATCCAGATCACCATCTGTCAAGCAGGAAGGGGCAGATGTTAGTCCACCATCACCACTGACCAAATTGATACTTTCATGGTTTATAAAAGTAGGTACAGGGCTGGAGAGATGGCTCAGCACGGGCTGGTCTTGCAGAAAACCCCAGTTTGAGTTCCAGCACCCACATGGCATCTAACAACCATTCTTAACTCCAGTTCCAGGGTACCTGACACCCTCTTCTCCACGGGCACTGCATGACATGAGTGTACCTACCTACATGCAGGCAAAACACTCATACACATTAAATAAAAATAATAAGTAAAATGTATTTTTAAAGTAGGCTTAGGCTTGAATGTAAAGACACTTCCAATGTCACATGTGCACTGTCTTCACATCACGGCTTTTTTAAACGCCAGTAGACAGCCTAAGCACACAGTAAAGAATTTAAAACCTCCTCCAAAATGAGGTCTGGCCCCTATCCTCAGCTAGTGATATAATCTGGATAGAGATGGCCAGGCAGTCTGAATCCACCCGGAGAGTAAGATTGACCAACTGAGCCCCAAGCAATCATGTCTACACAGCAGAACACAACAACAACAACAAAAATTCCGAGTTCTGAGGCTCACTGAACACTCCTGGCTGGCAATGCTCTGAGCAAGGTGTCACACACTGATATGTGGATGACAGCAACACATTCTGGTTCCATGAGGAGAAGCCAGGGGAAGCTGTGCATTTGACTCCCTCCCAGACCCTGCCCCATGAGCATCCTGTCATGAGTGACTGAGATCTAAACCCTCTGCTGTAACCAACTGCAAGTGTGGGCACGGCAGATTCCAGTGAGTGCTGAGAATTCTGTCAAATTTCCAAATGGCAGGGTAGTTGTGGGAACTGTCCCCAACAATTAGCCCTGGAATCAGAAGTGAAAGGAGACTGGGCAGACCCTGTTCCATCCTCACTCTGGTCAGCTTGGAATACCGGAAGGAGTGTTAGGTATGAGGTGGATGCATCCACGAAAAGGAGACCCAGGGCAGAGGTGGCTGAGGACCAACTCAGGAAGGCACCCACATTCCCACTTGGGACCCTTTGTGCAGTTCTGCAGGGCTATATGGGAGCGAATCACCACGCGGATGAGGAACCAGCACAGAAGCTCCTCAGCTCAGCTGGAGACAGGACTGTGCAGGCTCTGCTCCTTCCCAATTAAATGAACCAAGGCTCATGAAGAGGCAAGGCCTTTTTTTCATGAAACATCAAGCCAAACCACTTTCTGGCACTGACTGCAAAAGGTCTGGAAAGGATTTCCTTTAGTAAAAATAAAGGCACACACATTCAGAGAGGCTGCACCATACACACACAGGCATCATGGATTCCAGAAGGTACCAGATGTGTATTCACTTGCAAAGATGAAGATGTGAGTCACGTCGAGTTTAAACACTCCTACAGACACACTAGCAGAAATCCTGGGCTTATGAAAAGGGACTGCCCAAGGAGGGGACACAAAAGGTGACTGTGGAAGGAGGTAGCACAGATGAAGGCTCGCAAGGACAAACAGCAGTCCACATCAAGTCACCAGGTCGTGGCAGCTTTTGAGTCATCCGAAGGCTGGAGCCAGGGAACTGACTGGACAGCGGGCAATATGTAGCTGTGTAAATAAAGAGTACAGCCTTCCTGTCTGCATGCCACATCACCTACTAGACTCTCAAGCGCCTTTCAGTTGGTCAACAGGATTTACCAGGCACTTCTTAAAGATCAAACACTGAGGAAACAAGACAGAGACAGCAGAGCAGTTTGTGGTTGTGAAGCTGGAGTATAAGGCAGGCAAAAGGGGACAGAGATGCAAGGCAGCTGTTAGATGACGCACACAGTGGGAGCCAAGAGAGGCTGAGCTGCTTTCCTGGTGCTGATCAGGCCAAATCTGTTCTTCCCAGTTCTATCCTGGAGACAGGCAGGATGAGTCCACAGAGCACAAGGCCCTGACCAGTGCCTTCATCGGGGCCGTACTGCTTCTGCAGCGCCTTCCATTCCAGAGCGCATGAACACATGCTTTTCTCCCAAGGCTCCAGCTGGGAGCAGGGCCCTCGACCCTCCCAGAGGATCTCTCACAGCCCATTTCTCAAAGCAGTTAATATAGTCTGATAGTTCAAAAAGCAAGCTATAAAAGGTATATGGTGAAACGTGCATTGTTTAAAACAAAAATGCACTTGCTTCCTTCTAGGAACATGGGAATATGCTTTCGTGGTAACAAAGGGCTTGGAGCCAATCCCAAAGCCTCCTCACGTGCACTAGCCAGGGTCAGGCTGCAGCACAGCTCCACCTTTTCCTTTTAACACACATCAAAAACCTCTTTCTTTAAGGGTGATAGCTTGATTTTTAAAAACTGTTTTACTGAGTCTTTGAGATTTCATACAGTATATCTTGACCACATTCAGTCTCCCTCCTTCATCTCTTACCCCCTCCCATCCCCACCTTACGTCCTCTATTACTCATTTTCTGTTTTAAAAAGATTTATTTAATCTGTGTTCCCCAAATACCCTTGAGTGTGGGTTTATCCTTCTAGAGTCTGGTCGACCTACCAGACATCACACCCCTAAAAACTGTCTCTCCCTCTCCTAGCAGCTATCAGTTGCCAAGAGAGTCTCAGCTAGGGTGGGGGCTTCTTACCAACCTCACCCACCCATACTGGGAAACCTTTTTTTACACTGTCAGTTGTGTTTGCGTGTGTATGAACTCACATACTATGGTGAACACATGGAGGTCAGAGGACAACTTCCGTGAGTCTCTCCTTCCACCATGTGAGTCCCCACAGCTCAAACCCAGGTCTTAGGGCTTAGCAGCAACACCTTTACCCACTCACCTCCGCAAACCCCAAGTGAAGCCCCTTACCTTTCTCTAACACTACCTGCAGCTTCCAAATAAGGAGGTATCATGTCTAACCCCAGATGACAGGTGACTGCAACTGTCTCCCACCACCCACTGAGCAGCACTGCCTCATAAGGCACTGTCCTTGCGCTTGTGAGCTGAGATGACTCGATCACTTTGACTAAGTGTACACCACGACACAGCACCAGCTCAGGGCTTTTGCTTTTGTGTAGTCTTGAGATTTCCTTACGAGTCTGTGAACAAGCAGGTAAAGCTCACTCTTTAAAAAGTGAACTGTTAACAGGAAGCAGCAAGCTACCTTGGAAGTAGTACTTGGTCCTGTCCGACGTGCCCACTTTCCTGCTGAAGTGCTGGTCATTGGGCTTCACCTGGCAGATGTTGGCCCCAGAGCACGCGGGGTTCGTGGAGCTGGTGATGGAGGAGAGCTGGATCTCATATAGGTAGTTGTCCCCATTGGCTCTCATGTCCCCAGAGGCACTGAACAGCCTGAGGCAGACAAGATGACAGTGACTGGTGAGTCCCTCACAGTCCATTCCACAGAACCATAGGGCCCAAATGCTCCCTTTCTCCTGCATTCTCCAGCCTGGCAGGGCTTCTCTGGCCAAGGTTCCTCTAGCCTTGAGGCACCTCAGCCACCTTCCCGTCCCATCAGCTCCAACTCCCAGCACAAACACACCTTCTCACACGCTGGGGCCAGTGTCTAGTCTAGCACCACATGCAACACACTCTGCCCCGCATGGCCACAGGACCCCCAAGACAGCCCAAAGACACTGCTGGGAAATGAACTGTGCCTACATACTGGTCAGCCCAGGAGAACTCAGCTCCACCACCCTTCCCAAGAGCTTTGGCTGCCACCTCTGGGCTTCCCAGGCAGTGAGGGGAGAGGGGCCCCATCTGTATATGGAAAATTCACCTTCTTTGGTGTTAAACTGTAATAGCTGAGTAATATGTTTCTTCAGTTAAAGGAAAATGTGATTATCCAGGCAACTGTATCTAAAACACACAGACCTGTCTATTTACATTAAGTATGTTTCAGTGCTTAAAAGGAAACCTTTCACTTACTTAAAATAAATCTCCCCGAGGCTGAAGCTCTTGCCATTCACAGGGTTGGTGAGGGTCCCATTCACCATGCTCACCTCCTGAGGCCTCACGGCGCAGGCAGCCCGTGAGTCCCAGTGGAAGTAGTAGGTGCAGCTGTCGATGTCAAACCTGAAGGAGGAAAGAGACGGTCACAGCCACACAGCACAGAGACTGCAGAGAGGCTGAGCGCTGAAGTGCCTGGGAACCAGCCACAAGTGGCAGTCCGCACCCCGGCAGTGCTGGTGACAGCTCTGGGCTAGAGCTCTCCTCGTCACCAAGCTACTCGGTACTGAGGAAGATGACTGTCGCCCATGAGCAAGGTGAAAAAGCAGACAAGAAGTCAGCACGTGCCAAGCCTGGTGGCACAAGCCTGTAATTTACTGAGGAAGATGACTGTCGCCCATGAGCAAGGTGAAAAAGCAGACAAGAAGTCAGCACGTGCCAAGCCTGGTGGCACAAGCCTGTAATTCTAGTCACTCAGAATGCAGAGCCAGGAAGACAGCAAATTCACAGCCTGTTACAGTGAATTCAAGGCCAGCCTGGGCACCTTAGTGACGTTTTGTCTCAAAATTAACAACTTATAGGTGGGAGTGGTGGTTCACACTTTTAATCCTAGCAATCAAGAGATAGAAGCAGGTGGATCTCGGTGAGACCAAGTTCCAACCTGGTCTACATAGTGAGTTCCAGGCCAGCTGGAGTACAAAGTCCTTGTCTCAAAAATTAAACAACCAAAATGGGAGCTTTACACAGCTCATGAGTAGAGTACCCGCCTAGCTTGTGTCAGGCCCTGGGTTCAAACCTCCATATAAAAAAAGTAAATTCAATTAAAACTTTAAAGCTGAAAAATTTTGCACACAGATTTAGAATTTTCTGATTTACAAGAGTCTTGGTGGTTAAGAGCACTGGCTGCTCTTGCAGAGGAACTAAGTTCAATTCCCAGCATCCACATGGCAGCTAACAACCATCTGTAACTCCAGTTCCAGGGCATCCAACACCCTCTTCTGACCTCTGCGGGCACTGCATGACACGGGTGCACTTACACACATACAGGCAATGGACTCAAACACATAAAAAAATTATAATAATACATTTTTTAAAAAGTCTTAGCCTCCACCGGGTGTGGTGGCACATACCTTTAATCCCAGCACTTGGGAGGCAGAGGCAGGCAGATCTGAGTTCAAGGCCAGCCTGGTCTACATAGTGAGTTCCAGGACGGCTGGGGCTACAGGGAGACCTGCCTCAAAAAGACCAAAAAAAAAAGTCTTAGCCTCAGAAATTTAAATCATTTGTTTTCTAAGGTTCTCCCCTTTTGATGTCTTGCTCCCCAAACAGTGGCTCACATGCTCCCCCTGTTGACCAAAGTCCCCCTAGAACGACACAATGCTGCCGGGAACATGCAGATATAATTCAAGAACATCCCAAGAGCAGGCCCATCTGCTTGTGGGTCCCAGACAGAATGACTGAATAGATGGCCTGGTGGTGTAGTCCACACCTCCTTGGTTCTACTGTGACACCTGAAGACAGTGGCCAGCTAAATACTGCTGAGCACAGACAGCTCCAAAGCCTGCATATACATATGTGCACCACATGCATGCCTGGTGCCCGCAGAGGCCAGGAGAGGGTGTCACATCCTCTGGAATTGGAATTACAGACAGTTGTGAGCCACCATGTAAGAGAACCCAAGTCCTCTGCAAGCCCAGTCAGTGCTCTGAACTGCTGAGCCATCTCACCAGCCCCATGGTGTATTTCCTAAGGCAAATGAAGCCAAAGGAGCTCTAGGGGCCTGGTAATAGTGGGAAATCCTACTGTGGGGAGAGACCCAGCACAGGACAGGGCCATCAGCAGGCACTCAGTCTGCGGCCAGCCTTACTATGGTGACAGGCACTCAGTCTGTGGCCAGCCTTACTATGGTGACAGGCCCTCAGTCTGCGGCCAGCCTTACTATGGTGACAGGCCCTCAGTCTGCGGCCAGCCTTACTATGGTGACAGGCCCTCAGTCACACATTCCATGACTCCCAGGTGAAAATAGGAGGAGCCACCACATAGTCATAGTGTGCTCCGAACTGACCCCACTCAGCCCCGAGGTCTCACCTCTTGAACACAGGCCTGCCCACAGTCTTTGCGCAGGCCAATTCTATCACTGAGGATGCAGTCTTATTCCCACCACAGGAATAGCCTTTTGAATACGTAACAATAACTTTGTCATCTGAAACACAAAACAAAGAACTGATGTTATTTCTAGTGCATTATGAAAACCTCACTATCAAAACCTACTTCAAGGGACAATTTAAACATGTGAGTTCCTTCAAGGTCAACACTGCCACAGCTCACTGGAGGCCACTGGCTCATATCACCATCACAGCATCAGCGAGACCAGGTTTACCTTGAGCCCTTCCACCTTCCTTCCTGACTCTTCCAGGACGCTGAACGTCTGAGCTCCAGCAGCTCATCTAAAATACATCACTAAAGTCCACAGGATCCAGGGGTTCCAAGCATACAGGGAAGGTGTCTGCACTCTGCAAGGGCAACACAGGCCCTCAAGTAATGGCAGCTCTAACTGCTCAGGCTTCATACGACTTCAGTGTCATTCTAGGTGCTCTTCTGCCTTGCCCCTCATCTGAGCCTCTTTAAAAAGGAGGCAAGGGCCAAAGCGAGCCAGAGCCAGAGCCCAACTGTTTGTGGCCTTCTGGCCTGAGTCAAGCTCTGCTTTTGAGTATGTCATGCTAAAAGAAAAAGCTAAGTAAGACTTGTAGCTTCCACGACCTATGAGAAAAGACAGCACCCATGCAAAGCAGCAAGTATCCCACGGCAACATGGCAACTGGCCATCGGCTCATGAGGCTGCTGAGACTTTCAGAGGCACTAAGAACAGGCTGGCTCTGCTTCACCCAGTGGGCAGATCAGCTCCGGGTCGGGATCCAGGTCTTCAGGAGCTCCCAGCCACTGGTCTCACATAGGTATACACTCTTCAAGGCAGGAGACACAGTGGAAACATGGTGTGGTTCCAGCTTCCCATGTGTTCCCCGTAGGACAGGCCACGCAATAGGGATGCTAGACTGAGGCAGGCGCTAACTAGGCTCTTCCCCTGCCTCAAAAATCAAAGCTGTTCCAGCCAAATTTGCTTTCAACACCAGGTTTAAGAAAAATTTTGGTGGAATGTTTCTACTATTTAAGCCCCCACCCCTACCCTCTCAAAAAGAGGAATCTGACCACATTCTAGTAGCAGATGCCCTAAAACTATCTGAGCAATGCCTGTTCCTTCCATGCTTCAGCTGTCCTCCCTGTGAACTGGACTGTCCACCGCAGGGAGCAAAGAATTGCCATGATGTAAGCATGGTCCACAGGGCTCATGTGTTGGAAACTTAATTCCCAAAAGGAGGCACCTCTCAGGCCACTTCTGTGTGGTGACTCTTGCCAAGAGAACATGGGCTTAGGCTCACGGTCGAGATGGTTCCCTCAGAATTCCTCTCCATTCCTACATCCATGTCACCTGTACCTCAATTGGTCAACTTAGTGACTCCTACTCTAGTCTGATAAGCAGGGCAAAACACTTTCAAACACCTGATACATTCCAGTCATTCTTAGCTAGAAAATACAACTGTCCTTTAACAAAAGAGGATACTTTTCCTCAACGACTACCTGGAAGGCGAGCTTTCTAGTCTAACTACTAAAAAGCATCATGACTTTTGTTAAGGCAAGGCACCCCTGCTGATCTTTACCAAGTCCCGTGCAACTGAGGCATTCCTAAACAAATGTGTGCAGTGCAGCTAGAGCATATGTGAACACACAGGCAGGACCTGCGTCTCAGATCATACAGAGCAGCATTTATTTTCATGTCCCAGAAGTGGCAGAAATGCCCGATGTCAATGGTCACTGAGAACAGCCTCTGGAAGCTTGCACCCAAGCTGGGGCACTCTCCCCGTCACACAGGGACAGCCTCACTCCCCCAATCCTGATGCAGCACCGGAACAAAGGACAATGAAGACCCCCGAGCATTACCTAGGACGTCCAGCTTCTGTGTATGAACGAGCCCCAAGACTTGGACTTGACCAGATGAGCTCTTCTTACAAACGCTGGCTCTTTCGGAGCAGTCCAGAGGCCCTTTATACACTCTCTGACACAGATTTATGAAGTACCTACACGACACAAAGGGGTGGGGAGAAGGTAAGTTAAGTCTCTGCCCCGAGACACTAGGAGACCACGTGGCCCCCCGCCTTGAAAGGCGGCCGCTGCCATACTGCCCATACTTCAGGCAGTGCAGAAGGAATGGAGGGCGGAGCGGTTCTGCAGGGGGCGCCGGACGAGCAGGCTCACATGGAGCGAGACAGCCTCCTGTCTGTCCCTGACAAAGCAGACATGAGAGAAGGGCACCTGTGGAGGGGCCACAGGCAGCAACCCGAATTTTGACAAGTCCTTCAGTTAACATCCTGGCTCCGTAGTGGGCACTCTGCATGCGGAGCAGCCAGGACAGGTAGCCCCCAGATGCAGCGCCCAAGAGCTGACAACAATCTGAGCAGATCCACACCACCCACAAACCTGAGCAACGGGCAGCAGACAGCCCTTCACCGCTGCTCTGGGCCCCATGGGCTTCCTGCCCAGGATGATTTTAGAGTCATTGACAGAGACTATGGAGTGATATACATGACTGCGTCTCAGGGAACAATCTCAGTTAGAGCCCCAACTACCATGAGTCTGTGATGTTTCCATCTTTGCAAACGGGACAGGCATGGGGACAGCACAAGGAGTATGTACACTCACGAGGTTCCTTCATGGACGAAGTCCCAGGACCCTGTGAGGGAGGAGAGCAGCCGCAAGTCATAGGTTTTGTGCTTCTGAATGAACTTGCACTCCATCTTCTTCGGAGGGCAGACGACTTTTGTTCTCCACTCAAATGTCACGGCACACCCGCGATCTTCACTGAAGAGTTGTGGCCTCCCAACATCCTCATTTTCGTCACAGGTAAATATGATAGCCGACATCCGGTGGCTGTTGGCTGGGGAGCAGCAGCGTGCAATGGTCAGAGACCTGAGGAGGGGTGCGTGCATCTCTGCTCTTCCCACATCCCCTGGCTGTTTCCCAGCATGCTGCCCAAGACTTGGGGGACTGTGCCATGAAAATCTTCAACCCACAGAGACTCAGTTCCCTCAGACCCCACAGAATCAGCAGGATTCCTCCTGGGAAGCATTTAACATCTGACCACATCCTGATGAGAAATTAAAATAAAAGCAAATTACCTGTAACTACCTAAAAACAACAGTGTCATCCAACAGACCATGGGTGATGGCTGCCAACGTCAGCCACAGAGCTATACATCCCCTTTAAATTTGACATCTAACACCTAAATTTAACATGTCCTGCTTTGTCCTCGGTCACTTGGGAGAATTACACAAAAAATGTTTAGGCATTCATGTCACCCTCCTTCAGCAATCTCTAAGAAGCACAGGAACCAGGATGTTAAGTTCACCTCACCATGAAACCCCATGCCTGCTGCCTGACAGAATGTCAGCGGCCGAGCCCGACTTCTGCTGAACATTCACAGGCCACTTGCAGATTACCGACAGGTAACAATCTGGCTAAGGCATGAATTTGCACAAGAGTTGAAAACTGGTATGTGAACACAAGTCCCTCAGTGAGGGGCCTAGCTGGGGACCAAGAGTACACACACTGTGCAGAGGCTTATGTGTATAAGCGGCCCAGTGATCCCATAGAGCAAGTAAATGTTTCTTTGTAGAAAATAGTCCTAAACAAGCAAACAGCAGAACAAAACAACAACAAAAACCAACTTAAAACAGAACAGTCTTAGTTAACCTAGGTATCCACAGACGTCTCCACACAAGCAAAGCCTCCAGAGGATCAGCACCTGCCACCGCAGGCCACAAGAGCTTCCACTCACTTGGTCTGCAGAAGCCCCACTCATGGTCTCGATCGTAATTTGCAGTTTTGCTACACCAGAGCTTCGCCCGTCCCTCCAACACACAGTCATCATAGCTGTTCCCTTCGAAGATGAAGGGGAAGACACAGGGCTCGCCATCATCCGTTTCTGGAAGGAAGAAAGTGTGGATCATATAGACTCAGTACTGTATCACCTATGCTTTACTAAGCGCCATCACCTGAGGACGTCCAACAAGAAGCCACTACAGAAGCTGTCCACCTGCCTAACAGCCAGGATTCACCTGCCAAAAATCAACAATCAACGGACAGAATGCAGTGTTTCCAGGCACAAGTGTCCATGGCCAGGAAGGGTGATGTGACAGGTGGTAGTCAGTGCGCCGAGCTCGGCTACATTCCTCAGACTCTTCCTAAGTCTAATCTCATGTCTATGAGAAATTCAGAATTTACCAACCTGGAGGGCAAGGATCACCATTCACGTAACTCAGAATGACCGCTTCATCCTGGTGCCGGTAATCCAGCTGCATGGACGCCAGCCGCCCAAAGGATGCCCCCTTATTCCCAGAGAGCAGACAGACGCCACCATCCTTGCAGCCTCCTTGGTCCAAGCCAGCTGCTGTGGTGCACACTCCCACACTGTATGTGCGTGAGTCTCTTGTAACCTACACAGACAAACAGCATGTGTGGCACTAGGGTTCCAGGTGAGAAGAGATCCAGTAATGCAGTTCACGTTCCCACACCGTAACAGGCCATGGGCGTCCCTGCTCTCTCCCAGCTTTCTAGGCAACTCCCTCTGGCCATTACAAGAGGTCACACCTCCTTCAGGCTAGGCTAGTTTCCCTCCCCTTACCATTCTCAGTGACAGCCAGCAGCGGCTGCCCAACTGTCCTCTCCAGCTCCATCCTGCCCACTAAGTTCTCAGGCTCCTCCTACCTCCCTAAAGCTAGTATTTCTTCAGCTGGGAAACTGGGCCATCTGAGGACCCAGTCACCCAGCTGAGCAAATGCTATGTGAGCCTTGCTTTTCCTCACCCGCTCTGCCCTTCCCAGGCTCACACCTGCTGGAGGCCTCTGTGCCCCTGCAGAGGGCTCTATCCTAGGACCTCAGGTGCCAGCCCCTGAGAACCACTCAGAACTCACAACTCACCAGCTGCTGTGCACAGGCAGGTACTAGGGTGCCTTGTAATGTGCCTCTGTACCACTGTAACGACTGGCAGTACTTAACAAGTCTGGAGACCTGGCTGCCAGTGACTACACCCTCACTGACAGTCCCTAGCCCACAGGTACACATACACAAGCCGAGAGGTCTGCATAACACCAAGGCATTCGCTGTCTCTGGGTGGCAGGCTTCTGTCTCTTTACCTTTGTGTCTAGGCTGTTTCCAGAAGCAAGTGTCTGTGGTTTTCTGCAACCATGCTAATCTTCTGGCCCTGGGGTACATGGTGCAATGCCTAAGTGCAAACCACCTTGCCTGTCCTCTGTGACACACCATTTCCCTGCTTGCCTCACTGGGTCATCTAATTCTGACAGCCCTAAGTCAGAGCCCGGCCCCTCGGTGTGAAGGTGGTAAGTCTACGGAAGGCAGCCTTGCCTTGAAAGTGCTCTTGGAAAGGCTGGTTAAGTTGAAGCTGTAGAGCAGCTGCTCATCCATCACGGCACAGCCCTGGGTCTTCACTTCATCAGGACAGACAATCGGTGTCTCCCACTCGAACACGAAGTCACAATCACTGGTCCTTACCAGCTTAGGGGTTCCCTGTAGCCAAAGGAGTGCCAGTCTTAAAAACCACAGGGTGTCAGAACAATACTCACACACACTGCCTGCCAAGTGGTGGGGACATGCACCCTGACACAACTGCACCCAGGAGACCAGGGCTGTAGCCAGAGCCGTGCAAATTCACAGTGATTCTAACCCACAGCACTGTTCCTGGAGGAAATCACTAGGCAGGAGCCAACGGTGTCCCCATAGCCGACAAGCACCTGACTGCCCAGGGCAGGTCTGGTGCCCACAAAGAAACTGGGGAGAAGGGAAGGGGAGGGTAAAAAGTCACAAGAGAGAAGTCTGAAAGAGCAACACCCCGATGCTACCAAGGAGGACAGCAAGCAGGTCTGCACTCTGCTGTATCTGGGCACCAGGGACACTTATGAGGGCAAGATGTAATGCAGCCAATGTTCCACAGGCTGCTGATTTTTGAATCACTGTGCGTCTCCCTCCAACAGTCAACAACAAAGAGAACAGGCAGCTGGTCAGGAACTCCACTTGTATTTGCTGATGACAATCTTTCCTGAGTGACGTGGGGAAAGAATTCTACTAAAGGAAGCAACGGTGAGTGGGGAAGGCAATCACTCCACAATCTTCTCCAAGAGCCAATTCTCACAAGGAACAGCAACCACTCCAGGCACGGCTGCCCGAGGAATGACCTGGGCCCACGTCAGCCCGTGCCCAACACCAGTAATTCAGAGTGCAGGACAGCTTCACTTCCTCATGTGGTGGACAGAATAAGGCTACATAACAAACAGTACTTACCCAAAAGTCTGACTTCACAGAAGAAAACCAGAAATGTTATCCCTTAAAGAGTAAGCTTTGACCTTTTTATACAGTAGGAATCAAATCTAAATGTGGTTTCGGTCCTCCAAGTTTCCATGTTTCAGACAGAAAGCACCTGTGCTGTTAAGGCAAGGTGAACTTACACAGGCCTCAATGTTTGTGAGTTGTTTGGAGGCACACTGAGGCAGCTCTTTTGAATGTGGGTACCCTTTAATCTGAATTGCACCTTCTGTCTGCCTGGCCTGGTGCTCAGTTTTAACAGGTGCCACACTCACCATGCTGACACCTCTCCTGCAGTGAAAGGCGATGAGTGAGGTGTAGTTCATATGCCTGTCCGCTAAGCAAGGAGTACTGCTTTCAAAGTTCAAGTAAATTTCATTTGCTACAGGACTGAATATCGGGGGGCCTGTGACACGGCCAATGTCCTAAAACAAAACAAAACAAAACAAAGCAAATAGGGTTTCAGGAAGTTATCTGTTTCAAGTTTACTGGATTAAAAGCTGGAACAGAACTGCAAAGATTGTATGTCAACAGTCTTAAAACAGGCAGCGCCTAACGCAGCTCTGCGGATGTCAGAGCATGCAGAAGCATGGCTGTAGAAATGGGGCACTGCGATTTGCTATTAGCCAAATCCCAGTGCTCTCTACTCATGTTCAACTTTCAGATTTAAGCAAATGAATTTCTCTCTTGGTTCAAAACAAGAATGCCACAGTCCCCAGCTACCCCTCATGGAGGAAGGCAGGAGCCTGAGCAATGGCCCGCCTCCTGTCCCGATAGTGACTTGTGTCCTTGTCCTTGCCCCACACTGCCCTGAGACTAACCACTCAGCTCAGCAGTGCCTGCTGCATGCGTTCTCTGGAGACAAGTCTTGTTAACTAAACTGTATTGCGTAGCATAGCCACTGACACACACTGGCTCTTCAACCAAGATCATTGAGAGAATAACCAAATAAAGGAGAAGGTAAGTCAGGAAATAAGCCTATATGTGTGTGGGCATGCATATATGCCTACATATGTACACAAGTATGTGCACATGTGTGTTAGATCCCCTGGGACTGGAGTTACGGACAGTTGTTAGCTGCCATGTGGGTGCTGGGATTCGAACCCGGGTCTTCTGCAAGAACAGCCAGTATTCTTTACCGCTGAGCCATCTCTCCAGCCCGTAACTCGAAACATTTTTAAAGATTTGAATCCACACTAAAAATCGCTGGTATAAAACCAATGCTTTCGAAGCAGAGTAACTATCGGCATAAGCACTCTTGCCCTTGATTCTAACTCTTGCCAAGGAAAGTGCCTGCATCCCTTAAGTGTTTTATTACACCAGCATTTCAAGCAAAAACACAAACCATGCAATGGTCTTTCTTGCCACTTTGTGTAAACACCTCTCAATCGGGATCAACCCTAAGGCTCCTAATATGACGACGACCAAAAAAGAGTATTGGGGGTGGCACAGGATAGCCCAGCAGCTAAGAGCACTTAACTCTTCTTCCGAAGGACCTAAGTTTGGACCTAGCACTGACATCAGGCGGCTCACACCTGCCTGTAACTCTAGCTCCAAGGGAGCTGATCCGCTGCTCTGGCCTCCAAAAGCACCCACACACGATACACACTCACACAGCAGATAGGCATATACCAAGTTGTTTTTGTTTTGTTTTGAAAAAGTTATCTGGAGAGGGGCCAGGAGGGCTGAAAAGACAGTACAGCAGTTAAGAGCATAGCACAGGCTGGCCCTGCACAGGACCCAGGTTCAGTTCCCAGCACCCACGTGTTGGCTAACCACCGTCTCTTAACTCCAGTTCCAGGGCATCCAATGCCCTCTTCTGACTTCCCACGGCACTGAACAACATGGGTGCGCTTACATACATACAGGCAATACATGCATACACATAAAATAAAAATAAATAAAAAGTAAATCTTTAAAATGAAAATAAAGAAAAGCATATCTGAAGAAACGGTCCCCATTTTCCTGATCAGCACCACTGGCCGGTAGCTCCACACATTAGCCCATCAGCCTTCCTTTATTTGTGTGAGGCCCACAGAGGAACAGCACACACTCCACTCATTCTACTTGAGCAACTCCTCTGGAAGCACGAAGCACTGTGTGCAGGCTACCATTGGAGTCGTGTGAAGATCCTCCACCCCACCTTGCACACTTACTATAGGCGGCCCATTGACAGGAACTTTGCACACTGCGGCACCAGCAGGGCAGGGCACTCCATGCATGGGATTCAGAGGCTGACAGATATTGATGTAGAAATCAGGGTTGGTATCGGAGGGACCATCCTCACTTTCATCATATGCTTCGTAACCACCGGTGCGGTGAACGAGGGGGGACAAGTCAATGACAGAGCTTCCGTTCCTCACGGTGCATTCCGTCTGTTAAATAGTAAAGACCAGATAGGAGTCTGCGAAAAATGCTCTCCGATGACCATTGCAGGTATCATTCACAAGAACTCAAAAGCTAAAGCTTCGTGGCATGGTGGAGCATGTCTATAGTCCTAGTACTCAAGAGGGTAAGGCAGGAGGACTGCTCTGAGTTCAAGGATATCCTGGGCTACATAGTTCCAGACCAGTCTTGGCTACACAGTGAATTCTAGGGTCAGCCTCAGACACAGTGTGAGACTCTGTCTGAACCTCTGTCTTCTGTCTACCCAACAAGAGAAGAAAGTTTTTTAAATGCCTAAGATTAATGAAAGTCTCAAACTTTGCCACCTAGCTCTGGACCAGTTGGCAGTGAACTGCTGAGGACCAGTGAACTACAAAAGCCAGTGCAGGCCCTCTCCAACCTCCACTCACCGCTTGCTCACAGGCCAGGGGAGTGTGCCAGGAGAAGAAGAGTGTGCACGTCTGCTTGTCCAGGGAGATGAGCATGGGTCTGTTGGTGGGCCCGGCCTCGGGCCGGCACACGAAGCTGATGACACTCTTGTACCTCAGGCCGGATTTGGAGGGACACGGGGATCCATTCTCATATACCAGCTGCAAGACCTGATCCACATAGCTCAGCCTCTTGCTGGCCTTGCCCACACTGATCCTGGTCTGGCCAAAGCAGGCCCCTATACGACATGGGGGGAGGAGGAAAGCACTGTTGGGGGTCAATGGCAACTTCCTAAGAACTTTCTGCAGATCCACAGTTAGAACTTGTGTCACTGCACATCCCAGTCCCATCTGTACTCATCCCACAGCCCCGTATCTCCTGACAGCAGCAAGAGGCAACAGTGTGGGTCTTGGTCCCTTCATGTCTGCTTTTGGCAGGTGGAGAGCAGACTGAGGCAGCTATAGGGATGGCTGACAAACAAGACAGGGGAGGCTGCGGCACTCACCCACACCAGGGCCGCAGTTCTCGTTCTCCCCACAGACGCTCATGTAGACCAGGCCCTTCTCACTGTAAGCAGCTGTGACACCAGTTTTGCCACTTAAGGAACTCAAGTCGAACAGGTGGCCTGCAAGGTAGATGGGAGGAAGGACACGATGGCTCACACGTGACTCAGAAGGAGCGTCAGTAGCCAGCTCACTTTGATTATACCAACACCAGGACTTGACTCCTGTTACCACTCACACCCTCACTAACCAACAGCAACCTAAAACATTCCAACCAAGTAGTGTCTATCAGGTGACCGATGAGTCCCCAAATTCATGAGGGCTTCTCTGTGCCACAGAAGCACTGGATTCCTGCGGGCCCAATGGCATCTCTCCAAGTGCCAAGAGCTGCCACCCACACTCTTCCGGGCACCAGGCCCACAGGGAGGAGAGCAAGACTTCTGGTGTCAAGTTGGCTTTGAAAGGGGGGGCAGCTCTGCCGAGCCCAGAGCTGGTGGTTCAGAGTATCAGTGAAGAAGCACACCACACCCACAAGTTGGAGACCAGCTTCCAGAGGAGGAGGGGCGAGGGGCAGCTCCTCCTTCACAGCACGAGCACACAAGGCTCCAGAGAAAAGGGCCAGCATACCCAAACACCACTCCAGAGAAAAGGGCCAGCATACCCAAACACTACTCACAGGTCCCCTAGAAGCTCCCTGTACAGGGCTGCGCATGCCCTCACCTGTGCTGGGGTTGGTGACCTGGCAATCATCGTGCACACTGCTCTTCACAGGACAGGCAGCGGATGTGGGCCAGGAGAAGGTGTATTCACAGTCTTGCACGGCACTGACAAACAGAGGCCTGGAGTTCTACAACAAGCAGATCCCTACATTAGATGAGCTGATGTACGAAGTGATTCCCACCCTCGCCCACAAAAGCTGCTGGGCAAAGCAGTGAATCCTGGGTGTCCCTACGGGGTGAGCACAGGTCAGGAAAAGCCAAAGGCCAAAGTGCCCTGAGGGCCTAACGTAGCAATCTTCAAAACTCCCTGAGTGCGCAAGGCAGCTAAAGGAGCCAGAAGGTTCCTAAGCACAGGCCTGGGGAGCCCAAGCAAACGAACTCCAATGAGCAAATCACTAAGTTTTAACAAGCAAACCAGCACTGTTATGGTCAAGACAAAAGGACCACTGGGAGAACTGGTTAATACCGCCCTATGCTTATTGTTGGCCTCAGGCATTTCTTGTCACCTTGGCCTTGGGACAGCTTAGCACCCTTGTCCTGTGTAGGTCCCCTACCCCAACTCTACAGTCTAGCTACTCCTCTGGGCCTGAGGTACAGAACTCCCTCCCACCACCCTGCTTTTGCCTCTGTGCATGAGGCAGCTGTTGGCCCGGCTTCTAGAGCTCCCCTTTATCCCTGTTCCTCACTCCCTTTACCTGTACACCTGCAAGAGCAAGCTGGACCATGTAAACAAAAAAGGCTGTTTGGGCTGAACCCGGCTCCCCAGTGCTTATGTACCCCATCACGCACAGCAGCAAAGGGAGTTCCAAGCACGCCATCCACACCTGCTGCATGCACATACCAGGCAGCCAGACAAGGATGAAACTCAGGGAAGACCACTCAACACAAGTGACACTGGCCCTCTGGCCTCCTCTCTATATGTTGCCAACAAACAGGACACATGGTCAAGCGTTAAGTAACCTGGTCTTTAGGGAATCCAGGCTAAAAGCCGACTAAGCCCGTACCTACAAGTGCTGGCCTAGGCACCTGAAGCAGCCAGAGCTCACCAGATTACAGACTGTCACCACCCAGTGTGTGCTGCACACTGAGTGCTTCAACTGGAGTCCCAAGGAAACCAGGAGGTCGGTGTCACTGGCTCATGGCCCTGCATCATTCTGGAAGCCATTAACTCACCACTTGACCCTCACTGCATGTGAAGCGGATGGTGGTCGACCTTTTCCGAATCTTGTCTGGACACAAATCACCATCCACATACTTCAGGACAGTCACACCACCTGTCCATTGAGGACCATCCCTCACCTTGCCAAGGTTCACGGGCTTAGAGCCATCCAGCAGACACACAGCCGCCTCCGGAGGGCAAGGCTCTACGATACACAAGACACAATGCAAAGTCTCCTAAGGCGACTGCAGTGCAGAGCACAGCTTTACCTGCAACCTACTCAGAGGCACCCATCGCCATCCCCACTCCAAGACACCTGTGGCTTTCCCCACCAGGTGACACTGATGTCACGTCATGTTTCTGTTTGTTCAAACACATTACCATGGATAGGCTGGGGCAAGTGTGAGGTGTTGTTCGGTAGGGTATCCATGACCCAAGCCCCTCCCCATCATTGCTAATCGCCACAGATGATGAGGCCAAAGCTTCAACTTAAAGCTTCGGACCACTGCTAGGGTTACATTCTCACTCTTCAGCCAAGTGGCCAAGATCTATGGTGACTTTCTAGTTCCAAAACATTTATGCCATCTGCACTTAGGGACGGACCAGCCCTGCACCAGTGCAGGAATACAGTGATGGGCACAATCCAGCAAGAGGAAGTGGGCAAAGGCCTTGGATCGTGCTGAGGACGCAGTTAGAAAAGCACCCTCCACCCTGAGGTGTGCCATCCCACTGTGGGTGAGACTGTACTCCATTTCCAAAGATGGAACTGGATTCCAACAGGAATGTGGCTATGGTTCCCACACTGCCAAGAGGGCTGGGGAAGCTCTGCCTACATGGTACTAGGCTCCCCTAGGCGGGCCAACCCCAGGGTCTCCATGTCCAACCCTGCTCTCTTTATACCCACTTCCTCATGATCAGAAAGGTTATTGTGTTTCCAACAGAGCCCTCAGCATCAAGAGCCTGGGCTACATGGGGATCATTCACCAACACGCTTGGCGCCTCCCTCCCAACAAGGCCACTCCGGCTCTGCCTTCCCAGAAGGCTCATCCAGGGCCACCACAACCCACAGGAGTGGAACATGGCTCACCAGTGCCAGCCTGTGGAGACAGAGACTTGCACACATTGATAAGGTAGTGCTCGGGGGCCCCTGTCCCTGTCACAGCCTCCCAGTTATCACTGTACCTCGACAATGGGGAGAGGTCGATGGAGTTGCCAACTCCATCCCTGCAAGGAAGAGAAAGTGGTGGTCAGTCAGTTCTGGTGACACACTTAGCACTCTACGCAGAAAGGCTCAAGCATCAGTCTGTCTCTTAGGACTCGTGAGTCACCCCGACTGAGAGACAGACCTTTCTTATTTCCCAAGACCTCTCTCTATACCCAGGCTGAGTAAACAACAGCATATCTGAGCTCCAGCAACTCCAAGACTTATTTCAACAAAATGAAGGATTATCCAAAAAGCTAACTCTGGAAAAGGCTGTTCACACGCAGGCCAAGGAGAAGTGGAGCTGAGTGGCTGACAGAAATCACCGGCTGACACTTGGAACACAGGTACCCACAGCCACTGCCCCTCCAAGCCACCTCCTATCTAGACTTGAGGCCACCAAAGGCTGAGGAAATAAACAAGGTATTGTTCATGTGGACATTCTGCCTGGATGATGGCCCCTCACTACACAGCCAGACACAGGGAGTTATAGCAAATCAGCGAGTCGGACAGGACACGCTGGCTGCCTCAGTGCACTAGATTCAGGTCCACCTAAGGGCAGACATTTCTTAAGGGGCTCTCTGAATTCAAAGGAAAATGAAAAGTGCCCAGTCATCCAGAAAGCACTCGGTCAGCTAGGAGAGCTGACTAACAAATAAAAACGGCCACTCTTGTGATGCATACACAAGTTATTAATGAAAGAAAGATACCACTTACAATTTTTTTATGCACATCTCATCATTAGATGGCAAAAAAAAAGCAAAAGCTAAATGGGGGGGTATGAAGTTTAGGATCAGCTGAGGTTTTGGACAGGCTAGCCAGGGAAAGTTTTTCATCTTTCGTTCTTTTGGGCAGGTATGCTCACACATTTGAGTGCATGCACATGTGGAAGCCACAGGTGATAATCTTCCTCAACAGCCTTCCACATGACTGTGAGGCAGAATCTCTGCCTCTTGCTGAACCTGGGGCTCAATGTGGCTAGTCCAGTTAGCCAGCTTGCTTGGCTCCAGCTGCATCTCCCAAGCACTGGGAGTACTGGTGGGCAGCCATGCCCACTTGACATTTAAAAAGTGCCGGGGATTCAAATTCAGGTCCACATGCTTTACCCACTGAGCTATCTCCTCAATTCCCAAAGAAGGCTTTCTTGAGGAGACCTCTGACTAGGCTTAAAACATAGGATCTAGTCTCCTGCCTCAGCCTCCCTCAAAGTTAGTTATAGATGTGCACTGTGATGTCCAGAGAGCCCAACAACCGTTTACCCAGAATTACACTGTATTAGGTATTTTAGGAATTGCAGAGATGATTTCATGTACAGAACGGGTGGATGGCAATGCACAGAGACAGCCATACTTCAGATGTGGGACTTGTGTACCATGAATACCACAAAGGGTCCTGGAACCAACCTCCCCACCCCGAACACCAAGGGGTAACTGCACATTTCTCATGTTTGAGTCAACAGCTAGTGCTGGCGGCTTACAAAAGACGCATAAGCACCACCCAGAGTTATCAAAGTCCCCAGGACGCTGAGATATATGAAGAGCAGAGTAAAGCTCAGTTACAGAGGGTCACTTTACAGACTTTTGTTTTATATGAATTTACACTGCTATGTATATGAACCTCTATTGTAACCAATCATGAAATTTTCCTCTGACTTATTTCTACAGAAATATTTGTAGGAAAAGCTTTATGTACAAAGAAAATCAAACTTTGACTAGAAAAACTAAAGCCAGCCTCAAATGACAGTAAGGAAACACTTCCAAGCACCAGGGTGTCAGCTCAGAAGAGAGGTTCACAGCTGTCAGAACAAGAAAAGATCCAATTTGGTTACATGAAAATATTTATGCCAGAAAAGGTAGCATTACTAAAATAATGATCTATAGTTACTACACAAAAGTTATTAATGTCTTCATTTACATATGCTGTAAAGCAAATTATTCCACCTACATAAAAACAGATGTCGCTCAGGGCAGGCTGAAGGGAAACAGAAAACAACGGCTTTTCCTGGAAAGCATGTGGGAGCCCCGCAGCTCTTCTCAGGGCGGCTCTCCTCAGATCAGAACTGCCAGCATGTCATGTCCTTTCAAGATGCGGAACAGGACAGGACCCAACATGTTCCTAAGCCTATGGAAATCCACCCCTAAGGGGGCATATCTCCAGCTTATCTTGGTAGCCTGCCGGGGTCACAGGGACAGAGATAAAAGGACCGGGAGGGCAGCAGGATGTACTCACTGCATGCTCCCTTGTCTGTCGTGCATCAGTGGGTCCATCACCTTGTGGATGCTATGACGGCTGGGAAAGGGCCACTGTCAACTCTGGCTGTTCCCAACAAAAGCAGGAGAGTAGATACTGGGCAATGATGGCCCACTCTAGTCCCACACCCCTGGGAACCAAGTTTCAATGTTCTGCTTCCGTTTCCAACCCTTCCCATATGCATCTGTGGTGATCTAGAGCTACCCTACCCCAGCTCCTCATTTAATGTGAACATAAGAACATGAACTGGAGGCTGGAGAGATGGCTCAGAGGTTAAGAACACTGGATGTTCTTGCAGAAGACCCCAGTTCGAATCCCAGCACCCACGTGGCAGTTAACAACTGTCTGTAACTCCAGAGGGACTGACAGCCTCTTCTGTCCTCTGGGGGCACTGCATGATAGGGGTGTACTTACATACATACATACTCAATGCACATAAAATAAAAATAATGAATAAAATATTTTAAAAACAACAACAACAACAACAACAACAAAAAAAAAACAGATGAACTGACTAATCCAGACATTAGCTACTGAAGCAAAATCTTACCAAGTTAAGACTGACCCCAAAAAGCCAACACACACTTGAACTTACTGGAAGGAGCACTCAGTCACGTTGAAAGGTGGGCAGGCATACTGTGTTCGCCACTCAAACAAGTAGGAGCAATCCGAAGTCTCCCTCAGAAACACTGGCTACAAAGGTTAGGGAGAACACATATCAACACAGGAGCACACACCTGAGTTCTAGGGATGAAAAGAGCAAAGGGCGGCCTGTACACAGCGAGGCTTTCACACTTCTTTTTTAAAAGCCAGGTGTCGGGGCTGGAGAGATGGCTCAGTGGTTAAGAGCACTAAATGCTCTTGCAGAGGCCCCGGGTTCGAGTCCCAGCACCCACATGGCAGCTATGAACGGTCTAACCCCAGTTCCAGGGGAATACGAAGCCTTCTTCTGACTTCTGCAGCATTCCATGACACGGGTGCACTCACATACATGCAGGCAATACACTGGTACACATAAAATAAAAATAGAGAAGAGACTCAGAATGAAAGAACAGCAGCCCAGGGGGAGGGCAGGAGACTCCCTGCTGGCTCACCTTCTGCGTGCTCCGGTCGCAGTAGAAGAAGATGGCGGTAGAGCGCTGATACACCTGGTGGCAAGTGTCTCCCCCAGTGTAGTTCATTTTCAATAGTCCGTTTTCATAAGTCAGCTTCTGAGTAAAAAGACCTGTTCGGGGAGAAAAACACCCAGTAAGATCTGCTACAACAGCTCTTGGGCCGCAGCACCTACCCTAGGACCTGTCAGAGCACACGACTCTAGACAGTCAGTCAAAGCACTGCCGGCCTGTGGCGCTGCACCAACCCCAGGTCACACATCATGCAGGAAGATCTAGGACAAGTGCTCTCTCTTCATCACCACTGCAGCCATTTGAGCCCATTTAAAAAAGTTCGGAAACTGGCCCAGCACCATGACACACACCTTTAATCCCAGCACTCGGGAGGCAGAGGCAGGTAGACCTCTGTGGGTTCCAGGCCTGCCAGTGCTACACAGAGAGACCCTGTCTAAAGAAAAAAAAATTCTTAAACTGATTCAGACCTGGTCTGCATGCTGAGATAACTTGAATAACCAATGGTCTTGCCAGTTGTTGAGTATGAAGGGAGTTTATTTAGTGAGACAGAGTCTCACTATGCGTATAGGCTGGCCTTGAACTCCAGGTTCTGCAGCCTCAACTCCCTGAATGTTGGAATTACAAGTGTGCACCACCCATGTCCAACTACCCACCAGGTTTTTTGTTTGATTTTTGGTTGAGACAGGATCTCCCCGTAGCCCCAGCTGTCCCCAAACTCCCTATGTAGACCAAGCTGGCCTAAATCACATACAGACCTGCCTGCCTCTGCCTCCCTCCTGAGTGCAAGGATGAAAGGCATGCACCACCATGCCCACACACCCTGCAGTTTCACAGCTGAACTTTATACTGAGCCATGTCCCCTTTGATTCAGGCCTAGAAAATGGTTCAGTGTGTCCCAAAGCTGGAGGTCAGAAACACCCTGTGGCAGCCACATCAGGAGCCACCTAGAGCTCTGCTGAGTCTGCCCACTTATCTGAATCCTACCTCAGAAATGCCTCACTTCATCGCCTTCTTCCTCCTCTTTGCAGATACGTTCCAGAGCCTAGGCAAGCTTTCCTGACCGCCCCAAACCAACCCCCCAACACACACACACACACACACACACACACACACACACACACACACTTGCTGTGCAGCTGCTGTCTGCCATGTGGCTGCTTGCTCAATCTCCATAGCTGACCATGCTACCCTGACTTGGAAGAAATGGCTATCCTTCTAACTTTTTTTTTTCGGTCTTTTTGAGACAGGGTCTCCCTGTAGCCCCATCTGTCCTGGAACTCACTATGTAGACCAGGCTGGCCTTGAACTCACAGAGATCTGCCTGCCTCTGCCTCCCAAGTGCTGGGACTACAGGCGTGCACCACCACGCCCGGCTTATCCTTCTAACTTTTAACCATGATGACCTGTCCTTACCAACACTGACGTAATGGTAAGTGTGGTATTCCTTCCTCAACTAGTTCATGGTGTGCAAATGTTATACATGTCACTCAGATATTTTTTTAATATTTTATTATTTATGAGTGTATTGCCTGCATGTACGTGAGTGCACCCGTGTTGTGCAATGCCGCAGAGGTCAGAAGAGGGCTTCGGATTCCCCTGGAACTGGAGTTAAGGACAGTTTGTAGCCACCATGTGGGTGCTGGGAATCGAACCCTGGTCCTCTGCAAGAGCAGTCAGTGCTCTTAACCGCTGAGCCATCTCTCCAAGCCCCCAGATATATACTTTTAAATGTAATGTTATATAAGCTTATCATGTACTGTGTACAAGCTACGGTGAAAAGTGCCTTTAATTCATAACATTAACCCTTTTAGCCGGGCATGGCGGCACAGTCCCAGCACTCAGGAGGCAGATGGATCTCTATGAGTTCAAGGCCAGCCTGGTCTACATAGTGAGTTCCAGGACAGCTGGGGCTACAGGGAAACCCTGTCTCAAAAAGACAAAAAAAAAAAAAAAAACAATCCAAATTAACCCTTTTACACAGCCTTCTGCCTGTGTTTGCAGTTGTTAGTACAACTCATCAAAGAAAATTACCTAACACAAAAATCATATATATGGCGATAACTGCCCTCTCTTGTAGTGTGCACAAGATCCATACAAGATTATATTTTTATTACTATTTAAACAAGAGATTAAATTTAGTTTGCACAGTGAGCAGGAGTTCACGAGCGCTCTTTTACAGCGCTGGACTTTGCTGTCATCATTTAAAACAGTTTGTATGCTTCCTATCTGTGTATCCAATATGTTCTTGAATGATGTTCATGTGGATACTGTTTATTAGAAGAAGGAAAAAAAGAAGGACCGGCTCTCTCTTCTCCAGCACACTTCTACGCTAGATTCCCAGTTTGCCTTGACCTGTTGTTTTCTTTGAAATGCTAACAAAACCGTCCTCAGGCTTACTTAGGTATCTTGGCAGGTAAGGCAACGTGTCACCAAACTTGACAACCTGAGTTCAATCCCCAGAACACACATGGTAGGAGAAAACACCCTCCTGAAAGTCATCCTTTCACCCCACTCACTGGCTTGCAGTGCCACAGACCTCCCTCCCAAAGTAAACATATCTTTAAAATTTTTTCTGAAATGCCCTCAAGCTTCAAAACAGAAAGAAAAGAAACAACCAAAAAACCCTGCATCTAACCCCATTCTTCAGCATGCGTTCTGGCTAAGGAGCTGATGTGAGTCAAGCAACACTAAAATGTTGCTTCTCCGGAACTCAGGAGGGTGCACGCCTCCTGTGTTAGAGAAACGTGGTCTGCGATATTATATCTTGACATTTTAACCCTGGGCTTTCACAGCTAGAGGGGAAAACAGTGGTACCTGCCACTTTTTGAAATCCCTGTGAGCCTTGCTTTTCCTGACACGATGAAACCACCTTGGACGTGTCACGTACAGGACAGACAGCTGAGGACAGCTTCCCGCAGACCCGAAAGTAGTACTTGTACTCGCCCGCACTCACGATGGTGTCATTGAGGGCCAGAGGCTTCAGGTCATACAAGCTGCCGTGCCTCGGGTCTTTCACCTGGCAGTTGTCTCCTTTAAGAACACAGGAAGCCAGGACCAATGTCATCACACAAGCACTCACTCTGCCAAGCAAAAGAATTTTACTTTTTTTTTTTTGGTACTGGGAACTGAACCTAGGGCCTAGCATAACTTACACAAGCACCTCCCACCCCCGACTGAGCTACATCTCCAGTTCTTTACTGTTTGAGACCAGGTCTTAAGTTACCCAAGCTGGTCTTAGATTCTCACTCATAGCTCAGGGAGTTCAGGCCTTGAATTTATGATCCTCCTGCTTCAGTCTCCTGAGTAGCTGATACAGGTCTGTGCCACCAGACCTGGCAAATTTTACAACTTTTAGGCAGATAACTACTACTATCTTAAAGTGGGCATCCAAAGCTACTAAATTATTATATGTGATACAAATGGCTGTCAGCATATGAGGGAAGCCTAGGTAAATTACCAGGTTCTAATAAGCCAAACCCGACTGCTTTACTGATTTCAAGTGTGAAAAGATAAAAAGTCAGTCTAGATACAAGAGAAAAAAGACTGATAAAAATAAACAAGTGGCAGCTGGGCATGGTGGTGCACACCTTTAATCCCAGCACTTGGGAGGCAGAGGTAGGTGGATCTTTGTGAGCTCAAGGCCAACCTGGTCTATATAGTGAGTTCCAGGACAGCTGGGGCTACAGAGAGACCCCGTCTCAAAAAGACAACAAAATAAACAAACAAGTGGCTTGCTAGGTGGGAAATGACCGACTCACTAGAGTCTCCTGAGCCCACCAAGTGCCACTATTGTCACAGGCTTCCTATCTGAGATGTGATTCCTTCAGAGCATCACTACTCTGCATATTTAAAGACTCTGGAGAAGGGTCCCAGGGCTCACCTTCTTCTCTGAGCACAGGACAGGCCTCCACTGTTCTCCAGACAAACACATACTCACAGTCGTCCTGTCGCTGGTACATGGGTGACCCCTGCAAGAAAGGCCAACAGCTTACTTGGTTTTTCTACTTAGTCAACAAAAACAAATAGAAGCCACAATTAAAACCCAATCATTAACTTTCTTAAGCTAAACATATAGTATATATGAACCAACTAGGCCCAGGGCACAGAGTATATCCTAGTCAAACCCTAACGATGTCCCCAAATCCATGAAAACACAGACAACCTTTAAACAACAGCTAACTGTGAGGCTATAAAGAACAGAACCAACCACGGACAAAGCCCTCCTGGCTGACGTGCACACGTACCGATGTCTGAGCACACTCAAACAGTATCCTGGTGGAGAAGCGCTGGTTTCTGCACTTGTCACCATTGACATACAGAATGCTGAGGGATCCATTCTCTGCATATTGAGGACTGATCTGCACCACACCCAGGTTCCAACTGTTGTCCTCTGACACTAAGCAGGATCCCACCGCGCTGCCTGAGAGATCGTTACAGAATGGTGAGGGAGGTTGACACCTTGACGCAAAACCTACTCCACCAACACAAACAGAATGCAGGCTCCAGCTCACCATAGCAGCCAGGAATGTAAGGCAGGGGGTTGCAGACACTCAGGTAGAAAGTCCGTCTCTTCCCATCCACTGAGGTGTCCACGGCAGTCCATGGCTTCCTGACCGTGCTCAATGCACTCAAGTCATACTCATTTCCGGCAGGATCTGAAACACAAAGCAGCACACTGGGACGCTTGCTCTCTGGTTTGTCCTGGCACCACTCTTCCCACCACGTAAGACTGCGAGGACGCAGACACAAACAAGTCCACAGGAGGCTTGGTCTGCAGAAATGCACCCCTTGGCCCTTCCAAACTGTCCCTGCAGAAGAAGCCATCGCAGGGTAGCCCAGAGACCAGGGGGCCAGGGGACACGGCCCAGTTCAGGGGGACAGCCAAAGGAGTCCTGAGATTGCCTTTTCTCTCTTAAGAAACTCTGACATACATGAGTATTGGGTTTCAATTCTCCTTTGAGTTTTCTTCACAGTTCATAAATAGCATCTAACCCTAAACCATAACTTGACCCTTTATGTCAGGAGTCTCTTCAAGAGAAATATTACACCACTAAGTACCATTCAAAAACATAGGCAACAAATGCCATAATGCCTGCAAAGCAAAGAGGCCACATTTAAACATGGAGACGTACAGACAGACGTGTATATACATACATACCCTCACACGCTTGCCCACCTACTAACTCCTAGGCCTCACCAGTTACTTGGCAATCCACTAGAGAAGGAACACAGGCCAGAGCAGTTTCAAACTCAAAGAAAGTGTTCCGGATGCCTCGAGCAGAGTCAATGTCCTGATGCAGGAATTTGGCGGTTCCTGGGTAAATGTCATCATTGCAAATGAACCGGATGATGAATGCCGTGCCTGTGGTAAAAGAAAGCCACTGTTTACAAGCCAGCTCGGACACAGGACAGCAAGAAGGTGGCAACAGGCCTGACGGCCAGCTTGGGAATCTCACAGCAGGGTGGCAGGTCTGTGGAGGGGCCTGATCTGAGCAGAGTCCAGAAATAGTGACTGTGGCGTGGCAGGTGCTGGGGGGCCTACTCTTGGCATTCTCATTGTCAGAAAGCATCCTGACCCCTAACAATTGCCAATCAGAAGACAGAGTAGAACTTTTGTTCCATTTTTCAACACGTACTCTACTCCACTATCGGCCAGGCTGAAAGCAGCAGAGGTGAGCCACGCCCTCCACAGCGCTGCAGAGGACCTGCCAGTACAGACGGGTGGGTGGACAGCAGGTCTCTGTTCTGCAAAACACACACACCAGCAAGACCAGCAGGCAGAGAGCAGGGGAGAGCGTACCAGCGCTAAGCACTATGGACTGCTGGCTCTACCCTAGGCATGATGTGGAGCCACAGGAGTGCTCAAGCTAGGAACTGACTCATCCAACGTTTAAAAAATACCACTGCCACCCTGACTGCAGACTTCTGTGACAGCAACACGTGCTATAGCTGCACAGGGCTCAGCAGTCCAGAGTCTTCATGCACTGAATTCCCAAGTGAGCCACTGAGGTCAGGTAACATGGCATCCCACTTTACATAGATAAAAGGTTAAGAACAAGCCCAAGGAGACACAGGTAAGTACACTGAGCCCGCACAGGGCTGGCCCAAGCCTGGATTCTCACAGTTCTCAGTAGCGCTCCCCAGTACCAATAGAACCGTATGAACAAGATTTTCCAAAAACCAGAGTCTGAGGACACCACAGAAAAATGACTAACCAGTCTTAAACTTAAAGTGTTCTGTAGGCCAGATGTGGTGGCACACACCTTTAGTCCCAGCACTTGGGAGGCAGAGGCAGAGGGACCTCTGTGAGTTCAAGGCCAGCCTGGTCTACATAGTGAGTTCCAGGCCAGCTAGGGCTACAGGGAGACTGCGTGTCAAAAAAAGACCCCCCCAAAAAATTTAATTAAAAATAGTGTTCTGTAGCTAGAGTGCAAAGAACTGTGGGAAGTGAACCCACTGCTTTGGGGTACGAGGGACAAACAATGAGGAGATTCCCACATAAACACCAAACTCCCCGACTCTTGAGTGACTTCCCTCCCAGAAACTCCATCCTGGGCTCTGCAATCAGTCTTATGAGAAGGCTGCAAGAGCCCAGCTTGACAGGCGTCCTGCTCTCGGGGAATTGTGTGCTCACACAGCCTTTCAAAACGCCCACAAGGAGGACACAAAGCTGGCCTGATCACCTTCAAGGCAGCAAACATCCCTGCATTTCAGTTAGTTCTCCTGAAAGGATCCTGCCCAGCTCCAGTCATTGGTCCACACTATCTCCACCTCATCATTCAGAGGAAGTGCACTTCTTTCTCTGGTGGAACTCTTCCAGGCCAGGCTCTCTGAGGCCTGTGCTCAGTAGCCTCAAGGTTTATTCAAGAGTTTCAATTCTACTTCTGTCACACACTAGACATATTTACATAGATTAAAATGTGCAGTGATCAGAGTAACCAGAGCGCCCCACCACCTCGCCCACAAATTGCTTCTTTGTGTTAGGAACATTCAAAACTCCTCTCTCCTAGCTACTTGGAAATATGCAGTTAGTCCTGAACTTTAGACAGCCTTCTGTACTGTACAGAACATCACTCCTAACAAGCATACATCTATACCCATTAATCAACCTCTCAGCCCCTCCCCATCTAAGTCTTTCCAGACCCTGGTAATGACCTCTCTACTTCAAGATCAACTACTTATGACAGCTTCCACATACAAATGAGAACACATTTCTTGTGTCTGACTTTTTTCACTCATGTGATTTCTAATTCCATGCAAATTGATTCAAATGAGAAAATTTCATTCATTTTTAATAATATACCATTCTGTCACCATTCACCTGTTGAGAAACACTTAGGCTGATTCAGTATGTAGGCTGTTGTGAACAGTGCTATCATAAACACAAGTAGATACTTGATATGCTGATTTCAATTCCTTTGGATACACACACAGACACACACAGACACACACACACACACACGCTATACACCATAATGGGAATGCTAGATGGTACGTGTGGTAGTACTATTTCTAGCTGGGCATGGCGGCACACACGTTTAATCTCAGCACTTGGGAGGCAGACAGATCTCTGTGAGATGAGATCAAGGCCAGGATGGTCGACATAGGGAAGCCAGCTGAAGCCGTAGGGAGAACATTTCTTTTAAAAAAAAAAAAAAGTCCTCTTTCTAGATTGCTTCCTTAGGCATCTAGACTTTTTTTCTTGGTGTTTCATCTGGAGTTTTGCTTTTTTGTTTGGTTTTTGGTGTGAGTGCATGTGTGTGCACGCACAACCCTGGCATGGCACACATGTGGATGGTGGAAGTCAACTCTGTGAAGTCAATCCTCATAGCTAGGTTTCATTATCAGACAGCAAGCACTTTTCCTGGTAAGCCATCTTGCAAGCCCAAGGGCAAGTTTGGATTTTCCAGAACAAGGTCTTCTCACAGGTACTGCAGGCTGACTTCAACCCTACAACCCTCCTGCCTCTACCTTCCGATGTTGGGATTGTAATCACTAATGGTGCCGGTTTCTAGGTCTCTAGGAACTTCGTACCAGTTTCCGACAGTTGAGCTAATTCACACCCTCCTTTGCTGCATTCTCTCGAGCACTTCCCTTCTGTCTGAGCAGCAACCCTCAGCAGCACATGAGGATGCCACTGTGCTTTTGAGTTGCATTTCCCAATGATTAGTGCTACTGGGAAATTATTTCCCCCATGTCCTCACTAGCCATTTTATCCACTTTTTGTTGGCTTTTTGAGACAGGTCTCCCTGTACCTGGGATTCACTATATAACCAGGGCTGACCTTGATCTCAGAGATCCCTCTGTCTCTGGGTTGTTGGCATTTAAAGGCGTGTTATCAGACATTTCTGCAGTTTTCCAATCCATGACCATCACACCCAGCTCATTTTGTCCTCTTTTAAGAAATACCACTTCTTAATCAAGTTTTTTTGCTGTTAACTTATGATGCAAGGAATTTGTAGAATTCTGCCTTTGTTGCCCGTTTCAGCGGTCACCCTAAAAAACCTCTGTACTGTTTTCCTCTGGTTCCAGTCTTCAGCCCACGTGTTTACCTGCCCTCCCCACGCTGTTCCAGGCTGCGCACTGTCACACTTCCAGTGGTTCGGGAGGGTTCAAAGCTGCTTTGGTTTTCCAGGGTCTTTTGCAATACCATACACACTAAGGGCTTCTTTCCTCGCTTTCTGAGAAGAAGCCATTGGAAATCTGAAGAACTATACTGAGTTTGGTCACTGTGAGTCAAATGGCCATTTCTAGTGTGACCTCAATCCATGGACACTTGGTGTCTTCTCACGGTTGTTGGCTTCAACCCTCTCCCTCCAAGTTCCACAACTCTGGTTGTAGAGGTCGTGCATTCCCATGGTTTTCTTCTTTTCTCTTTCTGCTTATTATGAGCTGAACTACTTCCTGATTTCCTTTGTCCCTTTCTTCCAGGCTGAACGTGTCCTTGCAGAGAAAAGGGTAAGTAAGACTCACAAAACTCACAAGGCTGTGAGAACTCACAGAAGGCACAAGGCTCACTCAGCCCCTCCCTGGGTTTGTATGAACGGCAGACAATCACTGGGGAGGAGGCCTTTGCTGCAGGTCCCTGAACGCTTCCTCAACTCCAGCACTGCAGCTTTCCTGAGTCCTGAATGATCAAGTCTAGCAATGTTTTGTATGTAATAGCATGACCTCCTCCTGTGCGGTTTGACTATCCTCAGTCTCTGTGTCTTACTACTCCAGGACAGCTGAGCACTCCAACACTGAGCAGAGACTACGGTGGTGTGTATCCTTGTCTGTTCCTGAACGTAGAACAAAGTATTTCAGGTTTTCCCCGTTCAGTGTGATATAGACTGTGGGGCTCACAGAAACAGCCCCACTCTAATTGCCCTTTTCTACTCTAAGGTTCTTTTTTTTTCATGAAGAGATGTTGAATTTTACCATGTTCTTGCTCTGCACTGATTGAGATGGCCATATATTTTGATCCTTCATTCTGTGGATGTTAACACATTAATCACTTTGTAGTACACTGAGCTGTACTTGCCTCCTTTAGTTAAATCCCACTTGATCGTGGTAAAAAGTTTTATACTGCTGGTTTTGCTAGCATTTTATTGAAAATTTTGCATATGTGAATCAAGAGATACTGTGTCCCTTCCTTTTCCAGACATTGGAGAAGTTTCAGAGTTCTTTAAAAGTCTGTAAGACTCAGCAGTGGAGCCGACTGATCTTTTATTTATTGAAGGTGCCTCTGATCCCAGCAAAGCAGGGGCAGGAAGATCTCTATGAGTTTAAGACCAGCCAGATACACAGAGAGACCCTGTCCTACAGCGCTGGTAAGGGAGCTGGACATGGTGGCCCACACCTTTAATCCCAGCACTCAGAAGGCAGATGCAGGCGGTCTATATAGAGAGTACCAGGCCATCTGGGGCTACAGGGAGACCCTGTCTCACAAAGACCAAAAAAAAAGCTGGCATGGGAACTGACCAATTAACGCACAAAACACCTTAACCAAGTGCTGGTGCACAGGAACGGTCAAGCCTGCAGCCATCTACTAACACAGCTGCCCTGCCAAGGGCTTACACCTGACCTTGCCCTTCTTAACAGCAACAAAAGGGTCCTCACCCACCACTTTTTTAGCACCTGAAAGAAATGCAATTAACAATTCACCTCTGAAGAACTGGAGGTACAAGATAAAAGGGGCGGGCTCTACACACTGGGGGTGGAGGGGATGGCGAGCACCCTAGGAAGAATAACAGACTCTGCAAGGCCCACCACAGTCAGTCCTGGGAGGACAGGAACCTGTTAAAAAAATGATAAGCCAGCCGGGCGCGGTGGCACACGCCTTTAGTCCCAGCACTTAGGGGGCAGAGGCAGGCACATCTTTTTGAGTTTGAGGTCAGCTGGGTGAATGTCAGGTCAGCTGGGGCTATAGGAAGACCCTGTCTTAAAAAGACAAAATAAAAATTGACAAGCCTCAGCTCACCTTTGTCTGAGGGAGAAGACCCTTTGTAGGTCAGAGTGAGGAACCCCTCCGTGGACAGCTGGAGGCTCTTCTCAAATCCAACTGGCCTTTCCGGCCGCAGGTTCTTCAGCTCTTCTGTCTGGGATCCTGCCTCACAGCCAAAGGCTGCCTTTCCCCCAACCGTTCCACAGGCGGGCATCGCACCACAGATATTGAACTGGAAGCCAGACAGAAGGGAAAAAAAATCACGGACAGGCTGTGGGGTCCAGGAAGCTGTACTTCCAACCAGGTTCCAGTTGTCACCTGGCTGCCTCTGCCGGCTACTGCTGGACGTAGCTCAGGAAGGGTAACTGTCCCCCATCTGAACTGAATTAGGACAGTGGTGATGCTGTTTACGTCATCTCCCCCAAACCTGGATTTTCTCATTTTCTGGGTCCAAGGGACTACAGCAATGTGCCCTGGGCAAGCACTGAGGACACCTGGTTCCTCAAATCACAGGCTGCAAGTAATTAAATGCAGTTAGCCTGATTCAAAGCAAAGTGGAAATTCATCATTATCTCTCTTACCACAAAAGTCTTTCCAATGCCTGAGACCACGTATCCTTGAGAACTGTTGAGTGGGCTAAGATTAAACACAAATCCGCTGTTGGGGTCTCTTATAGAGCAAGCCTACGGGAAACAGGAAGTGAAAGAAACACATTCAAGCCAATTCCATCAGAGCACAACAAATACGCAGCCCCTTCAGAACGCCATGTTCTATACTCGACAGAGCTGTGCTTGGCCCTCAACAACCTCTTCAAACTCAGCCTGTTTGTTGCCTATACCAATGCAGGATGAAACTCACCCATGGCTGCTGAGCTACTGCAATACCTGAGTAAGACCACTGCTAACCCATAGGAGAAACGAAGAGACCCAGGAATATATCCCTTAAATTTTTATTTTATTATTATTTTTTATTTTATGTTCACGAGTTTTGCCTGCATGGAGGAAAATGCACCTGTACATGCAATGCCACGAAACTGGAGTTACTAGCAGTTGTTAGCGGTGATGTGGGTGCTGGGACTCAAACCTGGGTCATCTACAAGAGTAGCTAGGGCACGTCTTTAATCCTGGTGCTCAGGAAACAGAAGCAGGTGGAACTCTATGAGATCAAGGCCGGCCAGTTGTGGGCCAGATGGGCCTACAAGAAGACTCTGTCTCGGAAAGATTTTTAAAGAGGCAAAGAAATCTCGATATTGTTTTCTGTTTGCCCATTCACAGGAAGGTGCCAATAGGAGCACAATCAATACAGGAACTCGGATGGCGTGCTCTCTTCCTTAGATGCCATCGAGTTTGCCTTCATCTCCTCTGTCCACAAAGCACAGGACACCAGTCACTGCTCCAGAAACCCTGACCATGAACTCGGTGCCTGACACCTACCATCCCCACCTCATGGAACACTGCCCCTGAGCTGAGGTCACTGTGTGCACTGGACTAAACTGCAGTCTAGTTTCTTAACTAGAGAAGTGGGAAGGGAAGCATCCCACCATAAAGACGTGCACACAGTGTCAACAAAAGAACTTACTGCCCCGGGACGGGCAGAGAACATGGCAGAGCGGCTACAGTGTGCGCAGAAGTGGCCCAGGCACAGGAGCCATGGCAGTGAAGGACAAGAAAGGCCAGGGCCTCCAGCCGAGGGTGGGGCTCTGCCATCCAGGCAGCGGCACCTGAAGCATTGGGCTCTACCCAGTGGCTGAGGCTACAGATGCTTGGGCTTTACCATCGCAGTGAAATATTCTGGAGTAGAGTGACACAAATCAGTCCAACTTCTGGCAGTGATGGAGATCCTTAGAACTCCCACAGGAAAGGAAGAGGGGGTTGAGAAGAACAGGGATCTACAGTGAGGTACTGGTTCTTATCTGGGGACTTAGGTACCAACGCTAGGCACACCTAGTCCAAAATGCAGAGCTCAAAGCCGGCCTGAGCATAGGCCAGGCAACATCACACATACCTGGTCTGTATCTGTGATCGTCTGGACAGGGCAGGCAGCCTCTGTGTTCCACAGGAAACTGACCACACACTCCCAGTTGAAAGTGAATATGGGGTGGGTGTTCTGAAAGGTCGAGTGTAGAAAACAGTCAGCAGAGCAATCTATCCAAGAGGACACCAGCACAGTACACAGAGGAGGCTAAATCCAGAGTGTCCATTCCAGATTAGCACTCATGAGCCTCCTAACTGCATGCAATTTAACAATCTCATAATCCCTACAAAGGAGAGGCAGATCATCCCCCACGCTTCAGTACCACGATGGCCGAGAGCCCAGCAACAAAGGAGAACTGGGATGGCCAGCCTCACAGCCTGAGCATTTAAAAACCACTGTACACAAAGCCGAAGACAAGCAACCAGAAAGACTACTGTGCAACGGCTCACACACCAGATGAACAGGCAGAGGTGACCAGGGTCTCAGGAGGGCTGACAAGTGACAGGAAGGGGCGAGGAGACTCAGTAGGGCAGATACCCGTCTCCTGATGTGGGCTCTCACTACACAGGTGTGTTGATTTGTGAAAGGGGCTGTTACTGACTCAATCTGTGTATTTCAATACCTCATCTGCATAAAAGGCCACATTTCCATCCTCTGTGTACTACGCTATGATCCCAGGTCACAGGAGCTCACTCATCATCAGGCGATGCTCATAGGTACCACGTGGAAGACTTCACGGAGGCATTTTAAAAATTTTATTACTTTTATGATTTGTATGTGTGTGAGTGTGTTGCCTGCATGTATGTAAGTGCATCCGTGTTGTGCAATGCCCTTGGAGGTCAGAAGGAGGCATCAGATTCCCTGCAACAGGAGTTACAGACCGGTGTTACCCATCATATGGGTGCTGAGAATCGAACCTGGGTCCTGTGACAGAGCAGCCAATGTTTTTAACCACTGAGCCATCTCTCAAGTCCCTACTGAGACATTTTTAACTGACTTCAGGCCACACCCAGGAACCAGGGCACTCTACCTACAGACCCCGCCCACATTTAGTCTCTTCAGTCCTAAGGGCAAAGCAGAATTATATTGCTCCTCCACTTGGTAAAAAGAGACCAGGCCTGTGGTGCACCTGTGAATTTGGCCTTCTTCGTCACCTCAGGAGTCCTGCTAGGCCCCATTGTACACTAGGCTTGCAGGTGTGCTGAGTTCAGGGACAGTGTGAAAATAGAAAACTAAAGAAAGTCTGAAAGAACTTTCTGGAACTGACCAGTAACCCAATGGAAGCAAAAATAGAGGAAAGGATGGACTATGCCAGGGCTCCCACACACCCAGGACGCAGAAATGCCAGGCATCGCTGGACAAGGAGACCAACAATGGTCAGCCTACAAAGCCCAGATTCCTCCCCGACACAGAAACCAGCAGCTCAGGCTCATGTAGGTCTCGGAACTATGTCTGCAGTCCACAGGGGACACGATCGAGCAAGCCACAAAGAGAACTTCATGTCTGCATGGCACCTGAACACAAAGCCTCATCCACCAGATTATGTACAGCAGAAGTCAGGAGCAATTGCAACCTATCAGCTGGGACTTGTCTGGCTGGAGGCAAAACCACACAGCACAGGTATAAATCTAAAACTGTTGCTACAAAGCAACTTAGTCGGGATAATAAAAGTTCTGAATATAAGCTAAGTATGGTGGCCCACACTTTTAATCCTAGCGCTCAAGAGGCAGAGGCAGGAGTTCAAGGCCAGTCTGGTCTACATACCAAGTTCCAGGCCAACCAGGGCCACACAGCAAGACTCATAAACCCTCAAAAGAACAAACAAAAAAAAAAGATCCAAACAAGTTGTAGACAAGGATTCTGGTGATGGGCACACAACACTGATGATGAGTTTGTAAGTGTCCCTGGTAACCCAAAATGGTCAGTTTTATGCCCTGCGTAATTTGCCCCAATTTTGAAACACAAGTATGGGCTATACATGCCAATCTCAAAGCACTTTTCTACAAAGTTCTTCCTACTCTCCTGGGCAGCACTTACCAGGCTACCTCTGCCACAGACAAGATGGATCCTGGTGCTATAGGTGGTTACCCGGCCGTCGCTGGTGGTGCAGGCTGAGCCGTTCACATACTCTAAGAGGAGGCTGCCACTCTCCTCCACCACAGGGCCCGTCTTTGCAACTCCCAAGTTACTGATGGACACGATCTCAGTCAAGGAGCCCTGCAACACAAGGACTGTTAGTCTCCTGTCAACAGCAGGCTTCATTCTCATGGAGGGTGATTTGCTACTCGTGGTAGTTACAGCCTATGAAGCCCCACTAATGAGAACTCCAAACACTGAAGCCATCTGCTTCTAGAACTATGTAATGTACACACAGATCACATAGACATCATCATCTTCAATCCTAAAAGGAGTTCATGCTAATGGAATCATTCCACCTCCTTTTATTTTTCAGGAAATGAGGGGCTTGTCAGCCCACTGGAGGCCCTCAGACTAACAGGTGCCAGATTTGGACTAAGACCTCATCCACAGGGCCCCAGCTTGACAAACTGCTCCTCCCACCCCAATCTGCCCAAAACAAGAAGGCAGAACATCACCATATTCCACTCCAAGTATGAACAGCCATGCCTGGTCATCATGCCTGCCAAAGAATGGCTAAGAAGCCTTTGCTTATAAGGTTATAAGCACTAATGAGCAGGCAGACTCACAAACACAGGCGTCTTGGAGACATGAGGCTGCTGTTGGGAAAGCATGCACAGCCATGTGGATGCAGCCTTGAGCTCATCTGAGCCACCATGCGCTCCATTAACATGGGATACAAAAGCCGATCTCACGCACTATTTTTACAGGAGCCAACTTCTAGACATGTACAACTTTAAGATTCACCTTGTATAAGCACAAGGAAATGTGCCAAGTTCTGACAACTGGAGTAATGAATGAGACAATGAAGTCCAGCTCAATCCCCACAGTGACTGTAACACATGGGTTGAGGACACTCCCAGCAACTCTCCCAAATTCATTTTTTTCACCTAAGCTATCCCAAAGAGCTTTGAGCAGCTAAGGTTCTGTTCTATGGATGCCTGCCAAATCACTCAAGACATCTGCATTCAGGCCAGACACCAGCAAGAGCTTCTTCTGTAGCGTGCTAGATCAAAGGGGGCCAACGATATAGCATTTGCTTTATGTTTTAGTCTGAACAAAGTCCACGTGATGCACACCTGTGCAAGAAGCTGTCTCGTTTCCCAATACCTACATTCCTCAGAGGCTTCACCTGGGCGGCTGGGACTGCTGGGATCTGACAGCCCACAAATAACTTCCTTCACCCACTAAGCCACACACTCAACAAAGAAACACGACACGAGGAAGACACACCTGATCATCTTCGTATTTCATCTGGCAAGCAGATGCGTATCGGTCACAGCCAGGCACAGGGTTCAGAGGCCGACACACATTAATGTAGTATTTCCTCCGTGTGACATGTTCCCGTGAGTTTTCCATGGCAAACCAGTTTCCTCCGTGGCCACCTTCAGACTTCACTAGACTAAAATTTCAAAGCAGAAAATATGCTTAACTAGTGGAAGCTGGCAATTTATTTTTAGGTAGTTAAAAGAGATAACATTATCAATGCAAACACACTCAAATCAAACTATATCTAGATGGTATACCACCTACCCAGGACTCACCATGATTATATTTTGAGCTTTTTGAAGCCCCACATTTAGAGGACCCTTCAAAATGCCCCCACCTTACACTGAACTATTGGTTTTTTTTTTTTTTTTTTTTTTTTTTTTTTTTGAAAAGGGGGCTCCTTTACCCCCCCCCCGCCCCGCACTCCACTTTGACACCCGCGGCGCCCCGCACAGCTGGCCTGGAACTCACTATGTAGACCAGGCCGGCCTCGAACTCACAGAGATCCTCCTACCCTTATCTCCCAAGTGCTGGGATTAAAGGCATGTGCCACCACGCCTAGCATGAACTATTGTTTTAAATAATGAAGCTAGCTACATTTTAATCCTCTGCTATGACAAAGAGCAGCTGCTGTCACAAGGCTAACCAGACCACACCCCTCTCTTCTGCTTCTCTCTGCCCCGGTCCCACACCCTGGGGCCAACATACCTATCATCAATTACCATTGGCTGAGCCATGTGCTCACCAGTAACCACACTGAGGAAGGACCAGGGCCAGCAGCTGGCTCTGCTCACCTGGACAAGTCATACTGTTCCATCATGGAGGGATCTGTCACCATGCACTCCAAAGGCTCTTCTGGGCAGGCATAACTGCTGTACCACCGGAAGTTGTAGGTAGAGTTGTCCTCTTCCTAATCCCAAGACAAGGAGGGAATGGGGAAGGAAGATGCTGGTGTCTAGATCTGGAGCATCCCCACAGATCCACAGTTAAGCCTTGGTGCCTAGCTTAACCAGAAGGCGATAAACAAGAGGTAAAGAGAGATGACTGGGGATGCGGCCCAAGTGGATACTAGTACCCGACCACCCTCTTCTTGCTCTCAAGAGTGCTTCCTGGCCATGAAGTGAGCAGTTTTGCTCTACAACTCATTGTCGTGATGACAGGCCTCCCCTCAGTCCCAAAGCAATGTGCCAACCAATCCTGGACTGAGGTCTCCAAAACTGTAAGGCAAAATGACCAGCACTTTTCTAAGCTGAGCACCTCATCGTGTGTTTGCTATGGTAACAGAAGGCTAACAGATGGAAAAAGGGAAGCATGCAGAGTACCACTGAGACAGTAACAAAGACACTTGTATAGAACAAGCTGCATAAAAAAAGTTTGCTCTCTCCATCTCCTCTCAATGTAAAATGACATTTTAATCAAAACCTGTGAGGGAAATCTGGCCTTGCTGAAGTAGAAATAAGAGCATGATTTTTGAAGCTTTGCATGCTTTGTAACAAAATCCAACAGGGCTGTGGCCTAGCATTAAGAGCTATGGGCCTTTGAATACACAGCTTAACAAATGAGTAAACCTCACCTGCAGAGTGTAAAAGGAAAAATTATAATGATGATTTGGTCAGAAAACCAGACTCTGCTTCTAAGTAAAAGGTGCACAATTGGTCTAGTATCTCCAGGACAAACTGCCCAAGATGATTCCCACCTGATATTCCGGAAAGCCCAGTCCAGCATCTCGGTCACAAAGAAAAGTGATCAGTGTGGCTCTCGGCGTGTGCTTTTCGTTGTTATAGGGTGTGCCATCCCTGTAGTTCAACTGGATCATCCCATCATAGTAAGAAAGCTTAGCATTACTCAGTCCCAAGTTCCATGATGTCTTATCACTGAAATAAACAAAGGTGCATCATGCACCATCAAGCAGAAGCTCTCTAGGGCTACACAAAAGGGTGACAGCACAGCTAGGACCTGGGGCAGCTGCCATCCACGGAAATCCCACATGCAGCTCTACTGACCACACAGGAAGAGGGGTCCCCCCATCCTCACCGGGACCCATCTTTCCCTCAGCACTGCTGGGAAGATGCAACTCAATTCATTAGAACTAACACTACAAGGAAAGGAAAAAACGTAGGTAAATACTTAGCAACTGTACAGTGGGCATCGAATACACCAGCCCTCTCCCCCTAGGATGCAGCTTGCCCCTTTTCTGAGACATTCCGCTGCTAGCATCCTGCAGTTTTCCTGGTCAGGTCTTCTCAGTATTTAAAAGGGCTTGTGTCATAAGGCAATGATGATAAGGAAAACCTATCTATTCCCAAATGAAACACTCATTAGCATAGAACACCGAAGAACCAACCCAGAACGAGAGGTCACTTGCCTTTTTGCTACCTGGCAGGCCCCAGAGTTTAGCTGACAAGAGTCCACAGATACAGGTCCACAGACATTTATATAAAAGTCATACTTCTCTGTCTCAACTTTATAGGCACCATTCTTTTTTGTGAGAGGTGACAAATCAAAAGAAAACCCTGAGGAAAATAAAAATAAAAGTATGTTAGGCCAGTCAGGACATAGAAAACTGGGTGAGCTGACCACAGTTTCAAGGACAGCAATTCCTCCTTGGGCAGGAAAAAGTTAAAGATGCAGAAAAGGACATTATCTCACAAACTACCAGCCTGCAATGACAAACACCCACCCCTTTCCTGTGTGAACCCTGCAGTCCTATTCAAACCCCTAAGTACAGCTCTCATAAACCACTGATATCTCCAAGAAAGATTACCACAGTATGATGGCCTTCTTGTAAAGTCCCCCAGGTAAGTTTCTGTTCTTGGACAAAAGCTTTTCAAATATGAGTGATGCCCTTGCCTTCAAATAAATCCAGCAGAATCACAAACAGAAGACTGGATCTCCCATGGCTTAAGCACAAAATAAAAGATGCCCACAACTCTGGTCAAATGACCAAGCTGCCTCTAAAGGTCATAAAGTGTTCAGAAAAAGCCTTCTGGCTGGGCGTGGTGGTACACGCCTTTAATCCCAGCACTCAGGAGGCAGAGGCAGGCAGATCTCTGTGAGTTTGAGACCAGCCTGGTCTACATAGCAAGTTCCAGGCTAGTTGGGGCTACAGGAAGACCCTGTCTCAAAAAGACCAAAAGAAAAAAGAAAAAGCCTTCTGTAGTTGCAAGTCACACTAAACAACAGAGGCACTGCTCAGACATACCTGCCTGGGCATCAAAGACCGTACAGTTCTCTCCTTCCGTCTTCGACAGCACGCAAGCAGCAGCCGTGTGCCACTCAAATTCGTAGAAGCAACTGTTATTCCCAGAGGCTCTCAACACTGGAGCGCTTTCTAAATCACCTGCCAGTGGTGGGGAGGAGATCATTAATCTGTTGGTTCTAAAAAATCTTTCCTGTTCTTACTGTGTCAATAGTTCTGGGCACATAATAACACACCCAAGGTTAGAAAGTGGTCCTACAGGGCTGAGGTGGGGCTTGGTCCACAGAGGGCACGTGAAAATGCAGAAACCCCTTGGTTCAATCCCAACAACATATAAATCACTCATGGTACTGCATGCCTATCTATAATCCCGACCTGAAGAGCTGGAGGCAGAGACATACAAGTTCAAGGTCATGTTGGACTAGATGTAGAGCTTGAATACAGCCCAAGCTAAAAGAAATCGTCTTTAAAAAAAGGAGGAGGGGGTGCTGAAGAGATAGCTCAGCACTGGCTGCTCTTCCAGAGGACTTGGGTTTGACTCCCAATACACACATGGCAGCTAACGGCGATCCTTAACTCCAGGTGTATCTGATATCCCTCCTCTGGCCTCTGCAGGCACTGTACAACATGGGTGCACTTACATGTATTGCAAGCAAAACACTTGTACATATAAAGTAGAAATATATCGAGAAAAACTTAAAAAGAGGACTAGACGAGGTGAGCAGGAAATGGTTCTATACATGTCATTCTCACGAAGGAACGGTAAGTCCATAAACACAAGGCAGAGTTGTGGTAGCCAAAGGCTTGGGACGGAGCAGTGGAGAGGTACTGTTTACTAGGTACCAACTTTCAGTTTGGAAAAATGAAAAAGTTCTAGAGAAGGGTGGGAGCAATGGTTATAAATGGTACAAAAGTATCTGTTGGCACTGAACTATATACTTGAAAATAGGTAAGATTTTATGTTATACATATTTTACCACAATTTACTATGCCACATATACTTAAACAAAGAGGAAACAAAACAGCACCAGCATGAGACCTTCCCCCACAGCTGGGAATTGATATGAAGGAAATGTCTCAGGGGGAGAGGTGGAGAAGGCAGAGAGAAGAGACAGAGCTTCCAGATGCCCCGCATTGGAAACGTACTGTTAACCTAACAAGTGGAAAATGCTTAAAAATAGTAGACTATGCCTCGTCAACAAGGAAATCCCTAAGAAACTATAAATAGAACCATGCAACGTAGTAGTCACAAAATATAGCCCTGAGACCATTAAAATGCATGCATGGATGTAGATCTTAACAAAAAGAGCAGAGACATGAGTAAGGGTGAAAAGTAAGCACTGCTGAATGGAAGACTGTGGGGGAAGTTCAGCACCCTGCATCACTGATCCTGTACGAGTCCCAAAGAACAGGACGCCATGCGGAGATTCCTTTGAAAAATGTCAACACAACTCCCTGTTGACACCATATGGTCTCTCCATTTCTGGGATGAAATCCAACTGACCTGTCTCCCATCACCAGAGACTAGAACCCGAGATATTCAGCATCACCCCTTCTCCCCCATCCCCACTGCAGAGATGATGAGACATGGGGACACAGGGGAGACGTGGGGATGCGGGGGAGACATGGGGACGCAGGAGAGACACACGGGGACGCAAGGGCACCTCTTCCTGTGTGTTATTACCTGGCTTGCAAATGAGGGTGATGTTAGTTGTTACTTTCTTATCACCGCCACAGTCATCACCATCTGAGTAGGAGAGTTGAATGTGTCCTTTCTCCTTTGTAGGAGAAGAGAGAAATTTTCCAAGGTTTTTACTTCCAGTATTATCTGGAGAAAAGAAGAGAACAAGACACAGTGGAAAATTATCATCATGCAGACATAGGTACCAAAACCCAGCTAATGCCAGCAGTGCACCATGACCCTTTCTCAGTCCTCCTAACTTGGCTGTAATGGGCAGAGCTCTCCTAAGAGGCAAAAGAAGCAATGTCACATTAAGGCCACCTCCTGGCTTAGCAGCAAAGTGTTGGGAATGTCCTTCAAGGGCACAAAGACAGGTTAGCACGTGTTAGCTAGCACCAGCCCAATTTCCAGGCCCTGAGACAGAGGCTTTTAGGGAGCACAGCCAGGAGTCAGGCTTTATTCATGACCACAAACTCACAAGCCTATCTGGCAACCAGTACTGAATGACTGGTTCAGCTGCTATAACTGAAGTGTTAGAAGTCCATGCCTGGGTCCTTAGTATGACAGGAATTTACTCCACTTACTCTTCAAGACGCAGCTCTTGTTCTGAATGCCAGGGTGATTCCCCGGATCCAACAAGGCCTTGCCACTCATCGCTGTTTCTAGGCGATTCCCTTTCCTCTAACTGCCTGGTAATTTCCAGGTGCACCTTAATTGACAGATGCCAAACAGATGCATCTGTCTGTCTGAGTGACAGCATAGGACCAGAACTAGGACAGCAGACCTGCAGGGCACGATGCTCAGCCCAAGTTCCACGAGAGTCTGCTTTCCCTGAGACCAGGTATAGGCAGTAAAGCTGCCACAAATTCAAATCAGCTTTCCCCAAACACTGGCAGCATTAGTCCTCAGATTACAAAATGAAAAAGATGGTCAAGCACTTTCTAGCATGGCTTGCTTTGGTAAGCTATACCTTCTGGGAACCTTAGGATTTCAGAGAGCACAGCACTCACTAGTATTCTACTGTTTAAAATTATGTAATGGTTTAGAGTCCTTCCGATCTAAACCCAAGAGGAGAGGGCTCACAAGAACCACAGGAGTCATTCTGAGTCATTCCACAAAGGAAGCAACTAAGGTCCGCCCACCCTTAGGAAGAGGGTGGTCACGTTACTCACCCACAACACACACAGCAGCATCTTCAGGGCAGTTTCTAGCCTTGCCCTCCGGCAGCACTCGGTGACAGACATTAATGAAGAAAGACTTCTTTTCTGAGTCTGTCTGGCCTCCAACCACAGCTTCCCAATTCTGCTCCGATTCTGCAACCAAAGCAAAAGTTTCTTTAGTCAAAGGCAATGAATTCTTTCCTTATGGTCACATCTTAAAGAGTATAACTAAGTCAAGTTCATGAGTACTTGGTCAGGAAATCCCTGGCATTTCTGCTTCTGAACAGAAAGTCAGTCTCCACTTTCTGAGTGTGTCGGGGACAGGGACAAGTCATACCCCAACATGCCATGTGAAAAATGAACAGCTAACCTCTTCCACACTCAACAACAGAAAATCAAGCACTGAACCAAATCTGAGGGCCAGCGCTGTCCTGAGCCTGCTGGAAGGGCACTGCTAGTGCAGAGCTTCAGGCCTCCAAGTACCTATGCTGCCGAGAAACCTCCTGCACAGGCTGACTGGGGCAGGATGGAGGCTTGGCTCACACAAGGTGGTCATGACCTGTGGCCACTGAATCCAAAGGCTGAGTGAACAGGCACTGATAGGTGTCAGTGGAAGGGAGGGGGCGGTGCTAAGGACACTAGGCAAAGGAAGGCGTGGTCACGAGACTGTAGCTACCATCCCATAAACTGGCACTGGACAACAGGAAGACAGATATAAAGACATACGCACACATTCTTTTCTGAATGTTCCTTTGTCAAGCTGGGAATTAGGTTTAGAAGTAAAAGCCCACAGCTTGCCAGTGATGTTACACATGCTTTTGGAGAGCTAGGTCCCCATGTTGGTAGCCTACAGACACCACAGAAGACAGCGTGCATGACAAAGTCCTCCCCAAAGCACGGAGCACTTGACGGAAGGGTGTGTGGGTTGCAGTCCCGCGGCAGGACTCTCTGAAGGAACAGCAGAGTATTTCAGCTTTCAGTTCACAGATTCCTCTGGGCTATGTGGTTGCAAATGCTACAAAAATCTTCCCGATTCCTCAAAAGCCAGGCTGCAGCACGGAGCCTGCTAAGTGGACTCATGCAGCTCTGCACCGTCCATCAAGGTCCCAATCCGTGTGTCTTGGAGCGCACTGACACTTAAAACGAAACATGGTTCTTGCTCCTTCACCACTGCAGCTGCAAAGCCACCACGCACTCCTGTCAGAACCCCTGGGCACAGTGAACCCTAACCCAGCACACCCTCTTCCCGTCCAGGAAAAAAGGAGAAATGAAAAGAAAATGGGACGGGAGGGGGGCTGCGGTAGGACAACAGACAAGAAGCAGAAGGAGGTGTTAGGACGAGAGGGGGGCCGCGGTAGGACAAGAGACGAGAAGCAGAGGGAGGGAATAATGCAGACTGGAAAAACATCCCACAATACTTGTGTTTCCTTTAAGAAGTTAGGCCTGAAGAGCTTACACAACAGTCTTAGATAGAGCCACCCAAATCTAAACTAAGGCCCTGATCCTGAGATTCGAACTCCTGCTTTGCAGAAACCCACCCCTTTATTAGCACTCAGGTATGCGATTCATCCGTGGCTTCCGGGGATTTTTACTACTAAAGCAGTTAGTAGTAGAACACAGGATGTTCGTGGTGAAGCACCTAGATAGTGTGCTAAGGAAGGCTCTTGACCCTGACACAGAGGAGGAACCCCTGTAACAGATGGGCCTGCAAAGACTGTAGAACTGTGTGGTGGCTGCTGGTGTTCATGCACTCCATGCTCACCAGAGCTCCACTCTGCAGACACAAGGACCTCTACACACCGACCCCAGAGCTGCTACAAGAGTGAAACCCGAAGTCCCTAGCAAGGTCAGGCGATCCCTGGCACAAGCCCTCTACCTCTGACTTTCCTGGCCCATGAAGGCAGAGACATGACAATGTGGGACCTCACCAGTTGTCACCCAGTACCTTTCCTGTGTCTACCACAGTACAAACAGAGTCTTCCTCCGCCCCCCAACATCTCCATGTTGAACCCCTAACACGGATACGCACGGTGTTGTACGATGCCATGCATCCTGGGACAGTCCTCCCAAAACTAGGGATCAGGGGCATGCCGATCCCCTTTCAGAGGCAGAAGGGTCAGCCACAGTACAGGGCAAGCACAGGATGTAGACTGAGACTCGGCTCCTCCAGCTGCCTTAGGTGCACAGGATATAGACTAACAGACTCGGCTCCTCCCGCCACCTTAGGTACCAAATATAGTCACATCTCCCTCAAAGAGAAACTAATTCCAGCCCAATGCAAAGGACAGCTGGCAGTTCTTGCTAAACTGGTAAGGTGAGCTTGGACTCCTCAATTAGAAAAATGACACGGAGAGTTCTCAGACACAGGTGCTCACCTCCCAATTCACAGCTCCTTACAGGCTGAACTGTTGCTGGAAGGCAAAGGGGGCCATGACTCAGTTGATAATTAAAGGTTTGTTTTGCAAACCACTGGGAGCAACTGTCTTCTGAACATAGAAACTAAGGGTCCCCAGGAAAGGGAGCGATACCTGAGTGGCGAGCCAGCACAGACAGGTCATAGCGTTTCTTCCCGTCACTGGCCCCACAGAGGAGGTCTTCCTTCTCTTTGACACAGGCATATTTGGTGTCCCATGTGAAGAAGTAGGTGCAGTCCACCTCACCCGTAAACACAGGCTCTCCTCTCCCGGCGTTACCTACACAATGCCAGAGGAAACACGGAACTCAATCATGACCCAAACCCAGGAGCAGGCCTCCGCTACTCCAGGATGCAGTCACCTTGCAAAGGGCCCACTGCTGTCACCGGGTAGGAACAGAAGTCCACAGAGATGACAGAGACCAGAGTTCCAGTCCCAAGAGAGATGACTAACAAGTGACGGTGATGAAAACCCATTCCCTGGGATTCATCCCCACTGTGGAGATGAAGAGGTTCTGTTGCTATGGCTTCGAATGAAGTGTGGTGAGACCTCGTGTCGCCCCCACAAGGTTAGAGGCACTCCGCTAGGTGCTGACGGCACCCACGCTTGTGACCTGTCAACATACATTTGGGATGTTCCACTGAAACCTCTTCCTCCTCCGTCCAGGGAGACACCATCCATTGCCCAGAGCAGCACCACTCTTCAGAGGCCACTCCTCCCAAGCCCGGCCTGAGAAAAGCACTGCCCTCCCTATTGGAAACGCTATCCCTCTGCCTTGTCCACTGATGGGCCACTGGCACAAAGCTCCCTGTTTTTTCACCGCTGGTGGTTTCGTAAGCCCAGCAGCTGCACCTCCCAGTCCGCCTGCCTCCTGAGGTGTGCTGTCCTGAGCAGTTTCATGTTCTAAGGAAAGGGAAGTAAGGATTTTACAGCAAAAGCAAATGATGTTTCAAGTGTCAACTCTTAAATTCTGAGGTCTTCAGGAGTAGAGCAGCGGCCCCAGCACCTAGCCCGTCCCAAGCACAATCAAAGTCAAGCACCAAGTAAACTGCAGCAATTCCAGCGTCACCCACACTGGGGCAGGCTGCAAAAAACACACAAACATTTGGTGTATCTGCCCACGCCAAGCCCTATGGCAGGGACTAAAGAGATGGCTCAGCAGGTAAGAGCACTGGCTACTGTTGGACCAGGGTAGATTTCCCAGCACCCGAATGGCGACCAAAAAACCATCTGAAACTCCAGTTCCACAGGATCCAACATCCTCCTCTGGCCTCCATGAGAATTGCATACATGGGTGCACTTACATAAGTACAGGCAAAACACTCATAAATTTTTAAAAAATTTAAAACCCTGGGGCTAGAGAGATGGCTCAGCAGTTAAGAACCCTGACTGTTCTTGCAGAAGACCCGGGTTCGAATCCCAGGACCCACATGGCACATAACAACGGTCCGTAACTCCAGTTCCAGGAAATCCAACAGTCTCTTCTGTCCTCCATGGGCACTGTATGACACAGGTGCACTTACCTACATGCAGGCAATACACACATACACATAAAAATAATAAAATATTTAAAAATAATAAACATTAAAATAAAATATTAAAAAATTTTAAACCCTATGGTAAAAACCAACCACACCTTTAATCCCAGCACTCAGGAGGCAGAGGCAGGCAGAACTCAAGGAGAGTTCCAGACCAGCCATTTACATAGTGAGAGAAACCCAAAACCCTGTTAAAAAAATAAATAAATAAAGTTTAAAAACCCTATGGCATATGAACAATTGAACACACTGTGTAGATTCAGGGTGACTAAATAATTCACCTATGGTTTCACAGCTAAAGAAGAAGGGAGCCAGAATCAAACCTAGACATAACCATAAGTCAAGACCTCTCCACTTACTATGGGTTTGGTTTTGTTTCTATTTTTACCCCACCACCCCCGCTCCCCGTGACTGCCTTCCTCCGTGATTTTTCTTTGGTTGAGCTCGTCTGGTTTTGTATTTAATAAGTACTCTCTTTTACGAGAGTGACTCCCACCTTCGTCTCCCCAGCCAGGTCCATGACACAGGGGACACTGCCATCACAGGCACCCTCTAATGCCCTTCAAGTGTCTGGCTAGGGAACAAATGCCCACACTTGCCTCCTTCCATCCCTCTCCAAGGCTGAATCCAATTACCAGATTCACACTGAAACCTAATGTCTACTTGATTATTTGCAAAAGCCTCGTTTCTGTAACCTAAGCCTTCGCTGTGTTTTCTGTGCCATATAATCACATGAACAAACTTGGAACAGTTCTAGGGTTCATTATTGAGCTGGTTTTGCCACTAATGGTGTGCAAGCAGTCCAGCCAAGCACCAGTTGGGCTGCACCTTATCTGGTTTATTTAACTCCTCACAGAATCTGCACAGAGGGTGCCCCACACCCCTATGCCCAGTCGATCTCTCCCTGGGGCCTGAGGATCTGTCCATCTGTCACTGTGATCAGCAGGTACTCCCATCATCTCTGCCTTACACAGGCCCAGAGGCACCAGCCTGGCTCCCTGGATGCTGTTGGTTCCTCAGTTCCCCAGGCCCAGTTCTGACTTCTATGACCGGCTACAAAGAAAGAGGGCTTCCTGATGAAACTAAGGCCAGCATTCTGCCCAAGAAGCAGCAGCAGTCACACTTCCGTTAGTTACTGTGGATACCTTTCATCAAACCACTTGGCTTTCTCTGTAAGTGCACAATGAAACTCCTCCTCTGCCTCTAAGGCTGTCAAGTGACTCAGTTTCAGCCCATTTGAGAAAAGAAAGCACTATCATTGTGCTCAGACTTTAGCCAACAGCAACACAAGACAGAAACAGCAGTCTGAGTGACCACACAGAAGGAGCCTGCTCTAGCCCAGAGCCCAATGCTTTGTACTCATGCAAACGACCTTTGATGATGAAGTCATCTTAATCTGTGGGTGGTTTTATTATTAATTATATTACTGTAATCTGCTGTATTCACTTTCCAAGGTATTGATGCCCTCACTTGACAGGATCACAAAGAATAAAATCACTTTATAGCAAATTACAGGTCACTTACTGAAACAAATGGTAAACTATCCAGGCCAGGCCAGGTGTGGTGGTATACACCTTTACTCCCAGCACTATGGCAAAGGCAGAGACAGGCAGATATACATAGCAAGTGCCAGGCCAGCCAGGACTATATACCAAGACCCTGTCTCAAAATCACATACAAAAGAAGGTGGTATGGCTAAAACGAAAACATCTTTGGGTTTTACAGGGCACCTTCCTGAGACCCACCTGAAACTCGAAACTCTAAACTACCTTATCTACAACACAGCCAGTTAATGATCATTCACAGCCAAAACCACACCACTGCACCAGCCAACAATCAGGCTCCACAAGGGAACTTATGTAAATTTGAGTAACATAACAAAATAATTTGACAGCGTATATACATTCAAAAGCTTAGAGTACTGACCACAGAGCAAGGAGTCAGAAGTATTTTACAGTCCAGGTCCTGGCTGAAATGAGGCCCCAGCCCACGCCATCCTCTCTCCGGTCCTGGCCTGAACTCTATGCAGGCTCTGTACAGACATCACAAAAGCAGCCTGGTAAACATGCTCTGCAGCACCAGGCATCATTCATTTTGCCAGATGGTCTTGGTATTGAGGGGACAGTAAAGAATGCGTCTCAGCACCAGGGATGGGTAGCACAAACCACTTCTGACATACGGCTTAAACAAAGCAAATCCAGCAAAATACTAAGAACTCCCAAAGAGGAGGCTGTATGCCATTTTGTTGTAATGTTCTTCCTACTTTTATGTGTGAGAACTTTTATCAAAAAGTTTATTATTTTATTTTTTGTGTATGAGCGCATTGCCTGCACCTGTGTAAGTGCACCCACGTCATGCAATACCTGTAGAGGTCAGAAGAGGTCACCAAAACCACTGGAACTGGAGTTGCAAGTGGTTGTTAGCCGCCATGTGGATGCCTGGATTTGAACGCAGGTCCTCTGTAAGAGCAGCCAGTGCTCTTAACAGCTGAGTCATCTCTCCAGCCCCATATTTGAAAACTTTTATAATATAATGGGAGAATGGAAAGAATAATACTTTTGGTATGGTTAACTCATTCAGCTTTGGAATTCACAGTCTTACTAGTAAGTCCACGGCTCTTCCAGTCCCTTGTCTGTGCCTTTCTGGTCCATCACTCCTTCTTCTCAGCAACCCAATATGACACCAGCATGCACTCCAGGATCTCGGCCCAATCAATAGTAAAAGGCCTGAATAGAACAGGATGCAGGAGGCGAGGCACAGCCAGGGGAGACATGGGACCTCATAGGCACATGATGGGTATAGTCCTCACCAGCAGGGAAGAATGGGAAAGTCAGGACTCAGCCCAGTTTCTGACAGTTGGGGACGCAAGCTACAATGCCCAAGGACCGGGACATAGAGTAGTATCCAAAATTCAAAACAAGCCTCTGAAGGGCCCATTCGAAGGGAGCGTTAAGGATAGAAGGGGAGAACCTGAGGCAGGACAGGGCACACACCAACCAAATTTGGGTGGGGGGAGGGTGACAGGAACCCAACAACACCTGCTCTATTCCTCTAAGGTAGAGGCATATCACAGCCCTACTACGATTCCTTATGACTTTACCCTGTATCAGGTGGAGCTAGGGTCCCTGCAGCACAGAACTTCACTGAGCTCACAATTAGCCAGTCTAAGCAAGTAGCCACAGGCCTACTCACAGTTCCCCAAGTCCATGCCTTGGAAGGCCCTGTGCCCTGCAGCCAACCCAGCTCCTGGCTCCCTGCCCCCATCTGCTACTGGAACAGCCTCCACTCTTCAGGCTGCCTGACTATTAGCTGTCCTAGAACCAGCCCACTGACCTGGATGACCTGGGGTCTCCCCAGTATAGAAAAATAATAACTCTCCAGCCCATAGCTCAGTTCTAGGGCTTTACCTGGTACTCAGTCAGCAACCCTCTTATCTTTGTTTCTACTCTGTAAACTGAGGGCCATCTGTCACCCTGAGGCCCCTGCAGAGCCTGAGCAAATAAGGCACTAAAACCTGTGAGCTCTGTGACTGATAAGAGCCAGTGAGAGACTCCAAGGACAGGAGGGCCCCAGTGAGCCACAGCCTCCAGGGCTCTGGTACCTAAGCTTCGTGACCAAAAGACTCCCCGGCTGAGCTGCCTTGACCTTCCTCTGCTTACAACTGGCAGGTTTATGAGGGCTTAACTGTAATCACAGGGGCTGCTCCCAGATCCTGCAGTGAATCATCCAGGAATAGGACCATGATCAAACCACCCAAGGCCTACCATAGAAACATACAAAACAAACACAAGGAAGGGCCAGGGAGACCCTCCAGGGGCAGATAACCATGAGAGCTTGGGCCAGTTGCACACAGTTGAGGACAGAAACCAGGCTCAGCTCCAGAATGAAATCCTAGTGCAAAGCAGGTTAGCCTGGGCGGCACCATAGACCAGAGCCTGGGAGTCCCTGGACAGGACAGGTCTCTGGTTATGATGGAATTCCATCACCTTTCTACAGGTGCCAGGCCTGTCTGAAATCCTCAGCAAGGGAGTACCTTGGTGACCCAGGAATTCCTAGTCTCCCAGAGAGCCAGGCCTGATTCAGTGTGAACTTGTCCAGTGACGTTTTTGTGATGCCCAAATTCAAAATCTACCACAGGGTCATCACTTTGCAAAAAATTTTATGACATGAAAGGTGTGGCACTGCCTGAAGCTGGTGAATGAACGGCCCTGCTCTGGTGAGTGTTCCTACAGCAGAATTCAAGGCAGACACTCTCTCCCAGCAAGCCCAGCGCTGGGCTGGTTCCCAAGACAAACATGGAGAGCAGAGGAAAATGAAAACAGGATGTATGTGTCCTGGCTGGGGGCAGGGGCAGGGGCAGGCAAGACATCACTGTAACAGAAAATCTGGGGCCGAGTTGCCCAGGTCCAAAGACCACCATCTCAGTGCTCTCTTCAGCATCCCACTCCCAAGAAAAGACACACACACACCCTGAATCGGAGGCAGGAACTGGAGGCGGCTTGACCATGGATGACCCGACAGACCCAGTGCTCTCACCTGCGGCTTCATTGCACTCCAAGTTTATGACACTCATCCGCTGGAAACCAGAGCTGCACTCATCTCCTCCAGAGTAGATTAAGGTGAGGTCACCATCCGAGTACCTAGGTTTTTGTGAACATACACACAGCAAATGTGTTTCATAGACACATGGAAGAAACTTGAAGTTTCAAAAACTGCTTCGTTAATAAGCCTTTTGTGCACCACCGACAAATCACGACTGACATAAACAGCAAGCTCCTTGGCCAGCTGGGCTGGCATCCTGCACAAACGAGTTCCGAATGTGCTGTCTAACTCTAGCAAAGCAGTACAGGCTGCGGGGAGGGCCAGCGGCTCTGCTAAGAACACAAAGACTGCTCTCACTCAGGGATTTTATACAAAATAAATAATGCCCACAAATCAGACAGCCCCGCTAACAATTGCCAAAAATACCATATCACTGAGATGATTCTGGGTAAGTCTCGATTTCAGAAGACTACATCTTCTTACTGCTTGTATGAGGCCAACTAAGTTACGGTTCTAAGAATCACAGCAAGTGAGGAGTTTTGTTTTGGGTTTTTTTAGCTGCTTAAAACTTTTATATAATGCTAACGGTATTTCAGATTCAAAAGAAACTGAAATACCTTAGAAACATGAATTTCAAAATACAAAAGCCGTATGAACCGTAAACTAACTCAATTTCCTACAATACAGTCCTTACAAACAAAAGATTTACAAGCCAACAGTTCTAACAGATGTATTCTTATCATAAAGTCAGGAAACCATCGAGCCGCTCAAGGACAAATGGCAACGTTCCTGAGTCACAGCGGAAGGCACTTTGGGCCCTGACTTTCCTGTACTTGGGGAAAACTAAAGGAAGAAGAGGAGCAGGGCAGAAAACTCTAGCTCACAAACATACAAAACAAAGCACTTGACAATCCTGTGCAGGCTTTACCCACCGGAGCGTCTGGTTCTGGTGTCTTCCTGCTATTCTGACCTGAGTAGAATCAGCCTTTTTCACTTGGCAAACGACAGCATCTTTGTTATTACAGATCTGGCCCTTGGCATCTCCACAAACATTCATATAAAATACATACTCTTTTCCATCAGAAGTATAGGGGGACCCTAGAGAAAGAACAAACGGGAAGAGACTGTTCACACAGGCACGCGTCAGAAAGTACATCCGATGCACTTGGGTTCCCTTTATGCCAACCCAAACCCATCTCTAGCCTGTCATGGCACCCCTCTCCCAGCAGGTCCCTCCTGAGCAATGCGCAGAAGCAGGTCAGAGCAGAGGCACCCACAAACCTCCCAGCTGGGCCAGGGGACTAAGGTCAATGGCGATGTCATGCTGCTCGTTACTCAGGGAGCAGGTGCCACTCTCCAGGTAATCTCTATGACAGGCATACTCTGTAATCCACTCAACTTCATAGCGGCAGTTAGACTTCGCAGTGAGCTTGGGAATGGTGCCCTGTGGGGAACAATGTCAGAGGAATGGAATCAAAGAGTTTCAAATACACTTTAAACACACATCTCTCATGCTTTGGAAAAGCCTGAAGACAGGTTGTTGAGATTTTCTATCTTCCTGTTCCTGGTTTTTGAATCACACTTGCCCCTAGCACATTTTGATTATATAACTTCATTTACTTTGACTTTTTCTAAAGCCCAGGATGTTTTGTGTGGTATATGGGGAGTGTGTGCACCTGCAGAGGCCACAAGTCAACTTAGGTATCTTCCTCCACCACGTCCCACCTTATTTTTTGATACAGAATCTCTCTCAGTGAACCTCAGCACTGGCTGGTCAATGAGGTTCAGGGATCTGCCTCTATCACCCAGTCCCACACTGGAGGATAGACAAGTGTACCACACTCAGCTTTCAAAGCACTAGCAGTTCTTGCAGAGGATCCAAATTCAACTATCAGCACAGCTCCCACACGGCAGTTAACAACTGTCCTAAACTCCAGCTCCAGGGGATGCGATACCTCCTTCTGGCCTCCACAGTCATTTGCAGAACATGAGTGCACTTACACGCATGCAGGCAAAATATTCATACACATAAATAAATCAGAAGAAACTCTTCTAGGGACGAGGGTCAGTGAGATGGCTCAGCAGGTGAAAATACCAGCTGCCAAGTCTCTCAGGTCACCTGAGTTAGATCCCTAGGACCCATAGTAGAACTGATTCCTATAAACAGTCCTCTAACCTTCACAAATTCATTCCTATGCGTGCGCGCACACACACACACACACACACACACACACACACACACACACACACGTAAATAAATGAGTGAATATAAATGAATAAATTGTTCCAGGCTGGCCTTGAACTTACTATGTTCCAAAGATACCCTTGAACTTCTGTGTTCCTGCCTCCACCTCCTAAGTGCTGGAATTATAGGCATGCATAACTATGCCTGGTTAATGTGGTACTGAGACTCAAACCCAAGGCTTCATGTATGCTAATCAATCATGTTAAATGACTGAGCTACATTCTCAGCACCAAAAGTCTACTTTAAACTCAATTTTGGGGGCTGAGATACGGCTTAGCAGTCAAGAGCGCTTGCTGCTCTTCCAGAAGATCTGAGTTTGGTTCCTAGCACTCAAATGTATGGCTTACAACTGTACTACACAGATAAGGCATATGCGTGCGCGCACACACACACACACACACACACACACACACACACACACACACGTAAATAAATGAGTGAATATAAATGAATAAATAAATATAACCTCAATTTTTCTCTTTTAAAAAGTTGCTCTGGGGGCTTGAGAGATGGCTCAGTGGTTAAGAGCTAGTTGCTCCTGCAGAGGATCCAGGTTCTATGGTTCCCAGTACACGACACAGGCACACTTACATGCAGGCAAAACACTCATACATATCAAAGAAAAATAACCACTGCTCTGGATGAAGCCAAGGCATTACCCTGCCACAGTCCCACATCCTGCCATCAAACCAAGGTTGGTGCTCATCTTTAGTGGGATCTATGGAGGATGCTAACAGCGTCCCAACTCATGGGTGTCACTGTCCTTTTTCTAATCCTCTTTGGAGGAACTGTCCTACTGATCATAGTACCAGGAATAGCTATGCTACTTCTAGACTCTGTTAATTCGTTAAGTATTGGGCACTCGCTCTGGGCCAGTCACAGTCCCAAGTGCCAGTTTACAACAGGCCACAATTTTCCATCTGCAAAACTAACCTTCCTCTGCCTGGCTCAAACTTGATGCTTCTTCCTGGTCTGTGGCTCAGTGCAGCCTGCCATGGAGATGCAGAGCTGTGTACTAAGTGAAAGTCGACAAAGACAGTCACATACTGTCCATTCCATGTACATGGAATACCCAGAAAGGACAAATCCATGGACAGAAAGCAGATTCGTGGTGGTCTGACTACCAGGGCTGAGAAGGGGATGTGACTATTAAAGGCAAGAAAGGCAAGAAGTTTCCTGAGGGGGATGGGAATTTTCCAAAATTAGACTATGGCAAAGATTGCACAATTATGTAAAATGCTAACTGACTGACTTATGCACAAAAATAGGTGAATTTATAGCACGTACACTTGATAAAAGTTTTTTTTGAAAGATCTGTATGGCAGGATAAATGTTATTAAATACCCAAAGCCCAAGTATTCAACAAGCCAACAAAAAAATGCATAAATAAACACCCCAAGTACTGCAGCAATAAAGAATATTTACAAAAAGTTAAGATCTGTCCAGTAAACAACAGTCAATCTTGAAAGGGAACCTCCATCCATACACAACAGCCTCTTCTCCTACAAGAAATGCCCTGGACCCTTACAGGACAAAGTGTGAACAGCCTCCTCTCCTACAAGAAATGCCCTGGACCCTTACAGGACAAAGTGTGAACGGCCTCCTCTCCTACAGGAAATGACAGGACAAAGTGTGAACGGCCTCCTCTCCTACAGGAAATGACAGGACAAAGTGTGAACGGCCTCCTCTCCTACAGGAAATGACAGGACAAAGTGTGAACGGCCTCCTCTCCTACAGGAAATGACAGGACAAAGTGTGAACGGCCTCCTCTCCTACAGGAAATGACAGGACAAAGTGTGAACGGCCTCCTCTCCTACAGGAAATGACAGGACAAAGTGTGAACGGCCTCCTCTCCTACAGGAAATGACAGGACAAAGTGTGAACGGCCTCCTCTCCTACAGGAAATGACAGGACAAAGTGTGAACGGCCTCCTCTCCTACAGGAAATGACAGGACAAAGTGTGAACGGCCTCCTCTCCTACAGGAAATGACAGGACAAAGTGTGAACGGCCTCCTCTCCTACAGGAAATGACAGGACAAAGTGTGAACGGCCTCCTCTCCTACAGGAAATGACAGGACAAAGTGTGAACGGCCTCCTCTCCTACAGGAAATGACAGGACAAAGTGTGAACGGCCTCCTCTCCTACAGGAAATGACAGGACAAAGTGTGAACGGCCTCCTCTCCTACAGGAAATGACAGGACAAAGTGTGAACGGCCTCCTCTCCTACAGGAAATGACAGGACAAAGTGTGAACGGCCTCCTCTCCTACAGGAAATGACAGGACAAAGTGTGAACGGCCTCCTCTCCTACAGGAAATGACAGGACAAAGTGTGAACGGCCTCCTCTCCTACAGGAAATGACAGGACAAAGTGTGAACGGCCTCCTCTCCTACAGGAAATGACAGGACAAAGTGTGAACGGCCTCCTCTCCTACAGGAAATGACAGGACAAAGTGTGAACGGCCTCCTCTCCTACAGGAAATGACAGGACAAAGTGTGAACGGCCTCCTCTCCTACAGGAAATGACAGGACAAAGTGTGAACGGCCTCCTCTCCTACAGGAAATGACAGGACAAAGTGTGAACGGCCTCCTCTCCTACAGGAAATGACAGGACAAAGTGTGAACGGCCTCCTCTCCTACAGGAAATGACAGGACAAAGTGTGAACGGCCTCCTCTCCTACAAGAAATGCCCTGGACCCCTTGCAGGATAAAGTGCAAAACGCCCAATCTCCTTCTTATTATTCTAGTGAGAAATGCTCCTTATTAGATATAGAGCAAATAAAATGGAAACTAAAACCACTACCACTTAAGAGCATCTCCCCAAGAGTGAAGACCCCACATCTGCAGGTAGAAATGGAAAGCACACGTGAATATTCCTCAACGCCCACTCAGAACTGACATCAGAAAGGTACCATCCAGCTGAGGGCTCGTGGACAGGAAGACTGGAAGTGCCCAATGCCAATTCAAGCCTCAACTCCCTTGATTCCTCACAGCCCAACACACCCACGCACCGAACAGTCCAGTCACTGGCCTGGAATGACAGCAAACTCCCTTTGTTCAGAGAAAAGAAATCAGTCCCTGTACGACTGTCACAAAAAGGCAGAAAAGCAGCAGAGGAAACCCACCATTCTCCTGGACCCTGACCAGACATCTGACCTGCACAGGCAGCTGCAAGGACTCAAGACAAGGATTCCTGAGCTGCTGCCTTCTCACAGCACCCCAAGTGGGGTTGGGGTACAGCTTAAGGTAAAGCAACTACCTGGCATGCCCCAAACAAATAAACACAAGTGAAAAGTAAAAGTAGTCAAGAGAACGGTAAACCACTTGAGGGGAGAACAGGCTGAGGAGGAGAGCAGAGAGGAGACTGGCAACGAGCCTCTCCCTACAGAAAGCCCAGGCTTCATGACTAGGGAGATAGCTCAGTACAGAAAGTTCCTGCCACACAAGCATGAAGAGGACCTGACTTCCAGGACCCAAATTCTAAATGGCCAGATACTGTGGCACACCTCAGTCCCAGAACTGGGCCTACTGCCTAACCAGCACAGCCTACTGGGAGAGCTCTGGAGTTTGTTTTTTTTTTTTGGGGGGGGGGGGGTGAGAGCACCTGAGGAGTAGCGCCCTAGGTTGTTCCCTAGCCCCCATCTGACCTGCACAGAACTCACACACAGGAATGCACATACACACACCAAAGAGAAGAAAGAAATCTTGGACTTCAGATTAGCCGAAGCTTTCAACTTTCCCTAGAATCAGCCCAACTATACAAAGAAACACACCTACCCATGAATTACTTAAATCACCACATACGGATGAAAACCAAACACTCATCCACCTTGATACCCGCTGAAGCTCCCAACTGGTGAAGACTGAAAGGGAAACGTGGGCAAGACGCACAGCAGTACACCGAGCGCTGGGGATGCTGAGGCTAAGCACTCCCCGAGCTACACAGCAAAACCCATGTTTAAATGGACAAACACAAGAATAGCACACTGTCCTCCAGGAGGTATGGAGCTGTCAGGAGCTGCCTCCCGGCCAGGAGTCCACCGCCCCCTGAGCTTGTTACCCCTTCCCTGCACCAGCCCCCACCTCAAACACAGTCTGGCTGAGAATCACAGCTTTAAAGTCACCCAGGGAGAGACAAGACACTCACCTCTCTCCGCTCAGATGGGCACACAAATGTTATCGTCACTGCAGGGCTGTGACCATCACAAAAGTCTGGCTTTCCTGCCTCTTCTTTCACATAACTCAAGACAAGCCTGCAGGATCACGTGGAAAGAGTGTTAAGGACATGCAAATTACATTCAAATTAATACACTGCCCTGAGCAGTCAGCACATTGAGGTGGGAGAGCAGCACAAGCCACATAAACTGTGGAAGAAACTAAAGCATAAGTAACTTCACTTGATTTTAATTAAAAAGAAAACTCAAGCCGGTGTGGTGGCACATGCCTTTAATCCCAGCACTCGGGAGACAGAGGCAGGCGGATCTCTATGAGTTTAAGACCAGCCTGGTCTACATAGTGGGTACCAGGACAGCTGGGACTACAGGGAGACCCTGTCTCAAAAAGAAAAAGAAAACGTAAAGAGTAAGCCAGTGTGTCCTATTGTTAGAAATCAAAGAAAATGATCAACAAGTAAACGGACGATCCTAAAGAAGGCTATCTGAATTTCTGGAAGCAACCTAGAGAAACAAGGTGGACAGGGGTGAGAAGGCCGAACACCTTTCAGCCCACAAAGCCATATGATCTTTCCCCTTGCATACAACATCTGAAGGCAAGGCAACGGGCTTTGAAGTCAACATGCCTAGCTAGATTGCAGGCCCAGAAGTCACAGGCTGAGGCTCCCTTGGCCCCGAAGCCTGACCTGAGGTCCTATCAGGAGGTTCTCCTGCTAGCCAGCATGCTCCTCCCCTGCTTGTGATGATGTGCCCATGGCTCCTATGCACCCAGACAAAAGTGCTGAGAACAGAGAAGCCCTTGCTCTGCAGTGCCCTACATTTCACTCCCTCTCGGCAGCCTGCCCAGGGTCCGCAGTCACTGACTGGTCACCCTGGACAGTCCCTCCCAAATGCTATGGGAACAGCCCCAACATACATGCTTCAACAGAGACTATTGGGACACAGGGACACTAAAGGGGAAGTAAAAATTTAAAATGAGGTCAGACATGTGGGCCCCCACCCAATAGTTGTGCTGTACTTTAAGAGACTGTGAGAACACAGACCCAGAGGGAAGACTGTGAGGACACAAGGTGAAGAAAGCCTCTAACAAAACAAGGAACCGGCCACACGCAAAACCAACTGAGACCTTGTCGTCATCTCTGAAATCCAGACTAAGGAAATAAACTCCTGTTGTTCAAGGACCCCCAGTCTCTGGTGTTTCCTTATGGCAGCATGGGCAAGTTAATACAGACACATGAAAAATTCCCAACATTTTCCAATTTATCTCCTGCCACAATGGTCTCTTTGGGCAAAAGTGCAATCTAGTTGCACCTAGTTCCTATACAACCATCATTCCAAAGAGACTGAGATGAACAGAAGCATCTACCAAAGAACGCTCCAACAAGCACAGTACAAAATCCCTGGCCTATATAGAGAACAAGTTGGAGAAAAAACATACTCCTGCGGGGCATGGTGGCACACACCTTTAATCCCAGCACTTGGGAGACGAGGCAGGTGCATCTTTGTGAGTTCAAGGCCAGTCTGGTCTACATGGGGAGTTCCAGGCCAGCTAGGGCTACAGGAAGACCCTGTCTCAAAAAAGAAAAAAAAAATTCCTGCCAAGTCGAGGCCCAAAAGCAGTAAAAATAGCAGCATGTGATTGGGGGAGGCACACCCCACCTAGAAGTAAACTAAGATAACCTGACAGGTGATACAGAATAAAAAAGTATGAGCAGGATCAGGACCTCAGTTACTGGGCACTTTGTCTTACAAAGCCAAACAGATGTCAGGTAATAAACACAAAGCCCACGGAGCAGGGAGACAACAGCCAATAGGCCACAGAGGACATGCTCCCTCCAACCGAAAGTCAAATTCTGTCTTTGTCACATCTTTAGCAGTGTGGTGTTAACTGTACGAAACAATGGGTTTCACTGTGATATCTCCACACGTGCATATACTTTGATCATGCCAGTACCCCTACTAACCCCTTCTAAGCCCTCATCCCCTTCCTTTCCCCAGTAGGTCCCCTAAGTCAGGTTCTTGCTGAGCACTGAAGACATCTTGCAAGCCACTGGAGGCTTACACAAACTGACCTGTCCTTGCTCACTAGCTTCAGTCCCTCCTTGGGCCGGCCAACATCAAATGCCTGGATTCCCCTCAACAGGCAGGCGGCAGTTCCAGCTGGACAAGCACGCAGCTGTGTGCTGGAGTCCCGGAGGGAGTCTGCAAAACATCACAGGAGACTTTAAAGCAGAGGAAATGACAGAATTAGAATGCACATGAATCCTTAGGTTCAGGGTCTTTTCAGAGTCCCCACCCACTCTATTGAGACCCTGGGTGGGCCAATCACCTTTCCCTGCAACGAGCAGGTAAAGAAATTTGAAGTGCTGCTCATCCTGGCACACAAGAGGCCCAGTGAACAGACACTGCTATGTCACTGTGGTTAAGGGACACTTCCATCTTCTCAAGTCTGGTAACATTCGCTTTATCCCTTTAAGCTACAGACACTAGAAAATGCAGGCATTCTAGAAATGAGTGAAAAGACTCCATCAAAGAAAAGAAATGCAGACAACTCATCCTAGAACGTGTCCCCCGCCCCCACACACACCTTGGTGTAACTGCAGGCCAGGAAGAACTTATGATCACAATATAATATGTGCCCAGAACATGTAAGGCCTTAGGACCTAAGACCACAGTGGGTGTCTGTGCTTTCAACTGCGTTTCTCCTGACCTACAGGCTTTCATCACACCAGACCTCGCAAGACACTGGGTTTACTTGCTCGCTGTGGTCCTTCCCCTCCTTGGACCTAAAGTTCCAAGAAGGCAGAAACTTTACTGGTGTTTAAGGCTTTAATCCAGCCGCTAAGTGGCATCAAACTGTAGAGGGTTTTTAAACACTTTCTCCCACAAATGATGAAACAACAGAACCTCCCTGGACTTCAACACCCCCTCAGCCAAAAGAGAAGAAAGGGTCCTCTGCCTCCTGCCAGGCCTCCAAATCCAGGCAGAGCCAGAGTCTCAGCTGATCTGCCCCTGGCTTCCATACCAGTGACTGTCTCCAAACCCAGGTGGAGTCACACCAGCCTCTGCTTCTACACAGGGTGACTGCCTTACAATGCCTTGGGCAGACTGCCTGGTTGCCAAAAGCAAAGGAAACACAAGTGCCAAGCTTAGAACACAGTAAACACCAGCCACAGGTCTAAACTAGGCATGAGGCTGGAGGGCACATTCAAAGCCAATTTGAGGCCCTGTGCAACTTCCTGGGGCTGAAGAATGTCTCAACAGCAGGGAGTCAGGGCCCGCTGTAAAAACCACAAAGGCTGATTGCATCCAAAATGCCAGAAAAAGGAAAGGAAAAAGAAAATAAATACCCAGTGAATTCAGATAATCCTCAAAAGGATGAAAAAAACAGGACCAGAAATTTAAATGTTTTCCAGCACACTGCTGGAGGAGTCAAAACTCCATGAGACCACAGCTTTATAGGCAAACTTGAATTATTGACCCACTTAGGACAAAGACATTATGGGCCATTCTCCAAATGAGTAGAGGCTGTCCTTGAGAAGGGAAGATATGTAATAACTTTAGCATGAAAAATCAAATCACTGCTGATTCTTCTCAGGAGCCCTGGGTAGGGTATAATGATAATAGTTAGAAATAATCCACACAGGGCTGGAGAGATGGCTCAGCAGTTAGAAGCACTGGCTGTTTTTTGCAGAAGATCCAGGTTCAAATCCCAGCACCCACACAACAGCTAACAACTATCCGCAACTCCAGTCCCAGGGGATCCGACACCCTCTCTTCTGCCCTCTATAGGCATTGCACAGACACAGGTGCACTTACACACATGCAGGTATAATACTCATACACATAAAATTAAAAATAAGTAAATAATCCACATGTAAGATGGGCTATAATGTGTATATACTTTAAAGAACTCTGTCAGTAGCCACACACCCACCACACCCAGTAACGCTGTCATGTACTGAACTGTGTGTCCCCCCCTCAAATTTTTCTCAGACCAACGTCCTACGTATGATGAGAACAAGAAACATAAGGAAACAGTAAAATGTGGCCTCTTCATCGCTTTTTTTTTTAACTCATCCTTAGAATCTGCTTTATGGCACATGCACAGCCAGCACTGCACAAAGTCCTGGCCTGGCCTCCGGGCTCCCAGTTCTGAGCCCTTTTTGGGAGGCAGAAAGCTAGGCAGCTAGGCAAAACAATAAATAAACAATAAAGTAAATAGTGAACTTTTATAGCACTGGAGTCATTTATTTCCAGGCTTGGGCTGATCTAGGAAAGTCAAGCAGGCCTCTCACACCATCTACAAAGAAAACACAACTCCCAGCCTCAACACACTTGACAACCACTTTCTCAAAGCCTTTGCTGTTCCTCAGTCCCTTTCACCCAGCCTGCAACTCAAAGGCACAGAACTTGAGTACACACAGCGAACTCAAAACTTTCCTGATCCCAGAGCCCCAAATCCTGAAGTAGCTGGCAGAGAGAATGTTCTAAAGTAGCAGCACTGTGTGGAATCTGCAGGATTGGAGAGCAGGCACGGGATCAGAATTTGCTGAGTGTGGCTATGCAGAGAGAATGACCTTTAGGACAGTGGCTTTCTTAGAGATCTAATGATAACATGGATGTCCAAGGAGTCAGGACAAGCATTGACCCCCGCCACCACCCACACACACACAAACACACTGTAGGAAACCTCACCTATGTCTCTGCACACATTGATGAACAGAGACGTGTCGGGATCAGAGTCGTCCACCAGGTAGCCACCACTCATCTTGATTAGTGGGTTTAAATCGTGTTTCTTTAACTCATCATCAAATGCGTAGCATGGCACCTGGAGGAGGGAAATAGCAAGCTTTTCTTCACCATGTACCACGGCAGGTGATGAGACAAGCCTGCTTTGACATCACGCAACAGTGTTCTGTTCCTTAGGGCTCTCAGGCCAAAGTCCCTTCAGCACAAAAGGAACATGGTCCAAGTGTAAGGAGTTCAGTCCTGCTGGGCCACCCTTAGTCCCAGGTCTCAGGACGCAGAGGCAGGTGATCTCTGTGAGTTCAATGTCAGCCAGGGCTACACTGTGAGACCCTGCCTCAAAACAAAACAAAAAGAAAAAAGAATTCAGCCCTCTATTTCCCAGGGTCCTTCTCACCTTCTTAAGGGCTGTTCCTATAATCACCTCCTCACCTGCATTACCAACCTTCCCTCTCCTGGACTACTTCCTTCAGCATGCTACGGTATTTACCACCTTACTGGTGTCTTTCCTTGTTCCTGAATCCCCCTCAGCTAACTTCCCATCTCTGCAACTTTTATCAAAATTTCTGAACCATCCCCGTCCTTATCTCTCTCCTCCTCACCTCCATTCCTTAACATTGCTTTATCTGGCAGCTGTCCCTCATTCCATTGAAGCCATACCCTATACCAGGGGACTTTCACTACATCCAGATCTGAATGGCATGTGATGCTAATCAGCAGTCTGATTCCGTCCTGCCCTGTATTTCCTCCCCAGGGCGCCTCCTTTCCTACTGCCCCACTGCATCCTTCTGATTCTAAACTCAGAGATAGGGCCACCAAGATGGCTCAGTCAGCAGGCAAATGCACTTACTGTGCAAATTTGACAACCTGAATTTGATCCCCAGGCCCAACATAGAAGTGGAGGGACAAAGATAACTCCCAAGTTGCCCTCTGACTTCAACACATTGCACCATAGCACATGCATGCACGCGCGCACGCACACACACACACACGCACCATGCACACAAACAGTAAAGAAAATGGAATAATGCACAGGTGCTCCCTGTGTGAATTCATCCCCCGCTGCCCTTAGGGGCTCCCATGCCAGCTCATCCCCTGCTGCTCTTGTGAATGGCCCAAACACCTGCCAGTGAGCCCCAACCAGAAGCCTGAGCCTTGACCTTCCCGACAATGCCTGACTACAGAGCCAGTAGAAGCTGAGTTTATTAGCACAGACTCGAGCTAACACTTAGTATGACCAAGAGCAAAATGAACCACTGTGCCTCAGTTTCCCAGTGTTTCAGGTAGGAACAAAAGTGAGGGCTTCTCAGAGTTGCTGCACAACTGAGTCATCCTGAAGCCCCTACTAGGGCTCCCAGCTAGTCAGTGTGGGTAGAGCCTGCCATCCTCACCACCATCACCGTTACTCGGACATCACAGCCTTGGTTTCTCCCCCACAGCTCTTATACCAATGCTTTCCATCTAAGTCAATGGGAAAAACATCAGTAGACAGTGGCCCCATCCAAAACCATGAGGTCTGGCTATGGCCCTGAACTTTCCCTCACGTTCTACATCCAAATGCTGGCTAATTCTGTCAGTTTTGTCTTCCTTTGCTTCAAACCATCTTTTTCCAAACCACCATAATCTTCCCAACAGGTCGCCCTGTTCCAGCTTTGATGCCCACCCCCCATGTCTCCATGGCCACAGATCAAGTCTTTAAAATGAAACTGGGACACATTTCACTTCCTGCTCAAAAAGGTTCCTCCCACAGAGAGAACAGAAGCCAAACTCCACAAGGCTCTGACTTGTCTACAAAGCCCCATGGCCTCCTGACACAGTTCCTCCTGGCTCTCCATGTCACTCTGGTCTTGGATGAAATTCTGTGACTCAGTAAGGCCTTTTCAGACTTCTACTGAAATAGGGCCCTCCACCTCTCCAGGGTTTTTCTTCAGAGGACTGAGATGTATGTTACCAATGCACTAGATGTATGTTACCTGCACTAGAATGTGGGCTCCTGAACAGTGTCCCAGAGGCAGCCTCCACCAAGAACAAACATGGGAGAAGCTCAGCCAGTATCTGCTTGAGAAAACAGAGTTGAGGCTTGAAGCACCCTAAGTGCATTCTCATTTTGACCACGCTCTCGTCTCTGTGAACCAACAAGGGTTGGGAGTGGTGGTGCATACCATTAATCCCAGCACTGGGGAAGCAGAGGCACTCAGATCTCTGCGAGATCAAGAACAGCCTGGTTTACATAACAAGTTCCAGACCCGCTGAGGCTACACAGAGACACTGTCTCAAAACAAACAAAAAATTATATACATGAATCCATTATACACAAAAAAACTCTGTGCTTTAAGAATTTTTTCCTCTTCCTAAAACAAAGCATGTAAGCCCAAAGACGCACTCAGGAGTTGAAAAAGGCCCTATGGTCAACAGAGTATCGTCTACTGAACAGATTATTTGAAATACCCTGGAAAATGTATTTTGAAATAATATACTTGGGGTATTTTAATTGCTCTAAGAAATAGTCTAAAAATTTGTATTCTCTGTAATCATTTCAAAGTAGTTAACTGTATTACTTTCATTGGACAAATGTCTTAAAATTTTATCGTTTAGACCGGTAGTATCTTCCTAAGAGAAACTTGCTCATGAATTCTATCAAATCTGCAGAAAGGTCCTGCCCACTGACCACCCAGTTATTTCAGAGATAAGAGACCCTGTAACAAATAGTTCACACTTCCACATAGCCTCGGGGGACAGTGGATCCAGGCTGACCAGATCCTTAAGTGGAGTCTCCCATACTTGATCTGCTTCTCAGATCTGGGATTCCTATAATTCCCTCTGATAAAGGAAGAAGTTGGAGGGGGTGGAATGACCTGTGACAGGAGGCAACAGGCAGAGGGAACTCCAGCTGAATGCCACATTCCCCCAGAAAGAAGATATAGCAAGCGGGTTAAAACTACGGGAGACTCCTACTGGGTTGCAATGGAAAAGCAACCACGTTCAGGCGTGGTAGCCCCACCAATTAACTCCTGCACTTGGAACGCAGAGGCAGGACTATGTGGTAGTTTGAATAAGAAGCAGACCACAAAGGATCAAGTATTTAAACACTTGGGTCAGTTGGTGGGTGCTGTTTAGGGAAGATCATGGAACCATTAGGGGGTGTGGCCTTGCTGGAGAAGCTCTATACTGGGGTTTGAAGAGTTTGAAGAGTTCACAGCCTTGTCCCAACTTCCAGTTTCTCTCTGCTTCCTATGCCTGCTTGAAGATGTGAGCTCTCAGCTTTCTGCTCTGGCTGCCTCCTGCCAGGCCTCCCCACCACGATGGATTTTTTTCTATTTCTGGAACAATAAGCAAAATAAACTTCCTTCTATGAGTTGCCCTGTTCATGATGTTTTATCACAACAGAAAAGTAACTGCAAGTTTGAGGATAGCTTGGGCTACATAATGAGCTCTAGGCCAGTTTTTAAAAAAAGAACATCAAACCTAAGTTTTCAAATCCTATAAATCTCATGTGTCACCCACAGTAAGTTCACAGAAAAACATTCACTCACAAGGGCAACAAGCCATGTGGCTGGTTGGGATGGGAAACATGAAGCAGTTCTCCAGCCCAGCAAATAAAAGTCAAGTCTGTGGCTAAGAAAGGAACAGGGTGGCTGTGTGGTAAAAGGGGAAGGCAGAGGCTACCCTGGGAAGAACCTGTTGTTCTGAACTGAGCTCCATGTTGCCAGGCCACTGGAGAATTCAATTACAGTTCCTCCAGGCCCCCACTTAGGAAAGCCAGCTACCACTCCAGACAGAAGAGAAAACATCCTAAGAGTGCGCCCAGAACTAGAGCATGGGCCAGAAAATCAGTCAAGGCCACTGGAGAACATCCACCTGCTGCTACACTGCACAGAACAATGAAGACATGCATCCATGCATCAGACTAGCGAGCTCCGGCTGGGAAGGGGACGGTTTTCCAGCTTCAGCGCCTGCACACTGCGTTAACGTGGCTCATACTTTATGTCTACAGTCTAACTTACAGAATGTTACCAGACAATTAGCATGCCAGTCCTCCAATTTATAGGTCTCCCAAAGAGCTACAATAGGGGATGCAGATACATAATGTTTTAAAGAAAGAATCATCTTAAAACCTGTCCCAGAAGGCCAGGCATAGTGGCACACACCTTTAATCCCAGCACTTAGGAGGTAGAGGCAGGTGGCTCTCTGTTGAGGTCTACATAGCGAGTTCCAGACTAGTCAGGACAACATAGTATGATGCTGTCACAAAAACAATTTAAAACAAAAAAAAAATTAGAAATTAAAAACCTCTCCTACAACCTACTGGAAAAGAATTCTAACTGTAGTTCTAAAAGGCACTGTTGGTCCAAGCACTGTGGCTATGCCTGTAATATTAGCCGAGGAAAGAGTCTGAGGCAATAACAGGACCAGGACTTCATTCATCTCCAAGGATGACTTGAACAAGAGACCTGTGGTATTGGCACATGGCTTCTACAATAAACAACTGTGTCGTGGACATCACTGGGTTGTCTTGATGTTCTTACTGCAAAAAAAGGTTTACTTAGCTCAAGTTAGCCACGCCATAAGGCATACATATTTCAAAACATCATGCTGTACATGATGTAAGGTAAAAGAAAGGAAGAAGAGGGAATGATTTGATCAAGTAACACCAAGAAATGGTAGAAATACCAGTAACCATAACCTTGCCTCAGAGATGAAGTAGCCAAAGACATAATGGTCAGACGCAGGGCCCAGACTCACAATGCATCCAAAAGCCACCCATCTTCCCTCCACCCCCAACCTCAGGATGAGGAGATGGGATCTAACAGAGAACGGAGCAGGGCACAGTAGTCACGCCTGCAATCCCAAGACTCAGGTCAAGTGTTTTAGTCACTTTTCTTAATCACTGTGACAAGAATATCTGAAGCAATTTAAGGAAGGAAGCGATTGTTTTGGCATACAGTTTCACAGTACACTCTGGTGGGGAAGGCGTGGTGACAGGAGTGTGAGGCCACTGTCACACTGACTGCACAATAAGGAAGAAATGAGATGAATGCGGTGCTCAGCTCAGTTTCTCCTCTCTGTGCAGTCTAGAACGGCAGCCCAGGGAAGGCCACCACCTACATTCAGGATGGGTACTCCCACCTCAATTGTGGGAGGGAAACTTCCTCGGACACGCCCAAAGCAGTCATGATTAATCATCCCAGAGAGGCAGCAGGATTAAGACTTCAAGGTCATTCTCAGCTACATACCAAGTCTAAGGCCAGGCCAGGCTACATGGGACTCTGACACAGAGAAGAGGCAGGAGAATCATCAAGGTGGGGTGAACCATGGATAGGAAGCAGGCACAGAGAAGATGAAGCAGTCAGGTCCTGAGGGTTTGGGAGGTATGCTACAAAACCCAAGCCCAAGCTGACCATGTTCTATAGTCTACACCACCAGACACCAACCAGGAGACATTCTGAACCAATTCCATGGAGCTCGAAATCTTAAAAACAGAAAATACGTTCACCCCAAAAGGTAAACACAGTATTTCAAATCTCAAGATCTCCAGAGCAGATTTCATAAACACAGTCTTCAGTTCCCTCGTTACCTCTTTAATGGCTTTAAATGTGTCCTTCTTGCAGGCTGCAGTCGTCCTCCACTCAAAGAAATGCACACAGTCTGTAGCAGTTACAAATTCAGGAGTTCCCTATTAAAAAATTAATAATAATAATGTCACCACACCACATGTAATCCAAGTTTGCTTTGGAACTTCCAACAGGTGGGAGGCCAGGCGTGGTGGCCCACACCTTCAGTCCCAGCATTTGGAAGGCAGAGGCAGGCGGATGTCTCCGAGTTCCAGGCCAGCCTGGAAAACGGGAGTGAGTTCCAATTGGGATTACAGGGGGAGCCTGTCTCAAAAAGACCAAAAAAAAGGGGGGGGGGGGATGAAAGGAGCAGCAAGAGGGAAACGTGACCACTTTACTCCATTCAACAAGGTTACCAAGAGTTCCCCAAACTGAGCCCCCAGGAGACTGACTATTCCTGACATCCTGTTGGGATCTCTGCTGACTACACAGTACAATGAACTCACAGAAAGTCTTCCCTCTCAGTCTCTCACTCTCAAGTTCCAAATGTTCTCTGAACCAAAAGCCAGCAGAAACCAAAGCCAGAAAGCCTCATGCGTACTGTGGAGGCCTGTGAGGAGCCGTGAGGATCTGAGCCTCGGTAAACCCACGAGACCCTGGCCCTGAGGCAGCCCCTCCTGGCAGATGCTGGTGGCCAGGGCTGACTCCAGGCCAGTCAACCCTGGGTAACCTTGCACAGCAAGAATTAACTTCTCCTCTTCCCCCTCCTCCCAACTGCAAAGCCAAGGAGTTCACCTTCAAGCTTTGCTTCCACGACAGTGCACACCGAATTCTTAAGACAAATTAATCAAAGTAAAGCTTGCGCTGTAAATTAGATTCTCGTGTTTCATGAAGCCATAGACTGATTTTAAGCAATCCATGTGCAGGAACAGGGCCACTACAGACCAATGCAAAAATTAACAACATTGGCTCTACTTTCAAAGGCCTTCAGATAAGATAGTGTGGGTCTGAAGACACAGTAATCACAGAGCCAAATTCCAACATGAGCCAGGTGTGGTGGCGCCCACCACCTGCAAGCCAGGCACTTAGGCAGCAGAGTCAGGAAGATTAGTTCAATGCCATTCTCAGCTTTACAGTGAGTTCAAGGCCAGTCTGGGAGGAGACCCTGTCTCAAAAACAAAGGCTAGAGAGATGGCTTGGCAGTTAAGAGCACTGGCTGCTCTCGTAGAGGACCAGGGTTCAATTCCTAGCACCCCCACATGGCAGCCAACAACCAGCCATAAAGCCAGTTCCAGGGCCTCCAACGGCCTCTTCTGACCTCTATGGGCATTGCACGAGATGGGTACAATAAAAATACATGCAGGCAATACAGTCATACACATAAAAAATAAACACAAGAGGTGGAAACAGGAATCCCTAGAACAAGCTGGCCAGTCAACAAAATAGCAAGCTCCAGGTGCAGATGACAGCCTGCTTCAATAAAGGCGAGAGGCATCACTCGCTGGCCTTCACATACACGTGCCAACATGGGCAGACATGCACATGAGCGCATACATATACATAAATTATTTATAAATTTCATTCACCTTGACTTCTTAGTAGCTAAGAATCATTTACTTACTGCAGGTCCCTTTTTTTGTGGTGCTGCATACCTTTAATCACGACACTCAGGAGGTAGAGGCAGTTGGATCTCGGTGAGTTTGAGGACAGCCTAGTCTACACAGTGAGTTCCAGGCTAGCTGGGGCTACAGAGAGATGCCTAAAAACTAACAAATCATTCCTAATACAACCAGAGTAAGAAAAAATAACATGCTCTATACAATGATGTTCCTGTTTTGCACAGGGCAATGCCCAAAAGGAACCCCATCACTCACTGGCCAAGGCTTCTCCTGAATAAATATCCATCTCCAATTACTTGTAAATGAAGAAGGAAAAGGAAAAACATTTTTAAAACCTGAACTCATTGCTTTTAAAAGCCATTAAAGAAACACTGAGGAGAGTTTTGAGAAAAGAATTATGTCAAAAACACAAACATTACCTGCTTTCTACTGATCCAACTCTTACTTCAACTAATCTGGGATTTGCTTACCTATTGGTTCTGGATGACGGTTATTTGATGGGGAATTTTATTTGTGTTTTGACTTTTGTCATTTGTTCCTCCAGTGTTCTTCCCAACAAGAATGCTCTGCACAGGGCTCTGGCAGGAGAACACTCACCAGGGTCTTTCCACACAGGAAAGTAATGCTACTCTGGATGCTGTGGGATCCTCCGCTCTGGCAGCTCGTGGTCGTGTTGAACTCCAGAAGTGACCTGCTGGCACTTTTCAAAATAAAATCACCTATTGGAAAGAGATTAAAAAAGTGTAAAACATGCATAACCAGAGCCAGTCTTGGTGGTATACACCTGTAATCTGGGTAGAGGCAGGAGAATCTCTCTCTCTCTCTCACTCTCATACACACACACACACACACACACACACACACACACACATACACACACACACACACACACACACACACACACACACGGGGTGGGGGTGGGTGTTCAAGTTCATCTTCCATTACATAGTGTGGTCAAGGCCACATGAGACCCTGTATCCAAAACAAAAAAGGGGAGGGAGGGAAGGGAGCCAAAGGTTCAAACCCAAGATTTCTGGGCATTGGGCTTCTCCAGCCTGAATGATTGCAAAAATTTACCCCAGAGGTCACTCTCCTCTACCTAAAATAGTCAGGTCTTTCTGGGATCTTTATAAACCAGCTCGGTGGGCGGGTTGTAGAGACTCTCTGAGGATCCAGGGCCAAGGAGCATAAGACCCCCCCCCCAAGAGATGCCGCAGGGCAGGGGTGACAGGGCAGGAGGCAGGGCCAGGAAAGGGTTGGGAAAGGAGGGCAGGAAGAACACACAACAGGTGAGAGGAAGATCTGGAGAGGGACAGTGAGCTACCAGGTGACAGGCAGAATGGGGGGGGGGGGTCCTCTCCCAGATGCCAGACTAATTCTGCACTGAGTGCAAGCAGCAATGACACACCTAGGGGGGTGGGGGGGTGGAAGCTTACAGGGGTGTGCTTGGGGAGGGGCCTGCACCAGGCATGCCGAGCACCTTCCACCTTCACGGGGTGCAGGCCAGGACATGGCTCGCGCCAAGGGAAGCCCAGGGCCCCTTCCAGACCACAGGGGAGGAGAATCCCGGGGAGCTTCCAGGCACCCCGTCCTGCTATGGCCAAAGGACAAGGGCCGTCTGGGCTGCCCAAGGAGTGCCCGATGCTGTCGGTGCTCCTTGAACTACCTCTGGATTCACCTGGTGAGGACCCCATGCGAGCCCCACTAAACTGTGCACCCGACTTGCCAGAACCCGCCCTCCCTGGATGCTGTGCCCTGTGTGTGGGACCCTGTGCCCTGTGTGCATTCCTGGAGCCCACACCCTTCCACTCCACCTCCTAAGGCACAGAGGCCACAGGCTGCGGGCTTCTGGGACTGCCAGTTGTCAGGACTAGTGCAATGTATGCACTTAATTCCAGCAATCATATCTTTGACTGTGAGGGCCAACAACAAAGAGTCAGCACACCACAGGCGTCACCAAGTATCAGGAAGTGGGGGTTGGGTGCAAAAGGAAATGAGGGTTGAGGGGCAGTAAGGCAGGTGGTGAGAAGGGGAAAACACGGGTATCACGTAGTCACATTCAACAAATATTCAACACATTGTAATTCTTCCTAACTGCTCTCTGCATGGTACCCAACAGACGGAAATACCCTATTTTATCTCTTATTGGACATTCGAATTGGAAAATCAAATTGGACACAGCTTTTTTAAAATGCAGCCAGATGCCTTAATCCTAGCACTCAGTTGGCAGAGGCAGGCAGATCTCTCTGAGCTCCAGGCCAGCATGGTCTATATGCAAGTTTGAGGCCAGTCAGGGCTACATAATGAGACCCTGTCTCCAAAAAAACACTACTGTAAAGTACCTAGGGACTGGAGATCTCGCTCAGCAGGTTAAGAGGGCTTACTGCTCTTTCCAGAGGACTCGATGGAGTTCCCAGCACCCATGTCAGGCAGCACAGAACAACATGGAACTCCAGGTCCAGGGAATTCCATGCTCTTGTGGATCTAGTGGATCTATGGGCACCTGAACATACAAGACACACATGTATACATGAATAAAAAAAATCTTTTTTTCTCAAATGTCTATTTAGACCCTGTACTAAGTCTTGTGTTATATAAAGATACAACTGCATGCAAAACATGTCCACAGCATTCTCAAAGAACTGCAATTTTACTTACCCACTGACCGATTGGTCTTTGTCTTCAAATCATACATACAAACAGCACTTGACGGCCCACACCCAGGAATGTCCACATTTCCACAGATGCTGATTTTATAAACTGCATTATTTTTTGTATCAACAGCTTCCCATGTATAACTAGAAAGAAGAAAAACAACTTATCACTGTCTGTGATTTGGCAATGATCAACTTTGCTCTAGTTTGACATTCTAGCCACATCTGCTCCAACGACCATTAACAAGACCCCCTTTCATTAGCCAAAGGCACCAGGTATGGCAATTTGAAATACATTTAGGGTATAAGCTACTAAATACACCTAGCTCCAGGAAAATGTACTCTGAAGATACCTCAGGACTTCACCATCAAAATCCTGCCATTAATGTAAGAGTGTCAACTCTTCAACTCTTCAGCACAGGAATCACACTATGTGTGAGGTGGGCCCGTATCCAGTTACTGAGAAATGCTGAAGGCACTGTTTGTTTTGTGGTGTTGTTTTGTTGTGTTTGTTTTGTGGTGTTGTTTTGTTTTGAGACAGAGTCTCCCAACTTGCTCTGTAGACAAGGCCAGCCTTGAACTCAGAAAGATCCACCTGCCTCTGCCTCCCAAACACTGGGGTTAAAGATGTGTACCACCAGGCCCAGCTCCCAAGGGACTATTTTCATCTCTCAATTTTTTTAATTTTTTTCGGGGGAAAGGGGGTATGCAAAATTTCATGTAGCCCAGGGTTACCTCTATGTAGCCAAGTGACCTTGGAAATTCTGATCCCTCTGCCTCCACCTCTTGAATGCTCAGATTACAGACTTACACCACACCACCACTCCTAGAGGCCAGCAGACAGCAGGTCTCAGAGGTTCAAGGCCAGTCTGGTCTACAAAGTGAGACCCTGTGCTTAAAAAAAAAAAAAAGAACAACAACAAAAAAACTCTAACATTCAAGGTAGGCCGGCTTTTGGTAGAGTCTACAGTGGAGACCTGAGCAAACTCAATGAAGAACTAAGTGTCTGACTCACAGTGAGACACAACTACTGCAGGTTAATGCACCCCCATGGGGCTCACTATCTGCACAAACTTCTACAGAACCCATGCTAATGGCTATGACCAACCTGCATACTTGGCTCTGCCCTCAAAGCTGTAATTCTCAATCCTCTACTCTTCGCTGGGCTAATGCTTTATTTGTTTTGTGAAAAGAGAAAAGGGAGAACGTGGGTGAAAAGTTCCTTGATAATATCTCTCTCTCTCTCTCTCTCTCTCTCACACACAGACACACACACACACACGCACACACGCACGCACACACACACACGTTTAATTCAAAAGTTCTGCAGAAAGGAGGCCCACACACGCACGCACGCACGCACGCACGCACACACACACACACACACACGTTTAATTCAAAAGTTCTGCAGAAAGGAGGTGGTTAGGTGCTAAGCCATAACTGCTGGGGTAGCCCCCGCAGAGGTGCACTAGACAGGAATGGTTGCTCCCACTCATTCCCAATTTATCATCACTGATACCCTGTGGCTGGCAGTTCCCAGGGCCTCCCATTCCCAGGGCACCAGGGCAATGGCTTGTCCCAAAACTACAAGGCAACACACCTCTCCCCTACCTAGAATTTATTTCCCAGGTAGCCACCACCATTGTTGCCAGGCAAGCCCAGGGTCCCACTGAACCTAGGTGTGTAGACCAACCAGACCTACTGCCCAAAAGCCAAGGAAGTTGAGCACACATAAGCATTCTGGTGAGTGAAGAGTGTCTGGGAAACTAAGCTGCTACGAACCTGAAAAACCGGTTACTTGTAAAGTGTAAGTGGCAGTCCTGGAGATGATGCCAGGCCTAGAGATGAGGTCAGGCCTGGGGATGAGGTCAGGCCTGGGGATGACGGAGCAGTGACAGATTAGTTATACCTTGAGGTGGGAAAAGCATGAGAAACAAGCCAAGTACCAAGTACACACCCAGGGAAACCATCAGTAAAACCTGGTTTCTTCTTCCCCTGCTTTTTTCTTAAACTTTAGTTTGCTTGTTTCACAGTGTGGCAATGTGAGATAGGGTCTCACTGTAGCCTAAGCTAGCCTGGAAATTATGGCCATCCTCCTGTCTCCCTGGTGCCAGAATTACAGGTGCGCATTATGCCCAGCCACGCTATTTCCTAGCTGGTTACTGAGAAAGGCAAAGGAAGCAAGGAACCAAAATGGACAGACATTCCCTGGCCTAGAGTCCCCACTCCAGTGGGAAGGACGGAAAACAAGAAAATAAACACGCAGATAACACACACTCGATGAAAAAAAGCCAGCGGGTCCTGGTGGCAGACTGCGTATCACGTTAGGCTGGGAAGTCCTCTAAGCTGGAACTTAACCGGAGCCTTGACTGACAGCTAGCAGCAACCTTGGGGACAGGGAAGAGAGCAACCTGGCAGGGGCTGGAGGACTGTAAGGTCAGCAGCAGGTGGAGAGGCCCAGGAGGCAGGGGACAGTCACTCTGGTCAAGCAGTTTTCATTTCACACTTGAAGCAAAGGAAGGCCACTGAGCACTAAACTTTCCTTAAAACTTTTAGCTAGCGTTTTTATTTGCAAAATATTAGCAAAACATTTTTATTATAATCACGGTTCGTTACAGAAAAAAAAAAAAAAAAAAAAGCTAATCTCTCATTTGGGAGCCGTGATTAAGTTTTTCCAGACTAGTAGACAGCAAACTGAAAACCTTAGCCTGGGATCACTGAAGTCCCTCACAGAGCTAAGTACATGATTGAGATGTGGCAAGTTATCACTGAGAATCACTCAATAGGAGGGTATCAACTCTAAGAAATCTCCACGGCTCCTCATGTGCTTTTCTATACACCAGAAACCCACAGCTGGCTCTGCAGCAGTAAGGCAAATGCAGAGTGTCTAGGGACAGAAGGGAATGAACAGGAGAGCAGTGAGGGTCTGTCTGTCCTGCTGTCCTGAAAGGCACGGCTCCCAGAAAAGGCGGCCTGACTGAACACCCTTCCTTTTTCCCTATTTGCTTCATACTTGTTTTTCCAAGATTTATCCAAAACGGAAGTGATGTCAGTAGGAAGGGCTTCTTTGGGGCCGATTTAGGCACTCAGGCAGCCCACTCCAGATGGGTGTCCTCCCACCATCACAGACTCAATCCACAGCCCTGGGGGAAACATTTAAAAGCAAGGGAATGGTCACAGACTTTCTAGACTGTGCCACCAAGACATCTGCATGCTGCCAGCACTTGACACGCTCTAACTTCAGTGGACATTATGGCTGCTTTCCAACAGTCCCACATGCCTGGCATGTGGGATTTGAGGACCCCGGTATAGTCACTGCAATTCAGGAAGCTCATGGAGCACACTATGTCAACTAGTTAGTACTTTGGAGGGGTGACACAGGGTAGCATTGTAGGTATGATGTGTCCTGGTAGCATCTCTTTAAAGCTGCTTTATAGCCGGGTGTGGTGGTGCACGTCTTTAATCCCAGCACTGAGGAGGCAGAGGCAGGCAGATCTCTGTGAGAACAAGGCCAGCCTGGTCTACATAGTGAGTTCCAGGCCAGCTAGGACTACAGACCCTCTCTCGGGGGAAAAAAAAAAAAAGAAAGGAGGGGGGAGTGGGGAGGCAGGGAGGGAGGGAAGAAACCAATGTATCAGATAAAAGAGAAAACGAAGTCATAAAATTAAAAGTTTAAACTTGACAAGAAGCAAAGCCCTGGATGAGAAAGGCCCGAAAGCTGAGTGGAAACCAGGACTTCACTCGCACACTGAAGAATTTTGAATGTATTTGCTACTGCAAATGACTAAGAAAATCTACAGGTCACTGGCTCCTTGCTGAAGTCCATCTCAGCTGAGAGCACCTGGCGGGGCTGGGGCAAGAACCGCAAGGACCCAGGGAAGCAGCTGGTCAGCCTGAAACAAAGCCGGCGTTCCTGCCCACTCCCAGCCTTGCAGAGCTCAGCCACTCTCCTCAAATGACATCATGGAGGTGCTGCTAGAATTGGTCCTCTGGACCCCAAGCTACCTATAGGAGAACCTGTGCCAGGTGTGGTGGTGCACACCCATAATCTCAGTACTTGAGAGGCAGAAACAGGGCTGTCATACAAGCTCCAGGCCAGGCAGGGCTCCACAGACCCCACCTCCCTGTCTCAGAAAAAAAAAAAAAAAAAAAAAACAGAAACAAAAAAAAAGTGAATTAAAGAAAATGAGTAAAAAAAATAAGCCAAATCCTCAATGTCTCATCCCATTGTAAAAACCTAATGGACTAATGCACCCTCTGGCCTCTAAAAAGTTCCCATTCCAGACCTCACATGACACAGTGGTGCCTCTCAACCATACACTAGCAGCTTAGTGGGGGCCTCAGCTCAGGTGCACAGGGCTGTGGTGGAAGCATCCTCTGAGGTGTCCGTAACCCAAGGCATTACTCTAGAATAGTAAACCCCACCTCCAGCACCCCAGCCAGCAGGTGCACAACAGCCCCCATCCCTTTTCTCCAACACAGCAAGTATTTATTTCTAGTATAAAGCAAAAATGGAGGATTCTGGGCTGAGGTTATAGCTCAGTTGGTTGACTGCTAACCTAGCATACATAAGAGCCTGGATTCAAACACAAATACTACATAAACCAGGTATGGTGGCACATGCCTGTAATCTCAGCACTTCGGAGGGAAAGGCAGGAAAATCAGGAACTCAGGTAACCCTTGACTGCCTAACACAGCAAAGTAGAGGCCAGCCTGAGCTACATGAGACACTGTCTCAAAAACAAAAGAAAACACAGGGATTCTGGGAAATAAGTAGGAAGATCTCGCTTCAATCAAGTTCTTCATTCTACATCACTGAGACCTACTTTTAGGCCACAGCATCCCTTTAAGTCACCTGCATTTAAAGGAACTACAGTTTAATAGCACATTAAGAAGGAATCTGGCAGGCTGGAGCTCAGTGGTAGAGCCTGCCTAACTACCATGCACAAGGCCCTCAGTTCAATCCCAAGTACTGGACAAAGAGGAGGAGGAGGAAGCTGAGTGCTGGGGTATAAGCAAGCCTCGAGGCTCTCCCCTGCCACGAGTGACACCTGCCCCCCAGCTGGCACCATCTTCAATGTTCCTCTGCTTAGGAGGCAAAGCTCCAAGGCTCAAAAAGAATATGACCTCACCCAGTGTCACCT